CCGGCAGTAGAGGCATCCGTCTCCACCACAATGTCTGCTGCGGGTGAGAGGATTGGACGACTGTTGTGTCTGGGTAGGTGATCTGTCCACCATCTTAAGTCTGCTCTTGCTGATTCTGTCAGTGGTACGAGCTGTTTCCAGTGACCTCTTGTCACACGCAGAACTGTGATGAGCAGACGCTGCAAACTTCTGAAGTGCAGCGGCGCCAGCCATACGGACGTGGTTGTGGCTTGTAGCCTGCCAATCACGCTTGCTAACTCCCTTGCCGACATCCCTCTGTCTGCAGTCAGTACGTCTTGTGCTAACTGCTGTAGCTCTAAAACTTTGCTCTCGGGGAGAAAAGTAACCATCTGTGTTGTGTCGATGCCGGAACCGAGGAAGGTTATGCGTTGTGATGGCTCTAGAACAGACTTCTCGAGGTTGGGGACGAATCCCAGCCTTGACAGGAGCTCTATGGCTGCCCAAAGAGCTTCTCGGCATGCTTCTCTGGAGCGGCCGATCACCAAGATGTCGTCCAAGTACACCACTAGACGAAACCCCCGTCTTCGCAGGATAGCCACAGGAACTTTCAACACTTTCGTGAAGACCCTCGGGGCGGTCGCCACGCCGAAGGGCAGGCACTGGAACTGGTAAAACCGGCCCTGCCACTGAAAGGTGAGGAACCGGCGACTGTCCGCATCTACCGGGATGGTAAAGTATGCGTCCTTGAGATCCAACTTTGCCATAAAATCTCCTGGTCGAACCAGGTTCTTGATAACTCCCAGAGTTTCCATCTTGAATTTCTGAACATTTAAGAACTTGTTTAATGGTTTCAGGTTGATAACAGGACGAAGACCTCCTGTCTTTTTTGGCACTGTAAACAAAGTTGAAACAAACTGATTGTGCTGATACTGAACTTCCTTTATTGCCCCTTTGGCAAGTAGAGTCTCTACCTCTCCGCTCAGAACTTCTATCTGAGCTGGACTTCTTGCTCGACAAGATGGCAGATGTCGTTGCACCGGAGGCGTTCTCGCAAATTCCAACCTGTACCCCCTGACGCACTGAAGAACCCAAGGATCGGAAGTCAACTGCCTCCACTCCTGCATGAAGTGGGCTAGCCTGCCTCCGTGAAGTAGCTGAGTAGTGTTGGGTACATGTTGAAATTCGGTCAAACGCCGGCGTGCTTCTCCCTCTGAAGCCGTGTCTGTTACTTGGACTGCTTCTGCTTCCCGTCCCCCGACTTAGACTGAAAGGACTGGTTGCGGTTGTAGAACTGTCGGGTTTGTGAACCCCTGTAACTGTACTGGCCATAATTGGCCCGTGGCATGTAGCGGGAGTTTCTGTAGCTGTAGCTGAACCCTCCGCCAGTTGCTCTGCCGCCGCCGCGACGAGCACCACGCCTCGGCACTGAAGACTTCCCCTGGTCGTCCTGGCTGAGCATGCCAACCAGCACTTTCGTCTCTGACGACAAGTCCTTAGCCTTTGACCCCATGTCAGGCGGGAACAGGAACTCTGGGTCTTCAGATGCTGCCTTGAAAAGGTCTCTAAACTTCTTCTGGGATGACTCTGCTATGAACGTGCGTCGGGTGAACGCCAACTGAGAATGTAGCGACCCCAGCAACACAAGTGCTGAACCAGCACAGTCACTCATCTCTAGCTGCAACTCTTCAAAGTTCTCACTATTACAACGCTGAATCATCTGCCACAGATTCATCAAAGGTGTACCAATATGCACCAAGTTCGAATGTATGTTCTTTAGAGCCTTATCATGAGAAATGATCTGCTCACCCTGCTTTTCGTCATTGTCGACGACAGCCCTGGCTATGTTGTCGTTGAAACTCGGTGCAACCATCGCGGATGGAGCGTTGTCGGGCATGCTGAACTTCTGCTGCCACGCCTCTAAGTCTGTACCCCGGCGCTGCTGGTCATGCTTGAAGTACTTTTCTACTTCAGAAAAGACAACATCGTCGGCTACCCATGAGTGCATGGTGTCCTTGTTCGTCGGGTCGAACGGCTTCCACACCGAGTCGCTAGCGCCAGAGTCGCCGCCGACGCTCTCTCCTTCCGCCCCGTCGTGAGACGGGGAGCGCTGCTTGCCACTGCGGGCGCTAGCGCTATCTTCCTTCCGGCGTTTCTCAGGAACTGCCACCGCCGGATGCTCGCCGGAGTCACCGCTGACGCTCTCTCCTTCCGCCCCGTCGTGAGACGGGGAGCGCTGCTTGCCACTGCGGGCGCTAGCGCTATCTTCCTTCCGGCGCTTCTCAGGAACTGCCGTCTCTGGACGAGCGCTGCGTCGTTTCCTCGGTGAAGATTGCTCAAATTGAGCTAACATCAGCTCCTGGAACGCCTCTAGCCTCTGAGACATGGACGCAAAACTCTGCTCCAAGGCAGAGATGCGGACGTTTGTTGGCGAAAACTCCGTTTCGCTATCATGCGTCTTCTTGCTTCCGTCGCCGCCACCACTGCTTATGTCTCCGTCAGACGGCAAGTTGCCGTCTTGCTGAACCGTGGGCGGCTGCTTCTGCTCGCCGTCGCCTTCCTGCTGGCTTCCGTCAGCGCTGAGAACCGGCATAGCCGGAGAAGACGACTTCTGACGACTGTCATGGCGGTCGTTTTCACGCACATGGTGCGCCGACCCGCCCGGGCTTGTCCCGCCTTCCTCGCGCTCCCTGCCGCTGGAACGCCGCCGGGAACCGCCACGGACGCGCTTGGAACTCTCCTCGGTCGCCCTAGGACCCGAAGGCGCCCTCGAACGATGTCTATCGCGTTGCTTTTCACGCCTAGACCCCATGATACCAACGCAAAACACGAAGGTGTTTACAGGTTGCTCAAAAAAATTAGACTGGTGCGCATGCGCAGGGAGGGTGACCCTTCAACTTTGGGCGATACCAACTAGAGTCTACACGGGGGTGGACAGGCTCAATCACCTGAAGTATTCTGTCTGCCTGACATAAGAGGGAATGCGGTAGACAAATTCAACATCACACAAACCTTTTTTACAATTTTTCATAATGATTAACACTGGTTTAGCATAACTAATGTTAGTGTTATACCAATATATATACATGTATATTGTATAGGTTAGTAAATAGGTGAGCAAATAAACATCACAGCATTTGACTTGATGTACAGCCGTTACACTGAAGTGCAAATGTTACAAAGTCCTGTACAATTGGACTTCCATGCTGCCCAATAGTCACATTTAAAAGGTTTCTAACAGGAGATCCTCATAGGTATGGAGAATTTAGACTCTCCGGGTGTCCTGTACCTCAGGCCTGCTGTACCTAGTACCTGTATTTCTCATACATGTAGGGTTTCGTCACCTTGCATTTTGATACGAGATGTGTTGGTAGACTTATTTCCTGCATGCAGATTGATAAGATTTTTTGGTCAAGATTTCAAACTGACACGGAGTCTCAGTCATATGTTTGGTCGAGCTGGAAAAGTTGGACTTGTCATGTACCCGCAATCCCCACACGTGTGGGGGTTTTGCTAAATGGATGTCCAAAGTGAATTTGTCCGCAGAATAGAAAAAAATCACAATTGGTCACACTTTAGGGGTTTTCACCAGTGTGAGTTTTCATGTGTTGGGTTAAGTAAGACTTCCAAAATGTCCTGAAGTCACACTCATCACACACGTAGGGTTTTACACCCATGTGTTTGGCTAGATGATCTTTCAAATGGCCTTTCCGTAGAGCAGAAAAGTCACACTGGTCACACTTGTAGGGTTTCTCACCCGTGTGCTTTAGTAGATGGTCTTTCAAATAGCTTTTCAGTGCAGTAGAATAGTCACAATGGTCACACTTGTAGGGTTTTTCGCCTGTGTGACTTTTCATGTGTATTGTAAAGTGCGACTTCCAAGCTGTTGTGAACTCGCATTCCTCACAAATGTAGGGTTTTACACCCGTGTGCTTTACTTGATGTGCCTTCAAATGCCTTTTCCGTACAGTAGAATAGTCGCACTGGTCACACTTGTAGGGTTTGTCAATTGCATGACTTGCATGATGTTGGGATAAGTGAGACTTATGGGCTGTCCTGTAGCCACACACATTGCACATGTAGGGTTTCTCACCGGTGTGATTTACTAGATGTTGGTCCAAAGTAGATTTGTGTGCAGCAGAATAGTCACACTGGTCACACTTGTAGGGTTTTTCACCTGTGTGGCTGTTCATGTGCCGGGTAAGGTCAGACTTTTTAGCTGTCCTGTATCCACATATTTCACACATGTAACGCTTTTCACGAGTCTCACCAGAGTGAGCTTTCCTATGACTCGATAAGGTCTCCACCCGATTAGTCCTGTAGCCACACGTTTCACACATGTATCGTTTCTCACCAGTGTGTTGTGCTAGATGGTTGTCTAAATTATTTTTCTGTGCAGAGGAATAGTCACACTGGTCACATTTGTAGGGTTTTTCACCTGTATGGGTTCTCATGTGTAGGGTTAAGTGTGACTTTCGAGCTGTCCTGTACCCACAGTCCTCACACAAGTAGGGTCTGTCACCAGTGTGTTTTGCTTGATGGTGTATGTTCAAACTGCCTTTCAATGCAGCAGAATAGTCACACAGGTTGCACTTGTAGGGTTTCAAACCTGTATGAGTTCTCATGTGTAAGGACAAGTGAGCCTTTTGAACCGCGCTGTATCCACACTCCCCGCACTTGTAGGGTTTCTCACCTGTGTGTTTGGCTAGGTGGTACTTCAAATGTTTTTTCTGTGCAGCAGAATAGTCACACTGGTCACACTTGTAGGGTTTTTCACCTGAATGGGTCTTTCTGTGTTGGGATAAGCGAAACTTGTGAGCTGTCCTGTACCCACACTCCTCACACATGTAGGGTTTCTCACCGGTGTGTTTCATTGCTAAATGGTTGTCCAGTTGGTTTTTCTGTGCAGCAGAATAGTCACACTGGTCACACTTGTAGGGTTTTTCACCTGTATGGGTTCTCATGTGTAGGGATAAGCAAGACTTGTGAGCTGTCCTGTACCCACACTCCCCACATTTGTAGGGTTTCTCACTGGTGTGTTTTGCTCGATGGTGCTTGTCCAAATTGCCTTTATGTGCTGCAGAATAGTCACACTGGTCACACTTGTAGGGTTTTTCACCTGTATGGGTTTTCATATGATTGGACAACAGGAACTTTCGAGTTGTCCCGTACCCACACTCCCCACATTTGTAGGGTTTGTCACCAGTGTGTTTTAAGGCTAGGTGGTTGTCCAAATGGTCCTTCCGTGCTGCAGAATAGTCACACTGGTCACATTTGTAGGGTTTTTCTCCTGTATGAGTTCTCATATGTATAGATAATATATATTTTCTAACTGTCCTGTACCCACACTCCCCACACTTGTAGGGTCTTTCACCGGTATGAGTTTTTATATGTTGGGATAAATTACACTTCCATTTTGTCCTGAATCCACACTCCCCACACATGTAAGGTTTCTCATCCATATGTGTTTCTGACTGATTGTCCAAACTGGTGTCTGTAGGCTGGTCTTCGACATTGCTGACATCCATGTCCAATAAAACTTCAGCAGGAGACCCATCAATGGATTCCTGAGAAACTGCAGGAGGAGACCCGTTACCTGCCTCCGCCATTTTTAGCCTAAATTATAAAGGACAAAATGTTTGAATACATCAATCAATAATGTGTCAGGGTGCATTATCTTTCTTTATGAAACTCCAACCATAAATTATGGTATTAAAACCGCCTGTCTCGCTCCTCCCTCCCAATTCATAACATAAAATCTTCTAAAAATTTCTAAATCATACAAACGTTTACTCAACGTTGCATAGATCTACCCTTAAAAATTCGTTTTCCCTATAATTTATTTCAGCTAGTTTCTAACAGCATTATTTTACCATCTTGGCGATACTGTAGCTATACAGCACCATAATTACATTTTGCTATACATATTTTTAAACCGAAATGGCGTCTTTGCTCGAAGGATATTTTTCTTTTGTTTCGCCCCCCTCCCCATGTATATTTTTCTCATCCGGCAAAACTATTACAATGCCTCCAATAAGGCACACATGCTGCTATAGAAATGATCTACGTTTTCTACGCTTTATGATAAGGCGGTCATTTTTCGCTTAATCAGTTTTCTTACCTGCTTCTCGTGCTGTTTTTTACCTCCGCTGCACTTAGTCCGCCCTGTTTTTCTGTAGCTGCTAGGGGTGAAAGGTCACACCGGCGGGGGCGAAAGGTCAACTTTGATACCTGGTTACCCACTTATTGTGCGGTAACTCACACACACACACACACACACACACACACACACACACACACACACACACACACACACACACACACACACACACACACACACACACACACACACACACACACACACACACACACACACACACACACTCTCTCTCTCTCTCTCTCTCTCTCTCCCTCTCTCAGAAACAAAGTCCTTGATTTTCAGGTATAATACACTTTATTCTCTTTTTAACAAGTTTCATAAAGCAGTTACTTCACAAGTGTGGCCAAACAAACTTCTTTGTTTCTTGAGGACCACAACAAATATTAGGAAAAGACCTTAACAGATTCTTTAAGTCATTTTCAGACCTACTAACTTGTAACTGTTGTTTCTTCAGCCTTTTGTCAATGGTGGACAAAGGGAAACCATATTTATTGTATCGGTAACAATTGAACGATATTGCATATACAAGTAACCTTACATCAAAATAAAATGACAATATGATCACTGTCTTCACAAAAAAATACACGAGTAAATTCATACATATCATCATAACAATTGCCTGGTCCTCAAGACCCAACGATTTTTGATAATAAATTACGCCAAAATACAACTTTTAAATCACATGTTTACATTTCGTGGACTTAAGAGCACATTTTTAACATACTCATCTACAGACAAAAAAGCAAGACAAAAAAACTGTACAAAAAGAAGGACATCTCAACACAATCACACATAGTTAACTAGTATCAACAGACAAGAAATAATTTAAGAAAGGAAATACAGTTTATGTACAGTCGTGGTCACTATTCAAACAGTGCATGAGGAAAGTCTGAAATCTTACTACATAAACAAATTATCTACTGTTATTAAACATACATTGTTGGTAAATCACCCACCACACTTAGTAAAAACAGAACTGGTATGTTATGCCTCAAGATTGTTTCTCAGTTTCAAACAAAAAATAGAATGAGCTTAAAGTAAGAAACTGCCATCATGGATCTACCAAAAAAAAACTTTAAAATGGAACAGTCCTAACACTTCACTAATATATAATTCACATTACATTTGGTCTTTGCCTTGCTTTGGAATAGCTTATAATCACTTGACAGTAGGGGTGGATAGGTTGAATGCCAGCATTGTTGGTGCAAGTTTACATAATTTGTTTTCAGGAATTAGTATGAGAAATTAAGACTGGTTTCTACAAAAGTTGACAAAGTTGTGCAGAGTGCAGGAGCACGAAATGATACCACACACCCAATATCAACTTTTTTTCTTTAAAGTTTAAGAATGGAATTAAGTTGTTTCCACCGAAAAGAAAAATGCTTCCAAGAATGCTTTGTATTTCTTAAATCACATGATTGTGTAACAAATAACAACTATGACAACTGAGTCTTCTTTCCTTTTGGCAAATCTATATACAGACTGAAGTGCATATTTGTAATATAAACCACTGAATTATGAATCTTACAATGTCATGTTAAGTTATTGTTAGTAAATTCTGGGTCTTCAAAACAGATCTGCACACGTTATTTTTGTTCAAAGATTGCCTTTTTATAACTATCCATGTCAAACTTTTCTAGTTAACTGTAGTTATGATCTATTGGCTCTAATTTACTCTCAAGTATACTTTGATTTCATTGACAAACTTTTGGTCAGAGTATATGTATAATACTCCCAATAGGTATGAGTTGAGATATCTTGTTCCAGAAGTCCATTATCAAGGTAAGGTTGCAAATAGTTCTGCACATATTTAGAACATCATCATCTCACCTTCAAACCTTGCCATACCATAGTAGAACAATTCTTATGTTACTCAAACCACAGTACATACCTGTATACATGTGTAAAAGAAAAGAGACTTAATTCTCATTGTCTTCTTTCTGACTTTCAACAAGGTTTGATTCTTAGCAGATTTGACAGAAGTGAACTTGACTTTCTAGATGTGTACTTGGTCCAAACTTACAGCCTTCTGGTCCTAAAGCCAGCAACATTCAGAAACTTACAACATATAACCTCCTTGCTAAGAATAAAACACAGACCTATCCATTTTCCCAATGAGAAGTTAATCAACATCATAGCCATCTGGGAAACACACCAGTATGCCAAGATGCCTGTTATTTTCTTTATTTCTTGTTTTGCCATTTTTTTTTCTCTACTTTCGTTTCAAATGGTCTAAAAGACAGTTGTTATGGCCTTAGAGAAAACAGTTCTTATCTAGATCAGCAGAGCCTTTAGAGGGAGAGGCTGTCATACATGTATCTGTCTTCACATGAATGAATGAATGGCAGTTTGCTTATCTTGAAAGTTCATCTGTGTTGGTAGAAGTCATTATGAAGTACCAGTAAGTTTGAACTGCAACTTCCAACACAAGAAATTGGACTCACCCAAATTTTTGACTGTCCAACTCCAGTCTTTGTTAAGGAATGAGCAATGAGCAAAGAATGGTGTCGTACTCTCAAAAAATAGGGTTGGAAATTACATTTCAAGTTGCTTCATACTGTCAGTCTGTTTTCATTGATAAAACAAACTTAGTTACCTAAAAGTCTGGGTCAGATTAAAGCCAGTTATGAACAGAAACAGCTACGAATGTTTAACATGGAATGAACAGAACATCTTGTGCTTTGGCCATTAACTGGTCCTGCTAAAGTTTTAGACACTTGAACATTTCCTTCGTGTGTCTGAGATTTTGGCAACACCAGTTCATTTTCCTGGTCATCAGAGTAAAAAAAAAAAACTGTACAGAAGGCTTGTAACTAGCCTGTGTTATAACTAGCCTGTCTTGCTTTCAAGCACTAGCTTGGCTTCTTTTATTTCTAGGGGCCTGACCAGTGGAAAGGCTACTAGAAGCATGATGTAGTCAGGCTAGCTTATACCTTAGTACACAATGTTTCAAAGTTTCCAGGGCTGAATATTGTCAGTTTTCCTCTCAGCGCATGGTTTTCATCTTATTCTTTTGCTTGATTTTTAATCTAAAAATAAGTTTAAGAACCAAGGAAATGAACAGGCGAGGCCTTAAGGAGTAAGATATTGCCTTGTAGGTTTAAGAAGCGTCCTGCGATCACGCCTCCGTCTCTCTGCGAACCGTCTCGTGTACGGCCGTGTCTGTCATGCCCAGCAGGTCACGGGCCTCCTCGTAAACCTGTGTTGTGCACAAACAAACAAACATACATATGAGTCAAACATATCACAGGTACATGTATATCAAAGAGCATTAATAACACACTTTTGTGCACCAAAAATGGGAACTGCACACTAACTTTTTACCTAGAGATGCACTGGTACAACTAGATATATGAGTAGATTTGCAAGAGGGAAGGTACTGTGATTGTACACTTGTAAGTTGTATGCAGCATAAAAAAATCTTTGCCAGTGAAGCCAAGCCAAGAGAGAGAGAGAAAGAGAGAGTAAACAGCATATTCTTGACATTCAAAGCACAGCAAATGTGCACAAATGTGCCGTGTAAAGCAAGTGACAAGACCATCTTGCCAACTCTGTCTCCATTTCTCATTACACCAAAAACATGGCGAAAGGCCTGAGCCAAAAAAAGTCCCACTTACCTCAGAAAAGGCGGTGTCTTGGAAGAGCTCCTGGATGAAGCGGCGGGCAGGTAGCCGGAAGGTGTACTCAGACAACAGGTGAGCAACCTCACAGTACAGGCAGGTGTCATCAAACGCGTTGGGCAGCTTCTCCTTCAGACTGTAAAGAAAGAAGGAAGGACACTTAAGAAAAGCTTCAGGGCTACTTAAGAAGGTGTACTCCGACAACAGGTGAGCAACCTCACAGTACAGGCAGGTGTCATCAAACGCATTGGGCAGCTTCTCCTTCAGACTGTAAGGAAATAGGGAAGGAATACTTGAGAAGGTGTACTCAAAGCAGAGCCTGAGGTGAGACATTTTCCATAAGATTGGAGAAAAAAGCTACAACACTTCTGTAAGACTGAAAATCTGTAAGAATGATGAGGTTATACGGAGTTAAAGCTAATGTAGTTTACATCCTCATTCTTATCTTTAATCTTGGCACATGAGTGTCTTCTGAATTTAGCAGTAACAGATGAGATACCCAATTTTTCTTCCACATTCTCCTCCTCTCATCAAAAGATCTCACTACATTAACAATACTAAATAGTGACTGAAAAACTACACTTAATTTGCCATCATGTTATGGAAATCATTTAGAAAACTAAAAGAAACAGCTACCTTAGCAATCCAGTTTGTTTACATTAGCAACTCAGTTTCCTTAGCAACCGAGACGGTTTACCTTAGCAACCCAGTTTGTTTACCCTAGCAATCCAGTTTGTTTACCTTAGCAAGCCAATTTGTTTACCCTAGCAACCCAGTTTGTTTACCTTAGCAAGCCAATTTGTTTACCCTAGCAACCCAGTTTGTTTACCTTAGCAACCCAGTCTCCTGGGCTTTGGTTGCCACGGAGCTGCTGAGGTTGATGATGAGCTTCATGATCTCGGCTCGTACCATTGCCTTTCCCGCGGGGGTGTCCACCGACAGCCTTCGGTTTCCTAAGTGACAAAAATACAAAAGAAAAAACTGACTATGCCTCTAACTGGAAAGGATATATGTGGGGATTAAAACAGCAACATCAAAATAAGAAAAGAGATAGAGAATAATTCTGAGACTGGCACAAGGTTATCAGATGCATGTACATGTATGGCAGACTTCACCCCCCTAGCCCTTACTGCTTTGCCACCCTTCCAGTCCCAAAAACAGAAATTAAAGAACTTAGAATGTATGGCCAGTTGGCCACACAATGAATGTATAAAACACAAGCATGCACAAACACTGACAGACAGACACACAGACAGACCTGATCTGGAGTCTGTTCACTGTTGGGTGTTGCATCTGTACTGTCCGGTTTAGTCCAGAGACACAGAAAGACAAACATGCACACACACATATACAGACAACACAGACATACACACACAGACATGCACACACAGACAGACAGACACACACACACACACACACAGACCTGATCCTGAGTCCGTGCTGGTGTGACTGCTGACACTGTTGGGTGTTGCGTCAGTATTGTCTGGTTTAGTCCAGAGACACAGAAACACAAACATGCACATGCACATACACACACACACACAGACACACACACAGACATGCACACACAGACAGACAGACACACACACACACACACACACAGACCTGATCCGGAGTCCGTGCTGGTGTAGCTGCTGACACTGTTGGGTGTTGCGTCGGTACTGTCCGGTTTAGTCCGGCTGCTTGACCGGCTGCGAGGTGGGACCAGCAGGCTGGCTTCTCCGTTATCATTATCCTCCTCTAGCTCAACTGGGAGGAGACAAGACATTGACATCAGAGACAGCAGACTTTGCCACCATTGCCACCCATACTCTAATAATACAGTTTTGTATGGTCTGGACACAAAGGTTTCGTTCCTGTTATTAGGTTTTGAAATGTGAAATCTCTGTACACAAGTATTTCAGCTTTTCTCTTCCAGTGATTTCACCATACAGGCCATGCATTGCCCTCTTTCACTGTTTTTAGATTCAGCTAAAAAGCGAGAAACTAGTCCTGTTCAAGAAAGACTAACCATTTACTTGCTTCCTAACCTGCTTCATAACATGCTTTATAAGGTTTAGTTCCCATTTTTGGCTTTTGAAATTTCTGCAAGTCAAATCTACCTGTACTTTCTGCCTGCAGTTTGTCCTCCTCGGGTGGTTTGGCCATACAGGCCATGCACTGCTCTCTCTCGTGGTTCTTACAAATGTAACCTCAGCTAAAATGCTAGAAACTTGGAATTTTTAATGAAAAGTTGTAGATTCCTGCTATAATTGGGTTCCAAGATGTCCTGCAATCTACCTGTACTTTCTGCCTGCAGTTTTTCCTCCTCGGGTGGTTTGACCATACAGGCCATGCATCTCTCTCTCTCGTGGTTCTCGAACCCTGATGCGGTCAGCGGCAGTTTGGTGACGAGGGGAGGGGGGGAGTGGTCTCCCAGCGCTGAGGGGAGGCTCTCCGACAGGTGTACAGGGTCGTGCAGGTCGGAGAAGAACGATCGAACACTGTCTGGTACAGGAGGGGGAGGGCTGGACGGACCCTTGTAGGAGTCATCCTCAACCTGGGGGGTGTTGTTTTACAATTTAGTTGCAGGAACATAATGCATGTACGTGTATCTGCAAAAGTCACAATCATTGAGAATTTTTAATTGTTCATCATCAAAAAGTAGAAATTAAGCAATGAAACTTATGCCTGGAACTCTTTATTTCTATTGTAGCTTTGTTGTTTTTAGGAGATCTTTTAAAGTACATACTGGAATCTCCACACAGATTGGCCATACAAATTCCACAGTCTGAATAATTTTTCTGAATAACTATTCATGGCTGACTATCACTTAAATAACCTCACATGGTGCTTTGCCTTGCAAATCAAGTTTTGTATTCAGCTGAAATCAATTGTTCAACATACATTCAAGGTTTAAGTGTGAAATTCTATCCTTGTATTTTCTGAGCGATACACTAAATATTGTTGAACACAGGCTTCTACTTACCCTAAAGATCATCTCAGGGTGGATGGGCAGCGTCAGGCCGATGAAGTTCCCCTGCGCGACGCCCTTCGTGTAGACGGCGGACAGGCCCACTGGGCGCAGGGGGGAGGCCAGGCTCTCATACAGAACACTGTCGGAACCGTCCAGCGATGTGTAGCTACTCTCTCGGAACAACCTGCGGTGGAGGGAATCCCAAATCAGTACTTTTGTCCCATTTACTTCAGCAGGAGGGGCAGGTTTAACATGGTGAACTTTGGTTTACAAGACAATCATCTCAAATCCCAATATCCACTTATCCTTAAAAACGTGTACAGTACTATAGGGTTGTTTCTGTACTATCTGAACCATCCAGCGACATGAAGCTACTCTCTCGGAACAACCTGAGGCAAAAGGAATTATACCGATATGGGTCAATGACTGTGTGGATGGTGTTCAGCACCAAGGACAGGTGTCATGAAAGTTCACCTGTGTTTGTAGTTACATGTTTAAAGTTAAAACTACAGTGACTGGTCAAGGCAGTCGTGTTTGCCTGTGTGTGGGTGGTGTTCAAAACTAGAGACAGACTTGCTTGTATGTGGATGGTGTTCAGTACCAAGGACAGACATGTTTCCTATACAACTCTAGATGCAAGTCTGAGTTTGTTATTTTTGACAACCATGAGAGGTTTAACTCACCTGCCGGGTTTGAATGCAGGGAAGTAGGAGTCCACACTGCTCCGCTCTGGTCTGATGGTCAAGTTCAGACTCTCTGCATACTCCATTCCTCTCGAAAGGGACCTGAAGTATGATGTTTTATTCAGAAAGGCACTCACGGGGGGCCTAAGTTGCTCGAATTGTGTCCTCATTACAAAACTACATCACTAAGATATACAAGAGCAAAGCTTTTAAAACATGTTCATTATTCCACAAAGAGTATATCATATTCGTATTTCCAAGTAAGAAGCAAACACAAATTTATACATGTATTAGTTTTGAATGAATGAATGGTTTATTTCTGTAAACCATTGCAGCTGTCTGGCTGCAATATCTCTCACTTACATACAACTCACTTCCACAGATATTGCATGATAAAATATAAAATAAAAGAATGATAACAATTGCAGTGTGGTTGATATGCAGGCAATTTGCAACATGCTATTTGTCAGCTTTATAATATTACAGATATAAAACACAGGATACAAAAGTTCTTATTTACATAACCAATTCTCACCTAAATGTGCTGACGTTTCGATGTCTATCCTATACTTTACCAACCTGATGAAACTATTTTAAGATATAAAACATGTTATACCTGTGTCTCTTGAGTGAGCGCAGCGTTGCGTATCCCGCGGCGTCCCGTGTGCTGGTGTAACTCACGCCCAGGTCCGTCCCAGGTGGACTCAGCATGCTTCTCCGCGCGCCCGGATTGGGGGAGGGGGGCAGGTTGTGCGCCGTCACGGCACGCGGCAATGTCGCCGACTTCTGCGGTGTGACATCTATCGGCTGGCTGCTCGTCCGGCCTGGAAAAATAATATTGATAAGTTTATTGCGAATTCCTGCCCGAAGGCCAATTGTAAATAACAAGGATAAAAGAACATAGAAACAGAGTACAAAATCCACATAATAAAAGGTAATTGTCTAAAACTAACGCTATGAATACAACTAATATAAATGACAATAAACATCAATCATGGCAATCTACTAGATAAAGCCACACCAATTTAATTTGTTGACTGATTTTTTTCAGAACAAAAAAGAAGCAACAGGGCAAAAAACAGACCTAGGCATCCTATGAGGAAATTCAACATACCAATTCTTCAACAAAAATCTATGAATAATATCAAGTTAGTTAATTAGAGAAAAGACCCTGTATATACCCTATCAGTCTGTCTTTCTCCTGCACATTCCATGTTTTATGTTATTTTTAATAAAATGCTATATTTTCTTACCGGTTTGGCTACTGGAGATGGTACTCAGGCTGCAGGTTTCCGCATGTGGACTGGAACCCATGGAGCTCACGCCGCTTGTCGTTGTATCCGTGTTAAAACTCTCGCTGCGACTCTTTCCCCCCGCTCGCGCGCTCCCCGTACTCTCATCGCTGTCACTCCTGTGCTTAAAACTCGTGCTTCTCGGCTTACCGTGCAACTTACTGTCACTTATGCTATTCCTGCTACCTCTCATGTCCTCTGATTCCTCTAACTCGTCGCTCTTTCTCGGCTTTCTGTCCAACGATCCGGCGTAGTACGCCCCCGGACTGGGGCTTCGTATCCTCTCCTCTCTGCGGAAGCTTGGGAAATATTGCAGCTTGATGTCGCTGTTGCTTCGCAGCTTTCTCTCCGGCGAGATCCCGCTTCTTTTAAACACAGGCATCGTTTTTACCCTCTTGAGACCGGTGCCGAACTTTGGCGAGTCCTTTTCCCGCGAGTCCCCGCCCCTCGGTAATGTCTTGCTCTTGGCGTTGGAAGAGTCTAGCTCGTTTATTCTCGCCAGCGCGTGCTCGCCTTTCTCGTTAATGTCTAGGAAGAATGTGCTCGTCGGGCTCTGGCCGTACTTGGAACCGTTCTCGACGTAAAACAGACTCTGCGGGCCGGAATCCACATTCAGATCGCCCATGGATCCCTGATCGAAAAGGTCCCTCCCGCTCAGATCGCTTGCGGAAGACGGGATCTCGGAGTTGACGTCGTCGAACACGTGATCACGGTTGTCGACGACGGGCCAGGGATCGTCGCGCCCGTGGCGTACAGACTCCCAGCCATGCTCGCGGAGGATGTCGCAGCCTTGCCGTGTCTTCGCCACCAGCCCCAGCACATACAGACAGGTCCTGGGGAAGGAACAACAGGATTAAATCTATGACAAAGAAAATGACAAAGACTGTTTTTTTTATACAATACACATACAATGTTCTAGGGAAGGAACAATATGATTTTATATTTTTGAAATTTCATTTTCTTCAAATTCCAAATTTCATAAGCATTAGAAAAAAACCAAATTAACAACAATGATAACAACAGACATTGAGGTAATTACATCATCCTTCCAATTGGAGAATCCAACCACTTGACCACACAAACCAAAACCAGTGCCAAAATGATACTTCTGTTCCTAGGAGCAAGAAATTAATGAAAGATACATTTGTAATCTCATCCCTTGACAGCGAGTACAGGATGGTTCCTGGCTACATGTACAAGAGTGTGACTTTTGGGACGTTTCTGAATTCAGATTATCTCGGAATGAAATTGCATAATCTCACCCCCTGACAGAGAGAACCGGACAGTCCTCGGCCAGACGGATGATCTCTGGGATTATCTGTTCCTGATCCAGCAGGCTCTGACCCCAGGGAGATGTCCCGATGTGACCCTGGAACAAGAAACAAAATTACAAATTGTACAAACTATTTAACAGTTTAAATAGTTTATCACACTTAGACAACATTTTCAATGCTGGAGACTACACGAAGATGTTCATGCTAAAAAAATTAGACTTGTGAAGGGTGACCTTTCAATTTGGGAGATACCAACTAGTAAGAGGCTACATGGAGGTGGTAAAGCTCAATTCACGTACAGCCATACTTGCAGAAGGCAACTTCTTTATCTCATTATCTAATGGCACTACATGTAGGTCTAATGTTTCTCAAGATTTTGTGCAGTTCACCTACCAGACACCAGAGGGCAGCCTTGAGCTCCAGCACCTGCTCAGGCGAGCTCAAGTCGTGGTAGCGGATTCTTTGGCAGAATTCTGAGACGTGGTCCTGAGGAACAAAAGAACATGACAGAACATTAAAAAAAAAAAGAAACATTGCAAATCAGTGACTGAGGAAGAAAATCAATTCATACTTCATGTTTCATGTTTGGACTGACCACATATCGTCTAGCAGACCTCTATAGCTAGAAGCCCATAGAAGCTAACTTGATGGCCAACACCTGTAAGTAAGGAGTATTAGGAACATCTTAATCCTGTTGATTTATGCATACGTGCTAACAACTGAGAACTATCTGTTACCATAGAGATAGAGACTGCCATGACTGAATTACAAATTAGTTATATAGAATCCCAAGCTCTTATAGGACTGATTTCATAGTGATAGAATCCCGAGCTCCTATTAGAATGATTCTAAACATGACTGTTAGTATATGCAGTATTACCTGTTTCTCTACCAGCTGCGCTCCTGCCTTGTGCTGCACCAGTTCCCCGTACAGGTGCACCGGCACGTATACATCATTCTTCATCAGCCTGGAAGGGAGGTAACATTCATGTTATCGTATTTTTCTTTGGTACAGTGTAAATAAAACAAATGTGCCCTATGTGTCAGAGACTGTCATTCTCATATACACGTAGGACTGATCAGCCATAGCTGCAGCTGTAGGGTTGATACATTTGTACAAATTTAGGATTTTACCATGGTCAATATGAAGAAGGTCATAAGGGAAATAAAAATATATCTGTAGTTTGCAAACATTTTACAAGCTGCAAACTTTGCCTTCTGCTTTTAAGTTACTGTAAACTTCAAAGTCAAGTTTCTTGCTACGTATACAGATAATATTACAAGTCTCTCCTAACAAGCCCACTGTATTTCAAAAAGTCAATCCATGGCTATAACTGCTGTTAATTGAAATGAATAGAGTTTGAAGATTGTGCTACTCACAGCAGCGGGCGGTGGTGCATGTTCCTGCGGTTGAAGTTGCTCCCGTCCTTCGGCTTCTGGTAGTTGGTCAGAGCCTCGTTCAGCTCATCCTCCACCAGGTGCACATACTTCTTGTTGAAGGACTGGGGAGAGAAAGGAGTTCAGAATCTATTAAATATCCCAGTAAGATTACAGTATTTCAAATTCAAATGTGAAAAAGTTTCATCTTCTGTCAAAGAAATACATGTAGATTCATATAAGGATATCCGAAAGTATTTGTATAGCTCACAAGAAAGTACCAAAAGAGCAAGAGCCAATGGCATAAAATTTGTATTGCTTTGATTATACTGACTCACCTTGTACCACTTGTCCAGTACGTTTGCCGTGTAGTTCACTTCAGACAGGAAGGTGAACCCTTTACTGATGGACAAAAATCTGAGAGGAAAAAAAACAAAGACCAAGATGTTAATTCAGGAAGTCAAGGATTGAATGAGCCCTCTAGCACTGCACAGTTTCTGTCCTAGCCCTGCTTGAAGTACATGTATGTCATACAATCTCCTCAGTAGTTCTAATACATTCATGAAACCCCAAATATGTCTGATCCCAGAAATCTCTAGTTTCTTGTTAAAACTTGCAAACAGATCAGTACATCATAACTGTTGAAAAATGAGCAGCTTAGTTTTCTAGAAAAAAAATCCAATTTTTCCAAAAAAAGCTGAGCCTCCAGATTCAGAAGTCCATGAGACATACCTGATGAGCAGCATGGCCCCCTTGTCTCCCAGATGCAGCAGGGATGGTCTCATGTCCACCAGGGCATGCAGGTTAGCCTGGGGAGAACAAGACATCATTTTCAACTTTATTTCATATATTGGAAGATTTAGTTTCACTACCTCAGCTTATCAGTTGTACTGAATAAATTTGTTGCTTATCTAGATAATTGGTACACCAGACATGTCTATAAAATTTTATGTTGTTGATTTACCTAGATTTCAACTGGATTGCAAGTTTAAATATGCCAAATTACACCATTTACTCACCAAGCTTGAACTTAACAACTCCCTGAATAATACTGGGTGGATTGCTAATTGTGCAACACAAACAAACAAACAGACCTCTTCCTCGCAGGCCTCGTCCAGTATATCAATGGCTTCCATGGCGACGGTTTTGCTCTTGTCGTACAGCTGCGTGACCAGGAACTCCACACCCCACTGGTTAAAGAACGGAACTCGAGCGCGGAGCAGAACCCGCAGGAAACTCGTGGTGTACAGACGACTCGACTGGGGAGGAACAAAAAACACCATGTTTACTTTGACTATCGCTCATTCACCTCAAAATCAAATCTCTGTTTTCAACTTGCAACACTAAATATGCAAGAAGAAGCTTATAAGCTATCATATTTAATTTCTTTACCTTGGGAAAAAGTTTACAAATTTTAGTTTTTGCAACAAATCTTTTACATATCAAAGTAATCTAAAAATCTGTTCTTCAGGGATATGTGAGTACGAAGTGACCCAAAAAAGTTTATCTTTTCTTGTAGTCATACCATGACGTGGTTAAAGGTTAAAGGTTAGAGTTGAAAGATTAGAGCACAAAGTTCACCTGTCCTTACTGTAGTTGAGACAGGGTTAGAGGATAAAGTTCATCTGCCTTTACCTCTGCTGGTGCAGTAAGAGCCTTGGACAGCACCACTCTGGCCAGCCCATCCTTACTGTAGTCCAGCAAAGGTTAGAGGTTCAAGGTTAAGGGTTAGAGGTTAGATATTGCAGCCCTTACCTCGGCTGGAGCAGTAAGAGCCTTGGACAGCACCACTCTGGCCAGCCCGTCCTTACTGTAGTCCAGACAAGCGATGATCAACTTCCTCAGCAGATCACAGCCCTTCAACCCACAGATGGACATGAAACTGGGAAAGAAAAAAAAGACTTTTATGAGTAAAATCACTCATTAAATGCAGTTGGTGAAAACCAACTATGATTGCAGTTCTACAAATGTCACTTGTCACTGTCTGTAACTATTATGTTTCTAATAGTATATCAGCTACAATAAGTTGAGATCTCTTGATGAAAACTTCAGTGATAAGAATTCAAGCTACAGTACAGTAGATTCAGCTGCTTTATCAACTTACTGGTATCATTTTGATTATCTTTTGCTACTTTGAAACAACTATTCCTTGCCCTGCACATCATTTTTTGTCCCTTTTGTTTTAAATCAGTAAATAAAACAAAATCTGGGAAATGGAGAAGAAAATCCCCCTCCTCACCATTGGTAGACTCCAGAAGCTTCCAGTACTTTCTCCCCCGCCTGCAGCCGCGACAGTCGACCAATCAGGAGGAAGAAGTCCTGACAGACGGTCGTCTGGAGACTCTGGTCGCTGAACAGCCCGTCGTCCTTCCCATCATACACCTGGGCAGAACAAACATTGTTCAAATATTATGATAATCTTGAAAGTTCATCTGTGTTGGTAGAAGTCATTATGCAGCAAGTTTAAACTGTAATTTCCAATCTCTTGTGTTGGAAATTACAGTTTGAACTTGCTGCATAATCGTTCAAATATAAATGTTTTTTCTCCATCATACACCTGGGTATTACAAAGTTTTAACACTGTTCAGATGTGGTTTTCATGCAAAGAATTCATAAAAAAATATACACATAGAGAATTATCATTATGCTTTGTTGAAATTGCTTGTGGTACAGACTTCTAGCAGACTTCCTTACCTCACACAGACACTCCACCACTTCTCGAATCACTTCTTCCACAAACCTGTGACCTTCCTGAAGGGCAAATTGTAAACATCAACACATTAAATCTTATAGTTATAAATACTTTCTTATTTAGATGACAAAAAGAAGTCATTTCAGGAAACAGAAAACAAGCCAAAAACAACACAAAACAAGCCCAAAATAAGTCACACTAGCATCACAAAAACAAGTCGTTAATGGCACAAAGTCAAGCTAAGAACAGCTCAAAAACAGGTCGTTAACATGATAACGGACCTCCTGGCAGTCAAGCAGGAACTCCATGAGCTGGCAGCCCACGATGGTGAGTTTTCTGGGCTCCACCAGGCGCGAGTCCAGCGTCAGACCGGAGTACAGCAGGTTCTTCGGTCGGTAGAAATAGATCAGTCTCCTCACAAACCTGTATGCACAAAAGGCAGGTATAGGTCAAGAACAGGCCAGAAACAGGATCAAGAACAAGACTGCAACAGTACAGACTTGAGTACAGGTGGTTGTTGGGTCAGTAGAAGTAGATCATTCTTCTTACAAACATGTGGAGGAAATGAACAGGTCAGAAATAGGATAGGAACAAGACTACAACAGTACAGGGAATTCTTTGGTAGGTATAATTTGGTCAGTCTTCTGACAAGCCTACATACAGAAAAATGACAGGTCAGAAACTAGGACAGGAAGACTAATTAAAAACAGTACAGACAGCAATACAGAGGGTTCTTGGGTCAGTGGAGAAATAGGTCTTTTGACAAACCAATTATGATTGTTTGTGAAATCTTACCTTGCATTTGCAGCATCGTCCAGCCATCTTGGTCCTCCAGTGGACAACTGAAACAACAAAAGAGTTCTCAGAGAAATGTTTAACTTTTTAAGTTAGTAGAATTACTAGAAATACCATCATTAAAACTCTTCTCAGCAAAAACTTTTAATACTGTTTTTGAAAAGAGGGCCCAGACCCAGCTGAGGTTGTCCTTGGTGACATGTTTGTTGTGGGTTACCATGGTTACAATGTTTACTGTTGCCATGGTGATAATGTTTACCGTTACCATGGATACGATGTTTACCTTGAGCATGACGGCGACGAGGTCCCAGTCCCAGCTGAGGTTCTCCTTGGTGACATGTTTGTTCTGAATAACCATGGTTACCATGTTTACTGTTACTGTTACCATAGTGACAATGTTTACCGTTACCATGACGATGTTTACCTTGAGCACGACGGCGACGAGGTCCCAGTCCCAGCTGAGGTTCTCCTTGGTGACCAGCACCTGCGTGTCCTTCATCGCCTGCTGTAGGGTCTCGTCTGTGTCCTGCGAGATACAGGGGGAAAATTACTTAGTTCTGATGCAGCAAACTTTGTAAAAATCTAATGGTCTAAGAGATACTACAACAGTGTGTGTGTGTGCGTGTGTGTGAAAAAATGGATGAAAAGTGTTAACCATATGAGAGAATATACAAAAAATAAGGAATGACAAGAAAAAGTACATGGAAACTGTAGACATCCCATTAGATTTTTTTTCATCCTGAATGAGCAATAATAAATCATAAAATGACCATTAAAAAGACACTATAATGTTGAAAACCACAGATCAAACCTGTTTCATAATGACTTCTGCTAAGATTATGCACAGCAGTTTACCTTGTTGAGATACTGTGCGAGTTTCTCCCTGCTGACCTGGGCCATGCGGCTGCTGCTGTGAGCAGGCAGGCGGTGGCCGTGCCGCATCAGCTGGTCCAGGTACAGGCTGTGTGGGACCGGGCCGCGCTTCTTCAGCTCATGCAGACGGTTCAAACACATCACTGCTGTGCTCGCTCGTCTGGGAAAACAACAGTCAAGTTCAGCAAAGAGTAGAAAAAACATAATGCTGCCCCTACTGCTGACTAAGCTATGGGAGAGATGGATGGATGAATGCTCAAGTTCAACACAAAGTCTGACAAAGGCTTACTGTCTCTCCTGACATCAAATGAAGCTGCTGACTGGGGTTGGAGGTTTAGGATTGAGGGTTAAAAAGTTATACTTACTATCTCTCCTGCACTGACAATTTAAATGAGACCACCAGATTGGTGGATAGGTTAAATGTTAGAGGTAAAGGGTTAAGGATTAAGGTAAGACACTGTCTCTCCTGTGCTGACACATCGAAGGAAGCTGCCAGACTGGCTCAGAGGTTAAGGGTTAGAGGTTAGGGATTAAAGTTTAAAGTTTAGACTTACTGTCTCTCCTGTGCTGACACATCGAAGGAAGCTGCCAGGTTGACCAGGGAGGGCAGGCAGTGGGAATGTTGGCCACACTCGTGGGGCAGAAGTCTGTTGGCCTGGCAACACAAGAACACAACAAATTGTTGGCATGGCAATGAGGAAACGAAACCATGTGTTGCAAATTCGACTTACTTCAATGATTATCTTTCTATTGTTAATTTGTATTTCTTGTGACTTAATGAGGGAACAAATGACATCCATTTCTGGCAACTTGCTACCATTACATTGCAAGAAACCATTTTGTTTATCAGACGTTTTGCAAACAAGCCACAATTAATATGTGTGGATATTTTACCATATGCAGCAGCTCCCCCAGAAGAACAGTTGCTCGTACAGAGTTGTGGTTGTCACTGGAACGGATCACTTCCACCAGGCTCTGCCAGACAGAATCATGATCCAAAAATCAGAGACTAACTACTTCATGTAAATCTCATACATCACAAATGACAAACAAAGGATTCATTTAGAAACCCTATCAACCCCTATCTATCAGGAATATCAACAACTAACCCTCAGCAATAGCCAGGCAATGCTAGTAGCAATCTGGCCTAAGAGGAAAGTGAAAAGTAGAAGACAGTGAATGCTGTAGTACCGACCTCCAGGAGCCCAGCATTCAGGAAGGCTGACAGCACCAGACCCAGGTAGTTCTCTATTAGGTTGGTTCTGAAAGAATGAATTTCAAGACATAAGTTATTGTGCTATTTGTGTGTGTACTGATAGTCTAGTGACAGTTTTTCTGTTTGTTCTGCATTTCTTTTATTCAACTTCCTCTGTATTTTCTTTCAAAAAAACCTTTGCTTACATACCAATACACTCATGCAAACACACACACACACACACACTCTCTCTCTCTCTCACACACACAGACAAAAACACATGCACACATGTATGCAAATGCATCTGTCCTTGGTGCTGATTGCCATCCACAAGCACACACACGCAAAGATGCCTGTCCTTGGTGCTGAATGCCGTACATATACACACAGACATACAGAAACACACTCATACTCAAACAACTGCTTGGCACTGCACCATCTTATTGAATTCCTTAATCCTTACCTAGAAGACATTCTGCTGGGCAGTACAGACTTGGCCTCCTCGACGACAAACCCTTGGGAAAGTTGCCACGAGTCTTGGAATGTTGAAGGGTCTGCAGAAGGAAAAACTCACTTTACTGGACTGAAGAAGAATATCTAGTGCTTGTTTGCTATTACTTTGCACATATGGTTGATTAAATGTGTCCCTAAACAAGAAGATGAAAGAACACTGACTGTCATGTTATTATCATCAAAAGTATTTTGAAAATCAAGTACATTTTAGGCATCTTTTGAATCTGTATTGTTCAACTTCCAGTAGTATAACTACCCTTAGTATATCAGGATGCCTGAGCCTATAACATAATCCAATAACCTTAGTTGAACCCACCTGAACTCTTCAGTGCAACAGTGAAGTCTTCTGTCCAGATAGGAATGGGAAGTCTGAAGATGTCAAACAAGATGTCCATAATTCCTTGCTGTAAGGAAAAGAGAAAACATTAAAACAGTAGTCCTTAAAAGTGTAAATGAACATTGTCTGTCAAGTATTTCTATGAATTAAGAATTAACAAAATTCAAGCTGTATGAACACCATCTACACACATAAATGCCTGTCCTTGGTGCTGAACACCATCCACATACAAATATGCCTGTCCTTGGTGCTGAACACCATCCACACACAGGCAAATATGCCTGTCCTTGGTGCTGAACACCATCCACACACAGGTAAACATACCTGTCCTTGGTGCTGAACACCATCCACACACAGGTAAACATACCTGTCCTTGGTGCTGAACACCATCCACACACAGGCAAACATATACATGCACCCCCCAAACCCTGAGAATAGTAAGTGCTCTCCTCACCCTAACTTCGTTGTTGGGGATACACAGCACCCCCAGCAGGGACTCTACTCCACTGCCGTCAGGTTTACACAAAACCACCACACCTGGAAAACAGAACAACAAAATGATCAGGTCAGGTTTAGCATGCGGAGCTAAAGGGTGGACTTTATCTTTGGAATCCTACATATACGTCTCATACACAAATATGTCAATTCTAAACAAAGCATCCAGTCTCAAATAACAATTTGCACAATTATTTTTGAGATGGCTGAAAAATCAAACAGGTTGAAACTAGCCAACTTGTTAAAATGCTGACTTCTAATCATGTCAGGAAACAGAAATAAAGTCAGCCCACCTGGCCAGGATCGGAAGATTGTCGCGATGGCCATCTTGCTGGACAAAAGTGTTGTTTCTCTGGCATCACTGAAAATGTTCAGGAGAAATTTTAACAAGTTAGTATCATTCAACATAGCAAAAGAAACTCCTAAAAGTTATGATTTGCAAACAACTGGATAGGGTCATAGTCTTTAGCCATAGACCACTGTTCACTGCACTTCCATTTTGCCATTCTGGCAGTAAGGATGGTTGTACTTACTTGATATGGCTGTCTGGAGTGTCTGCGTTGTGTCTGTAGTGGAAGTCTGTAAAGGGAGCCAACATTTGCTGCAGGGGAAGAAAACACAAGAAAAATAATTTGATATGATTTTTGATTTGTTCATGAGATTTTGAAACTGTCCTGCAGATCAATAGTAACTGATGTGTGATTGGTTAATGAGATTTTTCAAAGTCAAACTTAATTGTGCAACACTTGTCTGAGGAAAAATGTATTCCAAAGTAATCTGCAGCTGGAAAGAATCTGATCTGTTTTTGACTGATGAAATTTAGAAAGTAATCTGCAGCTCAATAACACACACTTAGCATAATATCTGTGATTGGTAAATGTCATTGAGATTGAAAAACTAACAGCACCTGAAAAGAATCTGACATGTGATTGGTTGCTGAGACTAACCTGCAGTTCGATGGCGCGTACGTAGCATCTTGTCTGTGGTTGGTTGATGAGGTGCAGCACAGTTGCCATGAGCGACTCGTTGATGCGAGACAGGTGACAGTCCAGGACGTGGTTCAGGATCGTGCTGACGCCGCCGCACCGAGACACAACCGACGGGTTGTGGATCGCTGTGGGGACAACAAAAACCGTCTCGTTTTCTCTTCTGTATCAGTAAAGCCTGTATAACTGCCCTTCTCTTGTTTTGCTAAATATTTTAGCAAGCATACATCATTAAAGCAGAGGGCAGGAAGAAAAACTTTGATACAGGTGTGTTACACCAAAGGACGGTTATACCGGCTATACTGATACAGATACAGATAATGTCAGAAAGCTGACTGCACGAAGGTTCTCAGACTTTGTTTTCATTACATATTTCCATGGCATTTGTTAGGGAGGCAGCGAGTTATATTACACTGAACATCCTGATGTCACACCTAACACTAAGTTAAATTGCTTTGCACATCTAACTGGAAGATCACAGTTGTTTAAAGCTATCTACTGAGGATGCTCCTATATATAGCAAGTACCAGTCTATGAAAAAAAGATTGAATTAATGAGTGAATGAATAAGAGTATCCAGGATGTCACTACTAGGTCACAAAGCACAGCATGAATGAATTAATGAATGAAAGAGAAGGAAGGAAGGAATAAGAGAGTGAAGAATGTCCGTACCCAGCTCACAGAGCACACACAGGCTGGCGCGGAGAAGTCTGTCTCTCTCCTGCGATCCTTCGTTGCCGACGGAAACCAGCGTGTTGACCAGCGAGCGGGGAAACAACGACGGACTTACGTACACCATCTATGGGAAAAAACACAACAGTCAGTCATGGAGCTACTAACATTAATTCTAAAATACCAGTATAGGATGCTTAACATTGAGTAAGGTTAAGCAATTTTCAGAAGCACATTAGACTGCAAAATGAGTTGAAACTGATAATGAAAAGTTTTTTAAACAACTGAGAAAGTAAAAAATCTTATCCAAAACATCAGGCTCAAAACAAGCACCCACAGCGTTTATATTTTTTGATATTACAAGACCATGTCTTGTGATTTACATCATATTGAAAAAAACAAACAAACAGAAATAACATATTTTGAGCCAGCATAACAGCTTTGATGCCAAAATACAGCAGAGACAACTCTTGATCTCACCTTTCTGATAAGTCTGAGGGCCTGAACTCTCTCCCCATCATTACTCTGGGCAATGTCTAAACATCTGGGAAAAACAACAACAAGAAGTTTCAAGAGATACACAGTTCCTAACCAGTGAGTTCTCTATCATTATTATATCTGTGCAATATCTAGGCATCTGGGAAAAACAAAAACAATAAGGGAGAAACCACAGAGTTCACATGTAGCATGTGTGTGTAGTTCATTGGTTAGTGACACTGACTCTGCCTTCTAAGGGAAAATCTTGGTACATGTATCTCTCTTTCTTTACTCCTTTGACCACACAACTTTGTGCAATAACTATATGAACAGCAGTAGGCTTGTCCTCGGCTTCAACTCCCATACATTTTCCCTAAAGCTAAGTGCCAAACAGAAAAGGCAGTATGTACCATTTTTAGTTCTTTGGTACGGCTTGGCCAAGGATCAAACTCATGACCTACCCACTGCAAGCCAAACACTCTACCCACTTAGCCATTGCACCATAATATAAATCATCCTGCATAACTTATCAAACTGGGTCACCTCTCCTGATGGTGGTGTTGTACTGATCTTATCTGGCCTGGAGGGGGAAGTGCTTTTAGCTTAATCAAGTTTTAGCGTGGGGTGCAGTAAGTAAGAAGCACTGTAGAGTGAGAGGGCACAGAAATACGATTTGGTCTGGCCACAGGATTGAATTATGAAGTCTAATGCCAAGGTAACAGTTACTCAAGCAACTGCCCGGATTTTAATTTAAAAATGGGTGGAAGTCTGATCTCCTAATATGGACATCAGGGGTTCTGAGTGGAAGTCTGATCCCCTAATATGGGCGTCAAGGTTCTGAGTGGAAGTCTGATCTCCTAATATGGGCGTCAGGGTTCTGAGTGGAAGTCTGATCTCCTAATATAGGCGTCAGGGTTCTGAGTGGAAGTCTGATCTCCTAATATGGGTGTCAGGGTTCTGATTGAAAGCCTGATCTCCTAATATGGGCGTCAGGGTTCTGAGTGGAAGCCTGATCTCCTAATATGGACATCAGGGTTCATGAGTGGAAGTCTGATCTCCTAATATGGGCATCAGGGTTCATGAGTGGAAGTCTGATCTCCTAATATGGGCATCAGGGATTCCGAGTGGAAGTCTGATCCCCTAATATGGGCATGAGGGTTCTGAGTGGAAGTCTGATCTCCTAATATGGGGTTCTGAGTGAAAGTAAATCTCACCTTGCAATAAGAAAGTCGACCTTGAGACGCAGCAGAAGTTCCATCGTTGCTGCATCTTTAAGGAAATATCTGAAGACTCGCAGGCCAGCTGCTCGGATTTCTTTTCTTTCGCTAAGGAGGGAGACTCGAACACTAAGGAGGAAAAGGAGAAAGTTAGTGCACGACAATTGTAACAAGGACAAAATAATCATAGAAATATAATGACATCCATGAGAATGCTAAAGAATACCATGAAAATACTGTAAATCTACAAACTTTCATGGTTTTTTTATACATGTACCTGCAAGACTATGAAAAGATAAACAATTGACAATTGTTTTTTCTCACCACTTGATGATTTCTTCACTAGTGAGGCCCCAATCCACATCAGGACCATAGTGGCACAGCAGCTGCAGGGAACATAGCAACATCACAGTATGGAATTTGCATGGCAGGGCTCAAAATACTTCTTTTCTGCATTTCTGGTAAAATTGAAAATTACCTACACCAGGCAGATTTTACCTGCCCCATCAAAATTAAAGAACTGTAAGAACTGATACCCACTCACACCCAATCACTCACTATCCTGAGACAAGTATTAAAACTTAACTTACATTCTGATGCTTGTCTCCGGAAAGTGAGTGACTGAGTGTGAGTGGGTCTCAAATTTTAAGTTTTTTTTTTTTCATCAAGGTTGTTGGAATGTCCCAGAATCAATCAACAACAGACGAATCAGTCAATCAATCAATCATTCTGTCAATTATCCACTTGTTTATTTTTCATTCCTTCCCTCCCTCCCTCCCTACCTTAGGGAAGTTGTTGAGATGTCCGAGTTTGCGGCCATCAGAAATCCCGGCCGGGCGGCAGATGTTCGCCAGGATTTCTCTCAGGTTCTTGGAGGCAGCTGCAAGAAGCAAAGACGAACATAAGAAAATATGAAACACTGTAAATTCACATGAAAACAGTTACTAGTACTTAAGCAATTGGATGGATTTTGAGAAAATGTACGTCATAAAGACACTTTGATTGCAAAGTAAAAATTAAAGATATGAGGTAACATTTGTGTTAACAGAAAATATCTTAATACTTGATCAGTTCTATGTACAAAATCATAAAATCAAGCATGAATTTAGGTGGTGTTACATGATGACGATGACTTGTGTTTTTGTGTGGTATCAAAGAGAAACTAACAATAACTTGAATCTGAATGCGTTAACGTTCCAAACAAATTTCCTGCCTATACAACCTCTTACGCAGAACTGTCGCTAACAATATCAAGGGTTGCCATAGCAACGAACAAGTGGCGGAAAGCAATAAGGAAATTGAGGTCAAGTGGTGCATGTAGGGTGACATTGGGCATTTGGCCGGGCGCCAAAATTCTACATCTTACAACAGATTTATGGTTATACCTCAGATTTTCACATTTTATTCCATTTTGGGGACTACAAAAATAATTCTAAAATATGTACATTTTGCTGTATTGATCCCTGACCTTTCAACTGACCTCTGGGTAAAAGGTCAAGGCCGTTGAAACTGTCCAGTCTAAACAAAGGCAACTGATTTGATTGATGAGAAAAGCATCTGTTCCTATCAACGTTACTTAAGTCTTTTTTATTTCCTTATCATTTTCACATCAAACCAGACAACAAATCGATAGATTACACGTCCCGTGACGCAAGAAGGTTTCGAAAATCGTAGATCGGTTTCAAAAATATTTTTCCACATACGAATACGTCGATATCTAAACCTTTCGCAGACTTGAAACGTAACCGTTAGACGGTCTACACACACGGATATGCACTAAAACCAACCCCCACATTCCCCTGTCTGCCGGCACAAGACGGTCCTATCGATCTCGCCGCGGAGAAGGATTATCCGGGGGACTTTGGGAGATGGAAAATCATTTCGTGTCGGTCAAAACAGACACAAGCGCCGGTTGCGCCGCCATGGATAGAGTGAAAGCATTTCTCTCTCCTCCAGCAATGACTTTCACAACATACACAGCGATCGTAGCAAATCCTGGCCCCTTTATAAGGATAACATCACAGTAGAGGGTGTTCCGTAGCTTAGAAGGGTGTGTGGACAGGATATGAGGGTAAAATCTTTCATCTGATATTGTTTACATAGCCTATAAGGCCGGCACAAAAAAGATATGAGTGTTGTTTTACATAACGGAAGTGCATCATACATACCACGCGTAAAGTCCACGATTACGCTCTCTTCCCCGCTTTCGTGGCGAGCTGTGGGGAGAAAAACACACGCAGGAGTTATACTGGAGAAACTGCAGGATTTTTAGGCGGAATAAAAGCGCGGGAAGACAGACAAAACGGTTTTTACCTCTCCTCTTGACGGAGCGAAGACTTCGCCCCCGGACGGCCGCCATGTTGGCTACTAGCCGGCTTCGCTGCGCATGTCCGGAAATATCAGTGTTGACCTCAAGTAACCCAAGGGGGTGTGGCACTTTTTGTCTGGAAAATGATGTCTTAAATATTACGTTTAAGGAAGTTTTCTTGCAGTAGAAAACACGGAAGAAGGATACTAGAGACTTTGGAGATAACTGTGCATTCCTTTGCCAACAACTTGAGCAACTTTTATAGCAAAATAGGTTACATAATACATTTACAATTACTTATCATCTATTGGCTAGCTTAGAATAAAGCAAAGAGGCCTTAAGTTACGTATTTTTTAAACCTTGAATTTAGAGGATGATTTGAGAGGAAACAGTTCTGGGTCTACAGAAATTTCGTGTTTGTGTCGGTCTTAGCGCATTATACAGAAGTATAAAAATGTCCTTGGTCTTAGCCAGAAATAGAGGGGTTGACGTCATACCCTTGACGTCATTGGGGTTCAACGTCCTGTAGCACACAGAGAGCCGAAGGGTTGAGCGTTCTGCAGGGCAGTTCGGGTCAAAGACCATCAAAGAGTAAAGGCCATTTTAGTAGACATTTAGACGCCTTAGTGAGTTATTGAAAGGTTGAATAGCAAACCTCACTCCTAATGCATTTCAACCCTAATCTCCAAGCAGATCACAGTGGCAAGGCAGTATCCATTGGCCAGAGGAGTGTCCACTAACCACAAATGGATGCTGTCTCACCCAGGCTAATGGATACTGCCTCAGGCCAATTTGATACTGTCTTTTGCGTCCACTGAAAGCTAGATCTGCTTGGAGATAATTTCTCTCCTATAGTTTAAAGACTCTTCAAACACGGAGCATTTCAAAGAGAGTTTATCATTGTGAATTTTAGATATTTGTGCACTAAAATCGGTTTCCTGCTGTGTATCATTGATTCCACCAACAAACAATTCATTTCTCCATCCATCCATCCATCCATCCATCCATCCATCCATCCATCCATTCATTCATAAATTCACTCACTTTCCAGTCACTATTGGGATATACATGTACATGTGTATCAAAGTAGTCAGATTCATGTTTTTCTCCTTAGGTGATCTTTAATTGCATACTATGATTGTTCTGTCCTCTCCTGTTTAATAAAATGATAAAGATGTCAGAGATCATAATTATGTTATGTTATGATATAATCTAAAACTTGTAGTGGTTGAAGTCTTAGTACCGGTAATGGTTCTTGTTATTTTCAGTACTGACAGGGGTCACAAATCAGTGCCACAAGTGAATTCATCTGCAGTATTTGAAAGACCCTTTCCTCCATAGCAGGCTTCTGGCTTGCTTGTCTTTGGCTTGCTGTTTTCTTGTAGTTTTCTTATAGTTAGTTCTGATTCTATGACTGTGGCAATATTGAGACTGAGTGCAATCATAACTGAATACACATTCAGAAAACAGCACGATAAGTCAATAAAAGCCCTACCAAAAGCCTAATATATGTACATGTACTATAGAAACTAGAAGGACACAACAGTTATACTTATAGACTCTTCAGAAGATTTGTAATACTAATTGCACTCAATACAACATGTATGTAGCTGAGCTTATTATCGACCTCTCCTGTATGTATATATGTATGCATATAATATGAGACATCAGGGCGGAAACTACATCTAGTTTAGCAAAATGGCAACAAACATTATTTAGTGGTAATACAGGCTTCCAATAAATCTACAAAGAACTTGATAATTTGCAGTTTTGCATTTTTTTCCTCACCCTAAGATAAGAGGAAGCAATATTATTTTTGCCCCGTCTGTCCTTATGTGTGTGTGTCTGTGATTCTCAACATGTACATACACAATGCAGTTGCCGTAAGGCCGCAAGCGTGATAACCAGACCACCGGGAACTCCCCGTTATGTTTACGGCGCTGGGAGTGCTGACCTCCCGCCCAGGTCCATAACCGCACACGGGGAATTTTACGGGGTTGGTTTCATGAACCGGCTGAGAATATATAACAGTTATAGCTGTCAGAAAATGCCTTGTGCTTAGTAAGACTGGGAAAGGACCTAAAAGCTGTGTTTACCTGGCTTTAAAGACTGCAAGCAACGTACAACCACCACGGGAAATGCTACGGGACCTTGCGCGGGCGAATCTGCCGCTGGTCCCGAGGACATAGCTGCTCTAACTCGGTGAAGTTTGCATCCGTGTATTGCATAAACAATACCGCCAAAATGTCAGACACTTGCACAAAGTATGTCTGTTGTATTGTCATAACCGATTCTGTGGCTGCTTTTTTGTATCATTGAGTATTTACAGAAAACGAGGGGCAACATTCGCCATCGGGAGCTCTCCGGTATCTCTACGGCGCTGGGAGTTTCCCCGCCCGACCAGGTCCCTAACTGCACATCGGGAATTTTACGGGGTTGGTTTCCGGAACCGGCTGAAAATATATGTACTTGTAGGCTATCATAAAATGTCTCATGCTTAGTAGGACTGATAAAGGGCTTAGTAAAACACACAAAAGCCGTGGTTACCAGGCTAAAGACTACAAGCAACGTACAACAGCTACAGCGGACGCTAGTACGGGACTCCGCGGGCGTATCTGCCGCTGGTCCCGAGGACATATAGTAATAGCTGCTCTAACGCGGTGACTTTATCGGCGTGTATTTCATAAACGGCACCGCCAAAATGTCGGACACTTGCACAGAATACGTCTGTTGTATTGTCATCATCAATTCTGTGGTTGCTTTTTTGGCATTCTCGAGTATTTAAAGAAAACGAAGGGCAACACTCGCCTCGTAGCCATGCCATCGGGAGCTCCCCGGTATCTCTACGGCACTGGGAGTGCTGCTCGACCGCCCTGGCTCATTACCGAACATCGGGGAATTTTACGGGGTTGGATTAAGAAACCGACTAGACATACAGGCCGTCAGAAAAGACATATGCTTAGTAGGACTGGGAAAGGGCTTAGTAAGACACCAAAAAGTCGTACTTACCAGGCTTAAGACTGCAAGGAACGTGGAGCAACAGCGGCGGACGCTACGGGACTTTGCTCGGGCGAGTCTGCCGCTGGTCCCGAGGACATAGCTCCTCCAACGCGGTGAAGTTTTGCGGCCGTGTATTTTATCAAAGGCGTCGCCTAAATGTCCGAAACTTGCACAGAATATGCCTGTTGTATTGCTATCACCTATTCTGTGGCTGCTTTTTTGGTATTAATGAGTATTTACAGAAAACGAGGGGCAAAACTCGCCTGGTAGCCATGCCATCGGGAGCTCCCCGGTATCTCTACGGCGCTAGGAGTGCTGCCGTCCCGCCCGGGCTCATTACCGTACGCTGGGGCATTTTTACGGGCTTTGTTTCAATCAGTTCGGAACGACACTAATCAGAAAGGCTGACTGGAAAGATGGGCGGCCAGGAAAAAATATTGTGCTCTCTAAAACGCCGCTAAACACTCAAGATTCGGCCACTAAAAATTGGTAAACTGAAAAACACCGAGCCGCGTATCGGCATCTCATGCCGTTTCGGGGCAATTTTTAGCAGTTTACAAGACACCAGGCAACGTTACATTAGGTATACAGAAATATTTGAGCCAACAGATGTTGTATCATTTCATAAAAGTTACCTTTATTGCATATTTCCTCCACTCACCCCCATGAAACTCCTTCCTCTTCGCCCCCGCCGTTCTGCTTCGCCCCCGCCCCGTTCTGCTTCGCCCCCGCAAAAAATCTGCTTCGCCCCCGTCGTTCCTCTACGCCCCCGGCGCAATTCTGCTTTGCCCCCGTCCTTCTGCTTAGCCCCCAATGGCGGCACAGCTCACAGTCGACACGAAAATCGTCTGCAAAATAACAATAAAGGCTGTGCCGCCAAATTTTAAAGTAGCCCATGCTCCGGCAAACATTCTGGACCACCTTTCTGCCAAGTGGCGTTGCACAAATCCTTCCCATTCAAAAGTTTACCCCTACCTCACGGCCCGTCAGTGGTTCTTACGTTTATAAGTACTGGCGTTTATAAGTACAGCCGTGAGTGAAATTTCCCGCCAGTACTTATAAACGTAAGAACCACTGACGGGCCGTGAGGTAGGGGTAAACTTTTGAATGGGAAGGATTTGTGCAACGCCACTTGGCAGAAAGGTGGTCCAGAATGTTTGCCGGAGCATGGGCTACTTTAAATTTGGCGGCACAGCCTTTATTGTTATTTTGCAGACGATTTTCGTGTCGACTGTGAGCTGTGCCGCCATTGGGGGCTAAGCAGAAGGACGGGGGCAAAGCAGAATTGCGCCGGGGGCGTAGAGGAACGACGGGGGCGAAGCAGATTTTTTGCGGGGCGAAGCAGAACGGGCGGGGGCGAAGCAGACGGCGGGGGCGAAGAGGAAGGAGTTTCATGGGGTTGCCACTTCTCTCCGCCTGACATTCCGAACAACTCAATGGCTGCCATCCGTGCAATCGACTGAATCGTTGATTTTTGCCGCGTGTCAAAAGCGCCGGCTGGCGGATTAGAACGGTACGGATCCACGGTAAAATTGTCAATGCGAATTTACATTGTTTGCTTAAGAGCGTCCCCTAGCAGCTATTAATATTAGTGCTTCAACTGAGTATGTGTGCTAAAAATATTAAACCAATCAGAAGAGACATTAGAAATCTAATGTTGCTGAAGAATCCATCGGACGTACCTATTGGTCAATTTCTCTACTGCAGCTCTATTTCCTCCGCTGTGTCCAACTATAACCGCAAAATATATAATCATGGTTAATGATCAATAATCTATTGAAAATCAACATTTTAAAAATACTCCTTTATGGCAAAATGATATTTAGAGTTAATATCAAGCTGTTTGTAACACGAAATTATGATAGTTTGCAGGGACTACTTTGTTCCAGCGGTGTTGGACAAGTGTGTTGTTTGGTTACGTGCGGGAAACTACTGACACGGTAGTGACTCGAGGCTCAAACAAATTGACCAATCAGTGCAATGTATGTATTGGCTGCTGATTGACCAATAGGTATGTCCAACAGATTCTTGACCAAAGGTTGTTTTCTAATGTCTCTTCTGATTGGTGTAACTTCTCTGACACTTTAGTCAATCCGCTCACATTGCGAAATGACACAACTATAACCGCAAAATATATAATCATGGTTAATGCTTAATGATTTATTGAAAATTAACATTTTAGAAATATTCTTTTATGGCAAATGATATTTAGAGTAAATACTAAGCTGTTTGTAACACGAAATTGTGATATTTTGCAGGAACTACTTTGTTCTAGCGGTGTTGGACGTGTGTGTTGTTCGGTTACGTGCGGGAAACTACTGATACGGTAGTGACTCGAGGCTCAAACAAATTGACCAATCAGTGCACTGTATGTATGTATTGGCTGCTGATTGACCAATAGGTATGTTCAATAGATTCTTAACCAATTATTGTTTTCTAATGTCTCCTCTGATTGGTGTACCTTCCTTGACACGCCTAGTCAATTCGAAGCACTAATATTATTGGCTGCTAGATGTCGCTCTTAAATAGACAATGTAAATTCGTATTGGCAATTTTACCACCGACAAGTACCATTGTAATCCGCCAGGCGGCATTTTTGACACGTGGCGAAAAATATGCGATACAGTCTGGTAATCCACTGCGCTGATGGCAGCCATTGAATTGTTTTCTGGACCATATACTGTGATGTTTGTCGGAACAAAGCGGAGAAAGTATGCAATACAGGTAACTTTTATGAATTGATTTAACTTCTGAAGACTCTTATCTTTCTAAATATCCAAGGTATCTTTGCCTGGCGTCAGTTAAACTGCTAAAAATCCAAGGAGACGAGGCTCGGCTCGGTGTTGAGTTGATCTAGCCTTAAGCTTGGTAACCATTTTCACGGGCCGAATTAAATGGGTTTTACCGACCCTTACTGTAAGAATCTGCCTTTTCCAGGCAACCTGTCTACCTAGTCGGCCTTTCTGCTCACTGTCGTGCTAAAATTACCGAAACCGACCCCGTAAAAATGCCCCGACGTGCGCTAATGTGCCGGGCGGGAGGGGGGCACTCCCAGCGCCGTAGAGATGCCAGGGAGCTCCCGGTGGCATGATTACCAGGCTAAAACCAAGGCGCCTCCTTGTAATACTCGATAATACAGGCGCCAGACAACTGAATTAGCCAAGACCAACATATTCTGTGTAAGTGGCTGACTTTTATGTGATGAATTCCATGAAATTTACGGCGAAAAAGTCACCGCGTTAGAGCAGCTATGTCCTCGGGACCAGCGGCAGATTCGCCCGCGCAAAGTCCCGTAGCGTCCCCCGCTCCGGTGGCTGTTGTACTTTGCTTAGTCTTAAACCAGCTTGCAGGAAAATCAGACATAGTAGTGTTTGCTACAAACCATTGAAGGAATAGGGCTTTTCTGGTAGCCTATATGTCCAACCGGCCCCTAAAACCAACCCGTGAGAATTCCCGGGCGTACGGACTGGGCCTGGGCGGGAGGGGGGCACTCCCAGCGCCGTAGAGATGTCAGGGAGCTCTCGGTGAACTGTTTACCAGGCTAAAACCAGGGCGCCTCCTTGTAATAGTCGATAACAGAGAAGCCAGACAACTGAATTAGCCAAGACCAACATATTCTGTGCAAGTGGCTGACTTTTATGTGATGAATTCAATAAAATTTACGGCGAAAAAGTCACCGCGTTAGAGCAGCTATGTCCTCGGGACCAGCGGCAGATTCGCCCGCGCAAAGTCCCGTAGCGTCCCCCGCTCCGGTGGCTGTTGTACTTTGCTTACAGTCTTAAACCAGGGAAATCAGGCTTAGTAGTGTTTGCACAAAACCAATTCCTTTGAAGGAATAGGGCTTTTCTGGTAGCCTTTATGTCCAACCGGCCTCTGAAACCAACCCCGTGAGAATCCCCGGGTGTACGGAATAGCCTGGGCGGGAGGGCAGCACTGCCAGCGCCGTAAACATACTGGGCAGTGCCCGGTGGTCTGGCTACCAGGCAAAGCTGAAAACCCGCTGGGGTAATACAAAGGAAGAAAACTGAGTAAATGACGACTGACATGTTTCGTACAAGTGCTAACAAGTGTGATTTAAGGGGAGATATATGAGAGATACAATGTGTATTGGAGCATGATTGGAGATTGTTCTATCAATAAATGTGTTTTATGAATAGCATTCAACAACTGCTTATGTGATCTTTCTATATACAGTTAAAGTTATAATGTCAGAAAAACAATAGCATGGATAGAACAGTCATCACTTTTTCTTATTTTTCTTAGGGTTGAATCGCACAACATGACATCAATGGCAAGAGGAGAAAAGATGGGGAAAACATCACCAAAGCATTCAGTCCAGGGAAACAGGTGGCAGATATGAGGTGGATTGGTCCTCTTTCCATGAGTGAATTTGAGGTTAAGTTATACAGGCATATGATATGATATGGTATGGTATGGTATGATATATGGTATGGTATGGTATGATATTCTACTTAAATATGATACATGATGATTGTACTGGTAATAGTATGATAGGATACAATTTCAGCAATGTTGACATGGTCAATACTGACATGACATGACCATATGTAATGCTCAAACTAAATTAGCATTAATGGTCATTACTTAATATTCATTATTATTTGTCAGGGATTCAGCTGGACACTTGACTGGCACAAACATCCACCAAGGGACAACACACGGTCCCCCTCCTGGCCTGGAAATTCAGTCCTGATGCCGACTGCTTCTTGTCGATGCCTTCGAGACGGGATCCTGGTAGTATCCACCAGACTCCTTTGCAGGCTTAGAGGAGATCGGCCAAAAAAAGGATGTTACTGACCAGGGGAGTTAGCTGGCCATTAAATGAGGGGCAGTGCAGCAGAATCGAGTCTGATAAGGCTGATTACATACATACTGATTGCCAATACAATTTTGTTTTGCATCTTTAAGTTTTGTCAAAACAAATTTTTTTTACAAATAATACATTGTTAGTATTATTTGTAACTTTTCCGATGTCATGTCGATTTGTTTTACCATAGGAGGCTCTACAAAACATGCTACATGTGCCCTATCAACACAACAGTGCAGCCGTTGATTAAGTCAACAATTCTGCAGTTAGCAACCTGGCAGAAAAGGGGTGCTAAAATGTGACCATGAAAAAGGCTGAATTAATGAGGTACATACCGGGTAATTAGTGTTACTTTGTAAACACGCTATCATTCAAGAACAATGCGTTTGCGAAATTCAATGCGTCCGAACCAACTGTGAAGACCCATGCACCATTTCCCCTAGCCTGATTAAATCGCTTTTGCCGGCCGCCCAACATCCAGCCGGCCCTCTTGGGTGGCGGACTATGTAGGGAGCCCCCGGGAGCTTGGGTTACATAGGCTACATTTCCCCCATTCATTCATCAGTTCATTCATTCTCCAATCATTATTATTAGCTAGTATTTTTTACTGCCAATATATGACATATATTCTCCCAGTAAACAAAGACAGAAAGCCATGCCACATTCATTCCTTTGCTTTTGGCATCACACCCCTTTCCCCTGGTACACATAGCTTCAGGAATGAACAAATATACATGTTGTCAGATTCAAGTTTTATTTCCAAGATGATCTTTAATTGCATGATATGATTGTTCTGTCATCTCTTATTCAATAAAAATGTCATCAGAGAACCGAAGAAATGAATCTCTGTGGTCTTGAGTCAATAGAAATCATCAGTAAGACACTTCTTTGCACAAGTCTTTACCTTTAGCCAGCTTTAACTATGCAAATTTACAAAATATAGAATTCTACTCCACCTTGTTTTAAATGTACTAGAAATATATAACATTTACAAGAAAAAGATACAAGTACAATGCTATTGCACATTATATTACAACCCAAACACATGTACTACATAGTTCTTTATACATATAACATTAGAGAAAGATTTAGACATTCAAAACGTGACAAGAAAATAGTCAACTCGAGTCCGGCAAAGCCAAAGGACATATCCCATCTTATACAATCAGAAAGCAGCATTCATTTTACTCTTTGTCATAGCCAATGAGCATCACTTATTAATGCATCTTTTTAAACATGATTTGTTTGGCCAATCAGCATCCCTGTTGTATGAGGACAAGGCTCTTATTTGGTCCATCTGGCCAATCAGCTCCTCTGTTGCATCCTCCTCTCTCATCTGGTTGTTCCAGGCTCAGGAATTGCTGCAAAAGGAAAAAAAAAGTTAGATACTTGCTTTAGTAACTTTATAGATGATGAAACACGCAGGCATTTACTATAATAGTATTATGAATCTATGAACAGTGCATAATGAATAGACAAAGAATGCATTGTGGAATTCCGTACATATATATTCAATGCCTAATGTACAGCCAAATGAATTGAATGTATACGTAGCATATAGCAAATCTCATCCATCCCTTAGTCTAGTTATTTCACCATTCGAGCACACTGAGAAGAAGAAGGTCTCCCGTGCTCTTATACCAAGCGTAGGGTGGTGACCATCTCCATTTCGTAGCCCTTGGGCGACACACAGTTGTGCAGGGCACTACAGCAGGGGGCTAGTCCGCTGGTAGTGCTGTGTGTTTGTCCTTCCCACACTTTTTCTCATATGTGCTGAGTGCTAAGCAGAGAAAGAAGTGTGTACCATTTTTAAAGTCTTTGGTATGACCCGGCCGGGGTTTGAACTCACGACTTCCCGGTTACAAAGCAAGCACTTTACCAATTGAGCTATTGCACCGGTTTTCAACACAGAGAATGAACTGCTTTAAACTTACGTTCTGTTGCTAGGAGAGTGTTGCCATGGCTACAGGAGACAGAGATGATCTGGAACGGCTCATTATCGAGGAGGGGGACAGGTTTGGGGATGTTGGTGTTCTCCTCCCTCCTGCCCAGTCTGCCCCTCGACCCCTTCCCCCACGTGTACACTTCTCCTTCTGGAACAACAAAACATTAAACAAAGCACTGATTAGAGGTAAAAAGGCAGTCCTAAACTACTATATTATATAGTAAGGCCATGTTGATTTGATTATATGGATGACATCCGCGCGCGCATGAATTTTCAGCCATTTCCAAAAAAAAAAAAGTTTTCAACCATACTGTAAATCGTGCAAAACAGTTGCTAAATGAGCAAAAATATACCATAAGTTGCAAGGAAAACATTTAGAAACGATACCAATGTCGTAGAATGCCAAAATCAAAGGAAAAAAGACAAAAATGTAAAGAAATTAATTTGAAGAGTAGATTATTCGCCATAACATATTCTGTGTCATTTGTTCAACCTTCATGACCACGTAGATTTCATAGTGAAAGCAACTTTTTTTTTTTGCAAAACTTTTTTTTAATTCGCACGCGTGCATCAGTTTTGGGGTTCCCAGAGGATGTCATCCATATAATCAAATCAACATGGCCTAATCCCCAAACTGATGGCAATGGCAAAATTGTATACATGATCGACCAGCAAGCCGCTATGCACTGGGTAATATAGTCATGTAATAAGTATACTGCCTGGCTGATTGGCTAGTGCCTTGCCTGTTTGTGGTGATTTTGCCACCATAACATCTGCTTGGAGATTAGTCCCATAGCCTTTTTGAGGCCGTAGAGGCAGTGGGTTGTTATTCCAGTGTGCCTAGGGCATGCCATAAGACGTTAGAGCCCATCACTCTCCTTCCACTGCCTTTTACCTCCCCTACTTAAGTCAGGTACCCATTTTACACTTGGGTGGAGTGAGGAAAGCTGTGTAATTTCTGTTCTAACTAGGACACAGTGTCTAGTCAGAAAATTCAAGGGATCAAACCCATGTCCTCTCAATTTTGTTAAAACTTTTCAAGTATACCTGTAGTGATAGCCACAGTAAAAGTATCCCCACGTTTGGCCATGCTGATACGTACCTACAGTGATAGCCACAGTAAAGGTATCTCGACATTCCACCATGCTGATACGTACCTACAGTGATAGCCACAGTAAAGGTATCCCCACATTCGACCATGCTGATACAGACACCCTCCAGGGCAGGCACCAGTTGCGGCCTCCTGTCTTTGCTGTCCTTCTGGTAGCCCAGCTGGTTAAAGTTGTTGGCTCCAAACGTGTAACACTGCCCTGACTCTGGACAGGTAAGATAAACATATATCTCAATCATGATACTGAAAAGCTACATGTAAATCTTCCACTGTTCCAACAGGAAACAATATAATCTAGAAACTTTTCAGGTAACATTTGCAAAGAAAATACACAATACTAGTATTTACCTTCACAGGGTCTAGCCAAACAAACTTCTGCTCTGTTTATTCTTACTAAAACATACAATGACATATAATATATGGTGACCAGCCCCTCCAACTGTCTTGCTACATTATGTAATCTACACCACGGGGTGTCTACTACTGCACCAGTTACCCTAGTGACTGCAAAACCTGTTGTCAGACCTGTGATGGCAGCAGAGTGTGAGGTCCCCAGTGCCACAGCTGATATCCTGGTGGTCAGAAGAGGAGCAGAGCTTGCAGGAACAAACACACACATCTCATCTATCTGCTGTGACGGGGAGTCGTCCGCCGGTAGGATGTCCAGACCCAACTTGTTGTGCCTGTGAAAAAAAGCAAGGAAATTGTGAGGGTAAATCCACATCATTAGGCACACCAGACTCAAGCAAATGTCAGTCTTTCTAGTGCCACTTTCCTAATTCTATTCCTCATTCTTCTCCTGCCATTTCGTTAACATATTTGAAACATTTCAAGGTGTACAATAGTACAATGAAATATGCCCCAGGCAGCTGAGTTTGCTGGGTACTGCATCAGAAACAGCTCTGAGAGAGGAACAAGTGTTCAAAATATTACATGTACTATGGGCACTAACACAAGAAATAAGGAGGCCTGGGAGGTGGAACCACATACACAGAAAGGTTGAAGAGGGATATCAGAATAGACTCATGGTCATGTGTGACAGAAGCTTCTGCAGGGCAACCACTGTGGTTTGAGTGGCTGAGGAAAGTTGGCACTCCACTTAAGTCATGTAAGTCAAGTCAATTATTAACTAGAAACTTTTAAGGTAATATTTGCAGAGCAAATGCATAATGTTTGCCTTCACATGGTCTAGCCCAACAAACTACTGCTCTGTTCATTGTTACTCATGAACACATTTGATATACATGTACAATATATGGAGACCAGTCTCTGCAACTCTGTCTTGCTACAAAATGTTAACCCAATACCACAGGGTGTCTACCAGTTACCATGGTGACAGACGTCTGGTCCAGGTCATTGACTTATTTGTTTGGAAGGGAGGAAGAAAAAGGAACAGAGCAAAAACATGACATTTCAATATGTTTTACTTCTGCGAAGGTAAACATAAAAAGATCGCAGGATCCACAAAGATAGCCTGAGTGTCAGCCTTGTTAGCTTTCGTCCGCTACCCAAGATCTGCTCCCCGTCACGGATCTTGGGTAGCGGATGAGCACGGGCAAAACAAACAAACAAACAAGCCCACCTGTTGCTGCCACAGCCCAGCAGTCTGTTGTCGGTGGTGAGGAGAATGGAACAGTCCACTCCGCAGTGCACAGACTTCACCAGGTGGGGGGAGGGGATGAGCACGGGCAAAACAAACAAACAAGCAAACAAACAAACCCACAAACAAACCCACCTGTTGCTGCCACAGCCCAGCAGTCTGTTGTCGGTGGTGAGGAGAATGGAACAGTCCACTCCGCAGTGCACAGACTTGACCAGATGGGGGGAGGGGATGGGCACCGGTTGGGGGGTCGAGTAGGACTCTCTGTTCCCCAGCCCCAGCCGACCTACAGAACACACGGTCAAGGTCAATAAAGGGGACAAGGTCAAAGCATAATACAGCCTTATAGAGCTGAGGAAAGACGCACAAGTCTTGTTTAAGGAATCCCTAATGTCAAACACCAGACAGCCTACAAAAAGTCAAGGTCAGAAGTGATGTTTCAAGGTTTCAAAAACCTTCTGATTCTGAGAAAATGTTTCATTGATTTCCTAACCATTAAAAGATGTACAACTCTGAATGAAGAAACTCCTGAACAAAAGGACTTAAACTTAATAATCAAACTGCTCTTGATCCCACTAACTTCAATATCTGTAAACCTTTCTGAATCTTTCCACTTTGAAAGAAACTAAAACTTTAAAAGTTTGAATCTTGAATGCTTTTGTGGGAAAACCTACCAATTTGAAAGTGACCATATTTTTCACTTCTCTAAGGATTCAAGTACATGTATATAACTTGAATGCTCTTAGAATCAAATTAATCAAAAATGTTTGACAGCCAAACCTACCGTGGTCACCCCTTCCCCAGGAGAACACCTCATGTTCGTTGGTAACCGCCATGACGTGCGTCGCACCACATGACACCAGTGTCACCTCAAACCCCAACAGAGCCTCCACAATCTTGGCCTGCTGCACGTCGTTCGTTTGCCCGTGCCCCAGGCATCCGTTTGTGCCGCTCCCAAACGTCATCAGGATTCCGCGGTCTAAAAACAACAGATGCCATATTGTTAATATCTATTCTCCAAATTTAATGACTTCCTCTATGAAGAATTGGTCAACAGGAAAGAATGTATTGTTTAGTCTACTGAGACAGGATTGCCATCATCACAACATACACAATGTGAAACTGCAAGACAGAAGCACACGTTGGGCTGATATCACAATGGTTGATAATGACAATCCATGCTGTCCTGTTTTAGTTTGGATGTTGATTGTATATAGTGTGTTTTAATTTGTTCAAATTGTCTTTAATCAACCCTGTGTAAAAATCAGAGCACAATACAGGGGTGTGTTAGCCAATCCCTGCTTTTGTACGATTTTGTTGAATTGAATGAATTGAAATTGAATTAAGCCTCAGCATCCACGTACAAACACGTGCAAGATGGGGACCAACAGACCATAAACTGGATTGTGATCAAGAGTGTGAGTACTAGTCTATGCTTTGGGAAAAGTGCTGCTTCCTACATTTCACCCTGGCCTCAGTCCAGTTATTGATAATCAGGTAAAAGTTGCAGAGCATCACAGCTGGAGGGGCTAGGAAAAGTTGACCCACCTGTAAGGCAGGCTGTGAAGAGGTCCCCGCAGGACACTTGCTTGATGGTGACCCCGGATTGGCCCTCTAGGAACCGGGGGATGAACTGCAGCGCGGCGTGGTCTGTGGCACCCGGCATGGCAGCATCCGTGGCAACAGTCGGGACCTGCAGACGGGTGGACAAGGTTTTTGTAAGTTCATTTAGTATACAGTAGTATCTCTGTCACTCTCTCTGTCACTCTCTCTCTCTCTGACTGTCACTCTCTCTCTCTGTAACTTTCTGTCTCTCTTTCTCTGTCTCTCTCTCTCTCTCTCTGACATTCTCTCTTTCCCTCTCTCTGTCTGTCTGTCTCTCTCTTTCTCTGTCACTCTCTCTCTGTCAGTCAGTCTCAAAAGACTATGACTAACTGCGCAAAACAAGCAAAGAGGATGGCTCATTCCTAGTAGCTATAGCAAGACAAATCACATTTGAGCCTAAAGTCTTCATACAGAAATAAATGTCCAAGTAGTATACATATGTACTTCTGGTAGACTCTTCATAAACAAGTCATACGACAACTTACATTTTTGGCTAGAAAACAAGTGGCCACTAGCAAATTTTAGTCTTACTCTAGTGAAATTTACCACACTAGTGTGTTTAACGTTAAGTTAGTGAGTGAGGCTAACCTCCCACATGATGAGTCGGCCGTTCCTGGTCACACCTGCCTTCTGGGTACGTCCTGTCGACACCTGCATCACCTGCCAATCAATCAATCAATCAATCAATCAATCAATCACCTTGTTTGAAATTGACATGAGTCGCAGCAACTCTTCCCAGAGGTTTAGTGGGAATGTATTCAGAGTCAAAACATTGAAAAAAAGCATAAAATTAAATGTTAAAGGAATGAAGAAGCAAACAAAGAAACAAATGTCATTGAATGACTGAACAAACCTTTATTTATCCTTTTGATAACAATAATGTATTGAAATAATGATTTTTCTGAAAAGAAAAGCTACATGAGATATGATGCATGCTGAGTGTTACTGGAGTACACAGTAGGGGAAAATAGAGCTGTTGAAGTTATCAATAACATTGTCTGGTTCTAACGCTGTTGGATACATTTGTTCACCTGAGTGTCGCTGTGTGGCAGCTGCAGCTTGACCGGCTGGGTGATCCCCCCTCCCCAGGAGTACACAGTTATCAGTAATGCTGACCGGCTGGGTGATCCCCCCTCCCCAGGAGTACACAGTTATCAGTAATGCTGACCGGCTGGGTGATCCCCACCCCAGGAGTACACAGTTATCAGTAATGCTGACCTGAGTGTCGCTGTGAGGCAGCTGCAGCTTGACCGGCTGGGTGATCCCCCCTCCCCACGAGTACACGGACGACAGCGGGCGGGGCTGCGCTAGGTTACCGCTCGAGTCCAGTACTACACTCGCTGCACCTGGGGGTGTGGGGGGGGGGGACAGGTTCAGAACCATAATCATAATCATTCTTTATGTCAGTGTAGACACATAGACACACACACACATACACATAAAGGAACAAACACACTCACCCATGCACATACATACATGTGAAAAGACACAATGTTTAAACACACACACACACACTCACATACATACAATATGTCATACATACATACATACACACACAAAAACACAATAAAAGACACAAACACACAGTAAATGTATTTGTAAACACATACACATTAACACATACATGTACACACACTTTCATACACATACACATATAAAATTTAATGCATATACATGTAGATACACACAGACATACACACATGAACACATAGTGTCACATACATGATTGTACACAATGTATTATATTAGCTAAGCTACTCACTCCTGTGAGACCGCGCACTGCTGACCCTGCTGCCCCGTCCTCTGGTCACAGGTGGCAGGCTGGATAAGGGATGCTGCGGTCTGTAGGACAACATGGAAATGTAGATATGTTAGATATCATAAAGACTTAAAGCTAAACAAACATTGTAACAGTTACTGTAACACATACAATGTAATATACCAAAGTTGTGTCAGGTCACCCTAACACCCTGACAAAATGTGTCTCTGTAGAATCTGATATTTTTACAACAATATATAACAATATTGGTTAAATATCTATAAGAACACACTCACTCAGTATGCCTTTCTAGGGGTGGATATGTGTTCAGTTCAGTTCAGGTGTGTGTAACCCAGCAGATGAATGTTACATATTAGAAAATAATAAAAAATCAATATGCAGAAAGATATTTTGGATTTTTATTAAAATTTACAGCCATGTAAAATATAAAGTTAAACTTTAGGAGTATAGGGGCAGTGTACATATTGCTTTCTAGAGCCTAAGGCTACATTTAGAAAAGGGTGCCTTCAAGCATAGTCTTTTCCATCTTTTCACCAAACCCAACAGATTAATAACTAGCTATAGAGTAACTGTGTTACAGTAACTGTGTTTTGCAGTCAGGGTACAAATTGTTTACAGTCTCAAACTGAGAACCAATCTACAGTATTTATTGGGGTGCAATAATGGTAAGTATCCCCGTAAGTGGCCACTCCTGCAATGCACACTGTAGGTGGGTGGAACCTATGAGATATTAGATTAAGTTAGGCCTGGAACAGCTAAATGAAATAATGCACAGTCACGTAGACACAACAGAAGTCACTTACTTATAAGCTCTTTTTGTCTTGGAAGACAGTCTACAGCTTTCTACATATACATATTTGGTTACAGTAGTTATATATTAGACCACAGCAATAGCAATGGTAGATTTATTTTGATTTACAGGGAAACAGACTGGTCAATATTAACCCAAACTTCTGCGCAGGCTTGGTACATTCAAGTACCTGCTCACCAAACAGGAGATCCAAGTTCCACACCCAACTTTGCAACAAACAGGTGAGCTTTCTTTAGTCTAATTCCCTGTACCCATTCTATACGTACTGTACTCTATACATGTCATACTTTTGGGACATAGATGTTAATGTGACAGTTACATGTTTGTCTAAATAATCTACCAGAGACTTGGGAAAAATAACACCACAACATAAGAGTCAAAGCCTAGGCCTCTTCAGAAGTTGGCCATTCCTCAGTGTACATATTTTATGCCTTGTTTAAGTACATGTACTCTGGATCCAGGGCTTACATTTGTAAATTATAAGACGTTCTAAAGCACCTTGGTCATTCAAACCTTGCCTCAATGCAATAGGCTATTCAGAGTTGCACTAATCATGAGTCTTTGATTTCTATAAAGAGGAAATGACATACATGTATATTAGGACACAGCCTGCAAAAGAAGGTTAAAGGACTAACTTAAGTCTCTAAGTCCTACAGTTATTATAGTCAAATTCTAGTGCGGCTATCTAGTAACAGTATACTATTACTAGATATGTTACTGCATTTCTCAAGGTTCATGGCATTTAAAGGCCTTTAAACATGTTACTTTGAGCTTTTCGCACATACATGAGGGTTCCTTGATTCTAATGGTCTGCAAATTATGATAAAACTAAGGCCACACAAGTTAATTTCAATTGTTGATTCTCGGATTTGCCTCTTCACTTTTTTCTGATTTGCAAAAAAAAAAAAATTCTGAACCTACTACAAAAATCCTCATATTTTGCCTCCAACAGTTGAGGAAAGTCATTTTCTTCCTAGCTGTTACAGTTGTCCCGTCTATATCAATGCAGTGGTTTGATTAAAAGTTCAAAATTCATTACGCCAAAAAGCAGTTACTCAAGCAACTAGATATGATTTTGGAAACCCAGACGTTTCAGCTGAAGCGTATCGTATTACCTGGATGTCTAACCTTTATCGATGTTTCAAAATTCATAGTTTGAATATTAACCCAGCCTTTTCTGTTGACTCCATGGCTCCTATCATTGCATTTGGGTCTATAATAGGTTGCCTAACCCTGTTTTTTTTTTGGGGGGGGGGGTCGCCCTGTCAATTCATTTTTTTTGGAAAATTGGTGTGGCCTAATGTTAGGACTACTTCATACACTGACATAAAACTGAATCTTAGTATTTCCTGAATCTCCAGACACCTGAAAGAACCTGAAGGAGACAAACCAACCATGGCTGATAGTAAACTCTCTCCCCTGACTCAACTGTTTGTCAAGATTTCTGACAGTTTGTCAGAAGAAGACATCAGAAATCTGCGGGCTATTCTTGTCCGTGAGGGTCTTGGACGGGCAAAAGTGGAACAAGCAACACCTCTTGAGATGTTGAACATGCTGGAGGATGATAATAAGATCGGCAGGGGTGACCTACAGTTCCTTGTGCAGGTATTAAGACGTTTGGGGAAAGGAAGACTGGCTGAGGAAGCTGAACAACTTGAACAAGAGCAGAGGGCTGAAGGTAATATATAATTTTACATGATTAATAATTTTGTCTATCTATTTGGTAACTTTGGGGCAGCATGATATTGAATATGTAGTCCCTATCATCATACAGCAGGACTTAAACAGCAAAATAAATTTGAAAAGGTCCCAGGACAGTTGTTTGCATTAATTTTGGCCCTATATATAGGCCCACATCAAAAGCAGACAACACAACGTACATTGTACATCCAGTACAAAGTAGAAGACTAAGGATATGCAAATATGAAAAGGACAAGCTTCACCCCTGTCAAGCATTAGAAAATGACATTTAAGTGCATACTTGCCATAGTTAATAACTTAATATACAATGTAATTGACAAAAATATGACACTGTTACAGTTGAAGTACATGTAACATGTACTTACATGTAACATTGTAAGTCCATATTAGTCAATGTGTCCATGTCATCTATCCACAGCACAAGAGCAAGAAGGAGCAGCAGCAGCTGTGCATGAGACAGAACACATGAGCGAGGCCCATCGCACCCTCCTGCTGAGGAACTACCCGACCATCTACCAGGAACTAGACGCCACCAGAGTGTTGGACTACCTACACCAGCAGGGAGTGCTCACAGATGGGATGAGGGAGGAAATCCTGGCCATCCCTGAGGACCAGAGACACCAGAGGACTGGGACGTTACTACACATGATTCTGCAGGGAGATGACAGAGCCTTCACCATCTTCTGTACAGCCCTGGGGCATGCTGGGTACCCACATCTCATGGAGCTGCTCACAGGAGGGCAACAGGAACTCATGCCGCGTGAGTATGGGTTTGACTGAGTTCATGAAGCATCATGGGGTATATGGGTGAAAAAGTTAAACCATTTGCAATTTTCTTAGCAGAGGGTACATTAGGGTCATTAATTATTATAAGTTGTCCATTTTTGTTGTTATTCTTTATACCAGAACTGCCACTCTATTTTCCATCATCATGAGAGCTTAGTAATACATATTTCCTTCTCCCTGCTGCATAACCCACGAATCAAATAGATAATTGAGCAAAACAACTAATTCAGTGTGCTACATGTCCTATTAGTGTGGACATAAAACAACAATCATGATAAACAAGACTGTCAAATGAAATTCGATTTCATCTTTAACTAACACATTGATGGTAAGGATATCCCAAAATACCTACAAGGATACTATACTTTGTTAAAAGTCATAATCTTGTCTTTCAGCGACGCCCATGGCACTGGCCATCTACCCAGCCATCCAAGGGGGTGAAAGTTTCCATGTGTCCATTGCAGAACTACCCCATGGCCAGATAACCATTCCAAATCAACATCCTTTAATCACAGCATATCAAAAAGAACAGGTTCGTAAACTAAAGACGAAAATGAAGAATGAAGACCTTAAGGAACTTTACAGGTATCAAAAAAAGCAGCAGCATTATTTAAAAAAAGCACACAAAAAATTGTCCCAAGAAAGTTTCGAGAGAAAGTTTGACCAGCTTTTTGCCAAAGTTGAAGCAGAACGAGCCATTATTGTCAGTAAATACAAGGGCTGTGTAATTCTGTTTCTGACGTTTGAGTCTGAACCCAAATTTGCCCATTTCTGGGGCTCGTGCACGAGCGGCCGTCTGTCTGCCAGCCTGACTGAGCTGCTGATTACTGAGGAGCTGCGGAAACTGGAGGGAGGAGACCAGCTGGTGGTGAAGACACTCGTACTGCAGCAGGACTACACCGCATGGAGGGACTACTTTGGGAAGGGTACACTTGAAGTTTTTTTTTTCTTCCGTCATATGAAGACTTTTGTGTTTGTCATCATGATGGTTTTTGCCCTGGGAAATTTTGGGAAGGGTTTGATTCTAAGAATGGTAGATCAGAGTGTTCTAAACTACAATGTAAGTGCTCCTGACAATTTTCTACATAATAACTAATTTAAAGTTTTCTGAAAATATGTATGTTACATGATTGCACTTAGTTTGACAGGTGCAACAGCAGCTCTAGAGCAATTTAAAGCATAGTTACTACATTACTTTTTTGTACAACCTGTCACAGGTAAGCCACTGGACCCTGAAGATGTGCAGGTAGAAGAGGTGACATCACATGTTTCCTCACTGGACACCATCAGACAAACCTTAGAATTACAGAGGGAAGGAAGTATCCAAACAATTGCAAGCATCCAATCAGTCACAAGCACCATATCAGCAGGAAGTGTTCTATCGTCAGATTCAGGCTATGCATCAGCTGGTCCTGAAGGTGAGATTTCTTTCTCAGAAAGATGAGCTTTCAGCATCACTTAACACTCAATTTGACAAGTAATTTTACAAAAATAAGATCGTTAGATACCATTTAGCAATGTCATCTAACATTTTGCACATTTAACAACTTGAAGGCTGGTTTTGTAATGATTCAGTCCTTTTGCTAATACATGTACTTATCTTAGGGAGAAAAACTGCAGCAGAGTACAAGGCATCCATAGAAGCTGCCATCTCCAAGATGACTGAGGAAATGAAGAACGTTGACAGGGAACAAACAGCCACAGAAGAGAACTGTAGCCAGGTGAAGAAGGAAATCCATCAGCACTACAAAAGGCTCATCTCCAAACTCCAGCTGGAGGAGCAGGAGATGGTCACCAAGGTACAAAAAGTCAACCGAGACAGGGGAGGGGAGCTGACTCGGGAGAAAGAAAAATTGGTGACAGAACTTGAAAAGCACAAGGAAGAGGTAAAATTATGTGAGAAGATAATAGACTGTAAAGATGACACACAATCCTTGATCTTGAGAAAAGAAATGGAAGAAAAGTTCCAGAAGCTGGCCTTGGAGGAAACAGGTAAGAACAGTTTGGTAGCTCATACAAAAGTGTCTTTCCATCCCTGTAGCCTATCCCAGGTTTCTGGAGGTTCCTTGTCAGTGTTTGCTGGATTCACTATTGATGTACAGGAGCTGGCAGTAGAGAGTCTACCCTGCTCTGTCACAGTTACAACCAACAATGCAGATCTAACAGGTGGGAAAGTTGAACCACAGATAGAAGTGACCTCCCCCCAGGGTAAAACCACCCTCTTACAAACAACAGCACACACTAGTCCCCCACTAGCTGCAGGGAAGGGACAAACCAGCAGAGTTAGCAGGGTCTGGGGTGCAGAGTGGAGACCTCAGCAGTCAGGCAAACACACGCTGGGGGTCTGTATGGGGGATACAAAGGATCTTTGTTCTCTCACTGTAGATGTGGCCAGTAACAATCGTGTGCTGAGATATGGGCAGAAAGGTAGCCAACTGGGGCAGTTTGACAGTCCTATAGATGTAGCAGTCAGGGGGGACAGGCTGTATGTGGCTGATACTTGGAACGATCGTGTTCAGGTGTTTGATCTGAGTGGGAAGTTTTGCTCCACAGTTTCAGTAAATCCTGGCCCTGCAGGACTTGCTGTTCAGACTGATGGCACCTTAGCAATGAGATCTGGGAAGGAAGTGAAGAAATTTTCCCCATCAGGAGAACTGCTGCACAAATTCCCTCTGGGTGAATATTGCACACGCCCCTATGGCCTGGCAGTGCAGAGGGATGGGAGGGTTGTTGTAGCTGATCGAGACAAACACAGCATCTTCCTGTTTGAGGCAGATGGGACACTGGTGAAACAGGTGGGAGGGAAGGGGAAGGGGGAGGGACAGTTTGATGAGCCATTTTTTGTCTGTGTGGATAAAGAAGACAACATCATTGTGACAGATTATGGCAACAGCCGTGTTCAGGTGTTTGACAGGAACCTGAACTATAAACACAAGTTTGGTCAGAAGGGCAGACAGCCACAGGACATGTTTGGTCCCATGGGGGTGTCAGCTGACAGCAGGGGGAACATAGTTCTGGCAAACATTGGGGGTATAACTGGTGGCATTGGGCACAGTGAGAAGCTTCAGGTGTTCCGCCCAGACGGCACCTGGGTGTCCACCATTAGCAGTGATGGGGACAAACTGAACGAACCCCACGGGGTGGCTGTGACAGAGGATGGACATGTGTTTGTATCTGATACTGGGGACCACAGTATCAGGAAGTACAGATACATGTAACAGTGCAGAACAAACCATGTACAGGAACAGGCTTTCCTTACACAGTTACAGGCTCACTGAGGAGGGCTTTGCAATAGGAAGAATTTAATATAATGATAACTCAGCCTATCATATACTTCTTTCATTTATGCTTTTATGATTGGACTTACCAGTAGTTTGGTTAGCTCTGACAAGTTTTCCATATTCACATGAAATGTTACAATGAGACTATCACAGTTTTTTTTTTATCAACTTCCAGTTTCAATCCATGTATATACCAGTAAAAGAACACATTTGCCATTACTGGTAAGCAACATGTGGAGAATTTGTAAACAACAGCACCTTACTGGACAGCTCACATATGTGGTGTGCCAGTGTTGATAAACTAGCATGATCTAAAGAGAAAATAGTGATGTTCTTTTCCAAAATGTGTTTATTTAAATTTTGCCATTATGTCACTTAATATTTGATGATGTCATAACACAGTGACAATGGTTTTTACCTGGTGTTCTTCATGACAAGAAATAAAAATCTAATAAGTTATGTGGTGGTCGGCTGTTTTCCTTTGTAATGTAGCCTTTAGTCTACAACAAATGACAACAACAACATACTTTAAATCCCTCCTAGCTCCATGTACAATGCAATGAGAGCTGTTATAACAATGGGTTGTCAGCTACCATGATAGGTATGATTGTGGGACATTTACTGCTATAATTCTACAAAAATAACCAAAATAAAACAACAGTATATCCACTGTGTACAATGAGATGAGAGCCGTTATGACTATGGGTTGAGCCATGATCAGTGTGATGGTTGGCCTTTTGCTTTTGTAATACATGTATAACCTATAGTCTGCTGCTTTTGTAATACATGTATAACCTATAGTCTACTTCAAGAGAAAGTGTACAACAACAACAACAAGGCTGAATCCCTCCTAGGTCCGTGTACAGTGCAATGAGTACCGTTATGTCAATGGGTTGTCAGCTACCATATGATATGTGTGATGGTGGGACATTTACTGCTAATTTCACAAATTTGTAAGTTAAAAGCTTGTTAATAACCAAAACAACAAAAAAGTACATATTTTGAAGGCTAAATCCCTCCCAGGTCAGTGTACAGTGTGATGAGTGCCATTACAACAATGGGTTAGCTATCATCTGAGTAATGGTCAGCCCTTTGCTTTTGTAATATAGCCTTTAGTCTACTTAAAAACAACAACTGCATACTTTGAAGGCTGAACCCCTCCCAAGTTGGTACAATATGGCACTATGACTGTCTTTCAAAACAATGGGTTGTCAGCTACCATGGCATGTGTCATATGGTAGAAATTCTACATGGCATGTGTCATGTGGTTACTAACAACCAAAATAAAACAAAACAACCAAAACAACCACAGTACATACTTTGAAGGCTGGATCCCTCCCAGGTCCGTGTACAGTGCTATGAGAGCCGTTATGACGATGGGTTGAGCCATGATCTGGGTGATAGTCGGCCGCTTGCTGGGGTCCAGGTGCAGCATGCTGAGGATGAGTCTCCGCAGGTCTTCGCTGTAGCGGTCCGAGATCGGCGCAAACGTGCCACGCATGATCTTCAGCACCAGGGCTGGCAGGTTCTGGGGACAGAATGAAGATAACTTACATTATGCCTCATGTATACAGGGGTCAGGCATTGTAGTGGCATCGTGTGGCATAGTGGATAGAGCATTTGGCACTCAAACAAGGAGACCCGGGTTTGATTCCCGGTCAGAGCACAGGGGCATGTCTGAACATGCTGTGCCCTTGGGAAAGGCACTTTACACGTTTCTGTAATATTACTAATAAATAAAGATATTGAGTGATTGCCATAGATACAGGCATTGAAAAGCCAAGAGGTTAGGCTAGTGGACACAAGACTAAGAGGTCACGGGTTCAATTCCTGACATTGCTGGCTAGATGTTCTTGGGAAAGGCATAACTTTCCTTTAATCCACCCAGGTGTTAAATGGGTATCTCACTATGGTTGGGGTGGTAAAAAGCAGTGGAAGGAGAGGGATAGGCTCTGCTTACTTGGCATTGGACATTGAAAAGTTGACCTGTTATGTCAATCCTTCCACAAATGTGGCACATCTTCATTACCGGTAATAGATAAATTAACAAAGATTACACTTACAGCAGCCTCGAATGCCCTCTTGAGACTTGCCAGCTCGTACAGGACACAGCCAAGGGCCCAGATGTCACTCTTCTGGTTATAGCTGGCAAACAAACTACGTCAAGGAAAAACATCAACTTCCATTTGCAGGAGTCTAATGAATTCAGTGCCTATTTACTTTTGAACGGTTAGTTACTATAGATTTCTCTAGCAAGTCAAGAAATACTAGAAAATGTTTCCTTTTGAAGAAATGTAAAAAGTTAGACTTTTCGTACATGATAGTGTTCCTGCTTTATAACACTGTAAGCAACACAAATTTGAAGGCTACATTATTAAGGAGAAGTTTAACATATATATGGCATATACTGGTATGACTTAGGTATTATAGATTTGACATTGTAATATTTTATAAGCTACATTGTATCATTCCACACAGCTGTATTGTACACAGCTGTATTGTAAAGATGTGTGATACAGGTTTGCCAGCAGGTGTATTAAACAGGTACTGTTATAAAGGATACGGTTTTCCCTCACACAGCTCAGGTGAGATGAAACAAGGTGTCCCCACCACTGTGTAAGCCTTACTCTTACTGCTCAGGTGTTATACGGGTACATGTATATGATACAGGTGTGTGATACAGGTGTTACTACACATGTACTGTTATAAAGGATACGGTTTCCCCTCACACAGCTCAGGTGAGATGTAACAAGGCGTCCCCACCAATGTGTAAGCCTTACTCTTACTGCTCAGGTGTTATACAAGTATATGACACAGGTGTGTGATACAGGTGTTACTACACAGGTTAAAGGATACGGTTTCCCCTCACACAGTTCAGGTGAGATGTAACACGGCGTCCCCACCACTGTGTAAGCCTTACTCTTACTGCTCAGGTGTTATACAAGTATATGACACAGGTGTGTGATACAGGTGTTACTACACAGGTTAAAGGATACGGTTTCCCCTCACACAGTTCAGGTGAGATGTAACACGGCGTCCCCACCACTGTGTAAGCCTTACTCTTACTGCTCAGGTGTTATACATGTATATGACACAGGTGTGTGATACAGGTGTTATTACATAAGTTAAAGGATACGGTTTTCCCTCACACAGCTCAGGTGAGATGTAACAAGGCGTCCCCACCACTGTGTAAGCCTTACTCTTACTGCTCAGGATCTTAGAGATGCCGAAGTCTCCGATCTTAACCACATTCTTCTTCCTGTTCAGCAAGATGTTCTGTGTCTTTAAGTCTCTGTGAAGAAAAACAAGAACATTAAATATTCACCCAAAGCTGGTTAAAGAACCCACAAATCTTTTAATAATCAGAGTTATCTGTATAGCAGAGGTCCAACCTGGTATGATTGACCTAGCTTCAGTTTCAAAGTTCAACATCTTGAAAATATGAGCCACAACCTCAAGCATGTTAAAGAACCCACCACAGTTATCAATAGAGGAAGGGTCCATCCTGGTGTGAGTTGATCAACATTCTTAGAGTCTGGTCTCCGGATCTTGAAAATGATGTTAGGCAGCACTCAGCAAGGGAAATGTTAACCTTTAGCACACTGAAGTAGCCGTTTGGCTGCCATTTCAGTTCGGTTATGTAGCAGGCAGCTTAAGAAGGGTTAACCTTTAGCATACTGAAGTAGGCCTAAATGGCTACCATTGGCTCTCTATTGGTTACAGGATTAGGCAGCAGGGAGAAGGTTATAGTACCTACCTGTGTAAGATCTGTTTGGCATGGACATGCTGTAATGACAACAACATCTGGACAAAGAACTGCAGAATTTCCTGCAAGAAAAGTGGAAAAACAATTAGTTTTGTAGATTCAGATCTACATTGTACAAAATGTACTTACTGAATTACGTGTATGGGCATATATTATATAATAAAGAAACAAGCATTGAATATTATTACATACCTCTTCATCCAGTAGTGCATTTCCTCTCTGCTGCAGATATTCAAATATTGTTCCCCCTGAAAAGAGCATTGTAGAGTATATACATAAAAAGTCATTTAATACATTACTATTCATGGTCCACTTATGGAAGGAGGAATGCATGTACTGATATGAGTAATTGGGAAAGCTCTGACACATACATGTAGTATTCAATGATGTTTGGATGATGTAACAAACAAACAAACAAACAAGCCCACCTGGCGCATACTCCATAACGATCATGAGTGCCTTGTCCTCGAGAAAGCTCTCATAGTACTCGATGATGTTTGGATGATGTAACATGGAGAGAACGCGGACTTCGTTTAGCGCCGACTGTCGCTCGTCTTTCGTCATCTGCTCGATGGGAATCTGTTTGATGATGACTTCCTTCATGGTGTCCAGACGCTTGCACAGGTACACAGTACTGGGAGGGGGGCAGAAAGATGGTCAACATCAGGACTACAATGAATGTTGTACAGAATTAGCCATGTAGCCACTAAGGAAGCATCTTTTGTATACCAGTAATAAGCTGTATATGTTGGCATATATGCTGAATATGCTGGCAGCGGTGAAGAATTACAAACAAACTGTAAGATGTAGAATCATTAGCTTTTGCTGAAATTAAACCACTTCATCTTTACTAGAAGGCTATTAGCCTTCCGATACCAAGTTTGTATACTAGTAGTAGTTTATAAATTTGGTAGCATGGAGAAGGCCTAAGTCCAATATAATGATTTCACAGCCTTTTTTCATAACACTGTCACATATAAACTCCAAGCAGATCTTGATCTTTCGGTGGCCGCAAATACAGTATCAACTTCGTCGGATGGCCAAATAATTTATGGCTACCGCCTGGGCAATTAAAATACTGTATTTGCGGCCACCTCTGCTTGGAGATTATTAATCATCATCATCAAGTGATATTAAATGAACGCTCCTTCTTCTCCCTGACATCCGACTCACCCATACGCTCCCCGGCCGACGACACGAATCTTCTCGTATTTGTCCATCGCTGTTTGTTACCGTTTACAGACTTTTTGGGAGTGAAAAATCACGAAAATCTGCCAAAAGTGATCAATTGTTTACATCCGCCGCCGCCATGATGGAATGTGTGTAATGTCAAAGGTGAACGGCTGTCTAAAATGTATGAAAATACCGCCTGCAATATTTTGCGTGAATAAGTACTCAAAAATAGACTTATGTAGCAAAAAATAGTAATACTTAAATCAAAACGGACAAATAAATACTTTTCATCCTGGTAGTATGAATTTTATTAACATTTCATTGTATTTTTGACAATATTTTTCCAGGTCCAGGCACGTTTTTCTGTGAACAGCCGTTTCTTTCCGCAGTCGTTTTGAATGAAAATTTAGAAGGAAATTTGCAAAAGTCACGTTTTAAAATGGACAAATTTGTCGTCCGACTTCCACGAGAAACTGCGGCGAAGGCCAAGTCCAAGTCCCAAGGAAAGGTGTACAAACAAGCAACAATAGAGTCTCTACAGGTAAGTTTAAACGCGATCTTTAAGGTTCAAAAGTTAAAGACTTGTATGTCGAATGTCGAATGGGGAGGGGGGCATACTAAGTAATCAAACTCGCTATAATCCCTTTTCTGTCTTTCTATCTACCCTTCTAATTTTAGCATTCCCGCGAAAATTAAGATAGGATCGTCAAACTAATTTAGAACAGGTGTGATGAGCCAGGTGAGCGCCAAGGAATGCCAGGTAGACGTAAGAAACCAGGTGTAGAAAGCCTACATATAGCGCGTGTGCCGCAGACAAGAAGAAGGCACACTTCGGAAATCGCGATCAAGAGGCGTCCGACAGAGAGAGAGAGCAATCAAATATCCAGCAAGCAAGCAGCACAGCGGAGTCATCAGAGAACCTTTCACCGGAAGTCTTTTGCTGAGTGAACTCCTTCATATGTCCGAAGAAGTCTTGTAGAAGGAAGGTGGCACTAATTTGAAGATGAGAACTTCTCGTTCCACAGTCTCAACCTAAACGCGCTTTGTACCATGTGAACGCACGCAGGGGAAGAGGAAAGGCATGGGAAAACACAAGACAAGAAACCTGAAGCAGACAAGACGAGCTAACGAGCGACTGATGGAGGACAGTGAAAGGGAGTAACCTGATAGTGATAGCATAGAATAATCACTTTCACTTCACCTTTTTTGACACACTTACAGCCTTTTGAGATTTAATTTGCTTAACCTTAGTTTTGAATTTGATTTCCTAAAAGCTTCTTCAATCAAGTCACTCTTGATCACTTGCATAACTTGGTCTGTTTCCCAGTATACCGTACGTAGATTGTATGTCAATTCATTGTCATGCTCTAGATCATTATTTTGTACTACATGTATTTTTGACTATCTCAGAAAGAAGCCAATGCAAGTCGTGCTGATCACACGTGTACGTTTTTTCCAAGTCTTGAAACATATAACTGGAGAGAAAACCTATTAGTGTGCAAGCTTCCAAGCATCTGGCTTTAAAGTCTAAAGGTCCAAACATTCTGTGAAGAAAGAAGCCGAGTCTTTGTACCACAGGAAGGTATAGACCATACAGGACAGAACTCCTACAAGTGTCCTCAGTGTGGCTAATGCAACACATGACCATTACTCACACTGGTCACACTTATAGGATTTCTCACCTGCACAAAGATGTGGAAACACACAGGTGGGAAACGCTACAGGTGAGATCATTGTGATAACTCTGCATCTGGACAACAACCAGCATTTCTAGCAAAAACAAGTTGGACTGTTGGAGAGATGTATACTATAGGGAAACAGGAATATACGTCACCCATTAGTCACTCTGGTCACACCTGTAGGATTTCTCACCTGTCCAATGATGTGGAAACACACAGGTGGGAAATGCTCCAGGTGAGGTCATTGGGACTGCTCTGCATCCGGACAACAACCAGCATTTCTAGTAAAAACACTGGAGAGATGTATACTCTATAGCATAGGGGAACAGGAAAGGTCTCTTGCTGGCATGGCTATTCTTTGTATCTAAATGGCTTGGTTTGGTGTAACTGTATATATAGCTGATACAACTTCCCAATAGCCTGGTTGCCAGGCCTATTTTAGCTCCCAAGTGTACATACTCCAGAGCTAAAATAGGTCTGGCAACTAAGGCTACTACTAGACTACTACTACTAGTAACTTCCCTACCTCCTCACCTCACCTCACCGGTCCCATAGCAGTCTGTCCTGCCGTCGGGGCAACTACAGCCCTACAGCGCAATAATAATAATAATGTATCTGTATAGCCAGCAAAAAAAGTCAAGTCTCAGCATAATACATTCATAATCAGGAAGAGTTGACATTTATAATCAATGTTATTCCCTGGTGTTGTAGAATAGTATTATTAATGAAAACTAGTTACCACATCTATATTTATAGTTTTATATATACAATTGTCTAGCTATAAAGTTCATTCATTCTTTCACTCACTTTACTCATTCAGCCACTCCTTCATTCAGTCACTGTTGTTTGTTCCCAGAGAGTTGTGGTGATTGATGACATAGAACGTCTGAAGGTGACCTTGGAGCTGGAAGGTCAGGCCAGCGGAGTGCTGCTGGAGGCTCTGACGGAACTGAACAAGAAAATACCATCCAAACAGGTCCTACTGTCAACAAAAATAGGTATGGTTGTAGTGATTGTTTATTTGTTTGCTTCCTTGTTTGTGTCTGTCATATAGCCTGTAAAGAGTGTCATGACTCATGATGTAACACACCAGTTCCCCACTGTAAATAGAGTATAAGCTGTATTAGTGTATTGAATGCTCTAAATCTATATAATTTTTACTGAGATTTAATTTTGCAGTAGAGGAGATGAGGTTTTCACTGTGCTCAAGTAATAGTAGTAATGCATATAGAAAATTCCCAGTGGACAGGTTAACGTACATGAAAAGTGCAAAATATAAAACCACTAGTTTTAGTACTAGTAGTACTACTTTGTTTGCCTAATTGTTTGTTTGTTTACCCCCAGGACATGCAGTAAACAAGCTGAAGAGGCATGAAGACAAGGAGGTGGCCTCCTTAGCGAGAAGCATCGTCTACAAGTGGAAACACTTCATCCAAGAACAGGACAACAAGCCTGTCTTAGAGGTACGCTGTGACCTCAAGACGGAGAAAACTAGGACTTCTGGGAGGAGAATGCTCGCCGACTCACTCGGGCTGGAGGTAAGATTTATTAATGATTTCTTTTTTTTTACTTTTGTGTTTTAACCAGTCTTTTGTATGAACAGTTCTTAAATTTGTGGTTCAAAAGTCCAGGAATCAAATTTTGATTTCCTAATTTTCTGTGCAGTGAAAAAAACATGGCTTCTGTTTCTTCCACCTTTAATTGAATGTTCTTTTGCTATCCTCATCCACCTCCCCCCCAAACACACACACACCCTAGGATGTGTGATCGTTACCTTTCCTTGCAATTAATTGTTAATTAACAGTGTAATTAACTGTTGTGTCTCCTTTTCTCTCACAGGAGGGCCATCTTTTACCAGAGAACATTGAGAGAGAAACATTCCACGAGTGTAAACGGCTCTTAGACAGGAGCTACAAAAGAACCATGAGGAAACTCATCTTTACTCTGAAGGGAAATGAAGACACCAGAAAACTGGTTCTCAGTGGAGAACTAGCCGTGAAAGACTTGGTCAAGTCCTTAAAGTGCAAGTCTTGATAAGAAAAAGGAGTATGAGGGAAGTTTTCTTAAAGTGGTCATCAAAAGGGAACAAGTCTTACAACCTTTTTATGTAAAGGCATTTTATGAGGAAAGCTTTAAAGTGCAATATTTCCAAACTGTTCCAAAACTAGCTACCTCTGTTTGTATAAAATGTTGAATTTGTATACATATATACTGTAGCGGACTTGTATCTCATACAATGTGTACCCAAAAAAAGGAATCTATAGTTGTTGACTTTGTCAAGAATAGATATTTTTTTGCAAAAGATTTTAGAAGACATAAGAAAAAAGGCCTCTTTTAATGTTCTAACTTCTATATTTCACTTTGAACTTTTGTCCGTTATTTTAGGTGAGTATTGAGGGTAAACTCTAGTCTATTATTTCAACAATTGACAAGCTTCTTTTAATGATCAAGATCAAATAAAGAAAGATAATAAACTGATTTTGGATTACATGTAGTTTGCTGATACCATGTTTTGGGTTACTACCCAGGATCTGAGGGGAAAGTCTGGTACAAGTAGTCTAATGGATTAACTGAGTCAGATCCTAGTTTTCCTCCCAGTCCTCTGTTTTGATATTAACCTATTACAAAATTCTTAATTTGAACTGTCCATGAAGCAATGAAATAAATTTGAGTGGCCTTCTTAAAGTTGGTAAAATGTATGTCACAAGCCACTCCTGCACTCTAACACAGTCAATACGCCCTATGGCTGAATATAAAGCCCTTCAGACCTCACTTTCCAAACGATTTGGCAACAACAACAGTAACGACACTTCTATAACAGGTGTGCTAATTGGACCAATTATCTGAAGTACCTCTCAAGACTTTCCGTGCGTCCAAGAAGATGTCTTCTGCAACCCAACACTCCTTAAAGACATAAGTGGACACTTCAGTTATGTAATGCCATTCCCACTAGTAAGGAAGTCCCACAATAACTGGTTGTACAGGAAGAAATAGAAGTAAAAAGTTTCCCTCTTCTGTTTTTGTCACTTAGCAACCTCTAAAGGCCCAACGTCATGTTGTAAGTTGAAACATTAAACACTGAAAGGAGGGTATAGAATTCCAGACCTATGTTCTATAGAACAGTTCATCTGAATGCCACATTTTTCTGACGAAGGTATTGAATTTCAGAACCTGGTTCCATAGAATATGAAATGAGTACAAACGCTACATGGCTACACATGGCTACATGTTGTGGTTAAAATGCAACATTCTGTAACGTTTATGTGGGCTGCTTCCTAGTGTAGTGGGAGAAATTGTGGCAAAAAGCCAATTGCTCGTTACATTGAAGAGTAGGCGTGCCTACTAATGAGAGCGTGTTTGTCTCCAGGATTAGATCTACAGCGCTGGGCTTAGAAGAGCGTTGTTTAGACCACAAAAGTCGCACAGGGCAGAACCAGAGTAGATTCCCTCAGTACAAGACGGGAAGTACGGTCTCTGCGTTTGACGAAAACTGCGCGGGATGTAAGTCTTACAGAACGGAAGGGGTTCGAGTAACGCGTTTGTCATTAATTAAGGAAACAGTCTTGCAAGGAAGAGCAAGCACTTAAGAAAGAGAGGAGTTGCCTGAAGAGACGCCTTGGTGCTCCTTTAATCGTCCCAGGTATCTTGAGTCAGACGATCGCTCAAGACGCTGGCTTATGTGATCTTAAGTGGATTTCTGTAAGAACGGGAAAAGACAAGAAGGTAAGCATGTTTAATCTGATTACGTCTGAAGACTGAGCGAATTAAGTTGAACATCGAATGCGTGGTCGATCCATACAGCGGGCATACTAAAAATCTAGCTGAAATTGTCAATTGACTGCACTTAAACATTGGGAGAAAGTCTTCTCAAGCAATTTTAGACACGCTATGATTTTTTTTCAGATTTGTAGTGATATGATTATTCTCGTGCGCTTTTGAGAACTTCCGTCCGAAAATACGACACACGTTCGATTAATCCGTTCGTGGAATGTACACTTACCGTTTTCCACGTAACTTTATTATCCTCTAGGAGGCAGTTTTCTGGGGCAAAAAAAAAAGCAGACGGCACATGATGACTTCTGTACAGAACGTCACGGAAACCCGGAGTCCCTTTCTCGCCATCCATGGTCTGGAGAGGGAACGGCATATTACATTCACGGTAAGAACCTAACACTATGTATACTCATCGAGTAATCTACATTGTAAAAGGTTCTGGGTTCGAAGCCCAAGCAGGCCCCGATGTTCTGCCCTTTGGAAAGGCACTTCCTATTCCGGTGTGAGGAGTGCAGACCTTACAGTCCTTTCTTACACATTTTGTACGTATTGTACAAAGCCGTTGTGTGCATGTGTTAAGTCCAAGTGGTTTACCGTCTATGTGAAACAAACTACTGCCTTGTGCTGGCCAAGAATTCTTTGACAACCTGCTTTGTTGTTCTTTTTTATAGTTTATACCACAGAATGTTATCCCTCATGAATCAGTACCAAACGTTTCAGCATTACGATCGTGGGAAGATTACTCCAGTGAAGACGTTAGAAGACAGACCGTATCGGCAAAATTCCCTCTTCGGAAACGAAGACGTCCGCCCGGCAAGCTCCAATGTCTTCACGGCAAACTCCAAGACGTCTTCTCCAGAACCTTGGACTAAAGACAGGTATCCTTGATTTGCGTATTCAACATTGTAGCGAACAGCAAATCTCATTTTATGGGTGTGACAATGCACTCATGTTGTATTCAGAACCGGCTTATCCAGAACTATGCTCAGACCCAGTTCTGGACATCCTCCTTCGCAGGGCTAAAATCCTCCGGTTCCTTCCTTCGGGTTTTAGCCCTGCTATTTACCGCTGACAGTTTGACTTTTGGTGACGTCACCGCCAAACTGCTGTCAGCCAATCAGAGAATTTGCGCACCGAGCTTTGCGCAAAAACCGCAAAGGTCGCTGGGAACCTATTAGCCAATCAGGTTACGTCTTACATTCCCATGTTGGGACAGGCCAAGATGGCGGCTATTACAGATACTAGAAGTTTCGTGCGAGCCGTGCAAGATTTATTTGGAGTCGAGCAGCTTCGTGAGCATCAGCAGTCGACGCTACGGGCGCTGCTTGATGGCAGAGACGTTTTTCTGAGTGTGCGGACAGGAGGAGGGAAGAGCCTGTGCTATATGGGCTTCCCAGCAGCGGCCAAAGCCCTGGCCAAAGCCGAGACAGAGTTAGGGCAAGCCCCCCGACATCCGTCTTGGCCAGCCGGTTAAGTTTTGCAAAGCACTCGCGGCAGATGGCGCTTGACAGCCCTTTCCTCGTCCAGACTTTTTTGTCAGGTGTCACGTGCAAAATCTGCCGGATCTGTGCGTGAAGGGAGGTCACGTGAACTGAAAACAGCGAGCGGTAACTTTTTGGAACGACCCCCTTCCCACAAAACAAGCAAATCTTGGTTCCTCCCCCCTCAGCACGCTCCATGCTTCTCTGTTGTTGTTATTCTACCGCGCCGCCATTTTGTAAAGTTGTAATCTTGGCGCTGATTGGTTTGTGCCAAATAAGGCAAGCTCATGAATTATTTATAAGTGACGTCACCAAAAGTCAAACTGTCAGCGGTAAATAGCAGGGCTAAAACCCGAAGGAAGGAACCGGAGGATTTTAGCCCTGCGAAGGAGGATGGTTCTGGATAGCCTACGCGTATCCAGAACCGTGCCAGGGGCAAACTACGTCCTTGGATACGCGGAGACTTTCCAGAACAGTGCCTGGAACAAATCCAGAACCGTGTCTGATCCTGGCCCTAACCCATTCAGGCATAGAACTAGATAGGCACGGTTCTAAATGTGTAGACGCTAGATAAATATGGATACTATATAGATATGGTTCTAGATAAGTCACATGTCTTACTTCGTGTCTTCTTCTCACCGTAAGAAGAACCAACTCCTTCAGAAGTCTCTCCCAAGACGTCGTCACCGTCAAGGTGAGCCCGTCCACGCACGTCGTCAGGCCGCTCACACGTCACAGCAAAGACGTCTTCTCGGTGGAAGACGCGGAGGACTGCAAGGCGCAGGAAGACACCGACAGGTAAACTTATCACCTTATTAGATTTGGAAAGCCGTAGAAGGCTATTGAATCATATTTGATGACCCCTATTTGTTGACCACAGCCCACATGAATGTTACACCCATTTTGCCTCCACCACACTGAGAGTAATATGTTTTGTTCTGTATATACTGGGCCTTCGTGAAAATTATTTTCATAAGTTGAAGCAAGGAGGTTAAAAGTCTAGATTTTTAACCTCCTTGGTACTCGCCTACTACTAGACGGGCTATCCAGTTGTATTATGTTGTGGTAAGAACTCTTACGTGCCCTTGCTTTCTTGCTTGTGTCTTCTGCTTTGGTTTTTTGTTGTTTCTTTTACGAACTTTTGAACACTTTTCCCCATAAATATATAGAGTTCCGACGACAGACAGTGGAGTACCCGGAACAGTTGAAGACAGGGCCGCCTCATGTACCGGGCAGCCGAACCTCACCGTGCAGACGGAGACAACTGATCCGGGTAGAGCTAGAGCGACCTCTCTCGCCGACCATCGCAGGCAAAGCGCCGTAGTAGTTCCGCTGCAGGTTTCAACGGCAGAGGAAAAAGCTGTAACGATCTCTGAAAACGTTGTAGAGGAAAATGACAAACCTCAGGTACTGACTCTTTATTATTCTCAAATGAAGATACTTCAAACATCAATGAATTTTATAATAGTAGCGGCGGAGACATACTACATATAGTATGTTACAATATTGCGAGTTGTTTTCTATGTATCACTCAAAACACATAAAAAGCCATTTGAAATCAAACTGTATATATGCTTGAAGATAATGAAGAATGATGACAGTGGTGATTTGAATGTCACTGATAATGGTTTGAATGATGATGCTGAGGATTAAATGATGATGCTGAGGATGAATTTAGATGATGCTGATTTCTTATCTTTCTCCATCCTGTCTAAGAAAACAGACCAGGAGAAGCGCTACACGGAAGCGCAGCTGTACCTGTCCGTCATCAGACACAAGCGGCGGCTGCTCAGGGACACGCAGAATCTCGCGAGAACTCAGAACGTGACCAGCCGGAACTTCTGCATCGTCCTGGCCGTCCTGGCGCTGGTGGTGGCTGTCGTCATCACGTATCTAATAGGTATGATGTAGGGTGGAAAGTTTTGTAGGGGGTTTTCTAGATCTATTAAAATGTGCAGAAACAAATGGGAAAAAAGAAAGAAAGAAGGGAAAAGAAAGAATGGAAAAAAGTAAAGGACAGAAAGAAAGAAAGAAAGAAAGAAAAAGAAAGAAAGAGAAAGGATATAAAGAAACGGTGCAGAATAGAATAGAATAGAACAGAACAGAACAGAATAGAATAGAATAGAATAGAATAGAATAGAATAGAATAGAATAGAATAGAATAGAGGGTGCAGATAAAGGATAGCTGTCGGATGGATACCACAAGAAGGGGAGAAAGAGATACATCGACGAAAGAATTACATATACTATTCCATCTCATCTGTTTCGTAAGACCTTTGCATCATATTTCCCGCCCATCAGTGGACGTGGCGACGGAGTCTGCTGCCATGGTAACGCCCCGCCCCTCCGCATGCCTGTCCGGCCCATGCCGGAATGACGGAGTGTGCGTGGGGAGCGCGGACGGACAGGACTACACCTGCATCTGTCCGGACGGATTCTGGGGACAGAACTGTCTCAGGGGTAAGCTATCTAACTTTGTCTGTTCTGCATTCACCTTCGCAGTCATTGAGACTGGATTGTGTTGACTTACTACGCTTTATATTAAAATTTCACAACCAAAATATCATTTAGATATTGATATATCGATATTAAGATAATGATAACATACCTCACTCACGTCATAATAACAACGTAGGGATACTTCGATTCTCATTTTCGCCTTAGTCGGATGGGGAAATGGTGTAAAGTGCCTTTCCTAAGGGCACGGCATTGGGTCCTGCATGGGGTTCGAACCCAGGACATGTAGATTCTGAGTCAATAACTTTAATCACATTCAAGACCACATCGTATTGGGCGTCATTCTGGCTGTTGAACATGCTCGCGCAGCATTTTCCACCTGGCCCCGTCCTTGGTGCTGAAAACAAGGTTACAGTTTTGATTTACCCTGTATGGTGCTCTGACTTGCCTAGGACGCCCTAAATTCGTCTCTCATCTTGCTTATAGATGTGGACGAGTGTTCAACCGACTCGGGCCGTGCCTGTGACGTCAGAGCAGTCTGTGATAACGTCATGGGCTCCTTCCAGTGCGCGTGTGCGCAAGGATTCACGGGAGACGGCTTCTCTTGCGTAGGTAAGCAACACAGTCAAGGGTCATGATCATTGGCCCATGATTCGAAGGTATATGTACTTGATGTTTTGTATCAATCAGACCTATCTAATTCTTACATTCTATTAAAACTTCGTTTCTAACTGAGGTTTTTCGTTCATGACAACCTCTTGAAAGCGTTAATTTCTAAGCTAATAATAGTGGATCATTCTGGATGGAGTACTCTACTATTTCCGACCGAATTGACTTTTTGTCGTACCGAACAGATGTAGACGAGTGCGCCGAGGATGGTGCAGCGTGCAGTGACGTCACCAACGCCGACTGCGTCAACACAGAGGGAAGCTTCCAGTGCGCATGTCAGGACGGCTACCAGGACTCGGGCGGGCAGTGTACAGGTAAATCGTCGATGTGTTTATGAAAGGAGTTTGAACTATACTTTCCAACACAAGAATTGGACTTTCCCAAATTTTCGACCGAGACGGAGGGCGCCACAAACTTTCTGCCATCCACTTCTCACAAGTGTTATCTGCATAACGTGACGTCTCAGAAGCGGTGGATTGCTCATCCCTTAACAAAGACTGGAGTTGTGCCGTCAAAAATTTAGTGACGATCAATTTCTTGTGTAGGAAATTACTAACTTGTTTCATAATGCCCTTTTCTTTTCTCTGTTTTTACGGCAGATATTGACGAGTGCGCGGTGCAGTCTGGGGGCTGTGACGTAGACCGGGGCCAGTGCGTCAACACGGACGGAAGCAGGACCTGTCAGTGTTTGGACGGTTATCAAGGCGACGGGACTGTCAACAACTGTTTCGGTAATACTATATATATATTTTTTTCTGTATTGAGTTCTAGGCACATATTACAACAATGAAACACACACACACACACACACAACAGCACTCAGGCACATATATATATATATATATATATATATATATATATATATATATATATATATATATATATATATATATATATATATATATATACTCATATATATACTCATGTCTCAAAATACATCAATTTTTTTTTATCATCAACAAACGCGCATAGTCAATATACAATAACATTGATGATACGTGGGAGGGAGTTGTCTTTTATACTTTATTTGGATCCAAAATATAATTAGCCTTATTTTACACTTAACTGCTCTAAAAGTTACTCAACTCATAAAATCACATACAAGGTTTAGTGGTAGCATCAACATACATTTTGTAACCTTATACGTGCTCCATCACTATGTCTGTACAAAACTGTAGTTGTTTTGTTTCTACATTTGAATAAATGATAAAAATAGATATAGATGAATTAATGATAGATATAATAAGAACTTGATTCTAGCAAGGTGACAAATTTAACTATGTTTTTCAATACATGTATTATAATCCACAGTAACCAAACTAGTCATGTCGTCCTAACATGTGGAAAGTGGTTAGTTTACTGAAAATAATAACCACACTGTTCACAGTCCTATGTCTGATACAAGCCAATTGAAAACATTTTTCCACAGTACCTTCAGCTATAATTTACAAACAAGCAACTTTTTTTCACCAGAAATATAGTGTGGTTTTCATGCAGTTGTTAGTTTGTACATGTAATATAATTTAAGTATTAGTTCAATTCTTTCAGTGTAAGAGAGGTCAGACATTGAAGTTATCCATTTTATAATAATATGAAAGAGGTTCTATAGCTTTTTTCAGACCGTGAGTTGTTATCCATTCTGTCTTTGGGCAATTGATATTTGAAGGTGGAGCCCATCCTCCCGCTCCTTCACCATATTGTGATCTGGTGTGCTTAACCATTTTTTCGGGGGTGTACATTATTCTTCAAATCAGTCATTTGCTGCTGTCTATTGGTGTTGAGAATCCTTAGAGTTAGAAAGCAGGGATGTGTATGTGTGCTGCTGCTGACTTTTGGGGTTCCTCAGGGGTTCATAGTTGTGAGGGCTGTCAGCACCAGGGGCAGCTGCTGTGATTAAGTGTTTATTTCTTCATTTGTTGTAACTGCCTGTAGCCTTATCTGGTCATTAACACTGGATGTGTCTGTGTTTGTGTTACTAAAGCCTTGCACAGAAGTAGAGTCCCCTTGCATTCTCCTATACATGCGCCATACTACAAAGGCAATGATAGAAATAATGAATAGTCCAAGAACATCGCACAAAGTAGCAATCAAGGGCACAGACAGGACAATGCCACCATCAGCAGGGCCAGTATTGCCCTCTGTCAGTGTTGACTGAAAACCAAAAGGAGAATCAGTACTGACTGTAGACCAGCCTGGGTTAGATTCAGTAGTGTGGGCTGTGTGGGGTGTTGGAGAAGATGCTAGAATCTCTAATGTTGATGCTTTGGAAGTTACAAAAGGAGAGTCATTACTGCCTGTAGACCTGCCTGGGTTAGAGTCAGCGGTGGGAGTGTTGCTCAATGTTGGGGACAATGTTGGTGCCTTTGACGTTGGCATAACTGACTGATGGAAAGGAGAAGAACTGCTGTCTGACAAGCTAAGAGTAAGAGTAGAGTCAACCATGTGTTTTGTGCTGGAAGTTGAGTAGACTGAGACTGGTGTTGTCTCTTTACAGATCAGGTCTTCGGGATTTACATCCCGTAAAAGATGCCCTGTAAGATTAGCAGGTCCGGCACACCTGGTCTGGTCTTCAAAAGGGTAAGACCCGTTCATCCTCTGCTTAAAGGGAGCCATCCTACAGTCACACTGCCAGGGGTTGTTGGAAATGTTGACTGTTGAAATGGAGGCCAGTATGTCATATGCCATCGATGTTAATGTCTCTAATTTGTTACTATCTAATCGAAGGTCTGACAGCACTGAAGTATTCAAATTTGACAAGGCCTCTACAGGGAAAGTGCTGATGTTATTACCAGAAAGTTTCAGTGTTTGAAGCTCAAGTAGGTTCCCAAATGTGTCAGCTGTGATGGTGCTGATGTTGTTGTGTTGAAGGTATAGAATACGTAGCTTTGTTGTGTCATTGAAGGTTCCTGCCTCAATACTTTGGATGTTATTCCTGGCAAGTACAAGCCTCTCTAAGCTAACAAGTCCCAGAAATATGTCAGCCGACAGACTAGTTAACTGTATATTGACAAGCCACAAGGTCTCCAGATTACCAAGCCTTACAAATATGTCTGCCGGTAGACTAGTTAACTGGTTAGAAGAAAGAGATAAGGATCGCAGATTACCAAGTCCCACAAATATGTCAGCTGGTAGACTTGTCAACTGATTAGAGAGAAGATTCAAGATTTGCAGATTACCAAGCCCCTCAAATATGTCAGCTGGCAGACTTGTTAACTTGTTATAGTGAAGAGACAAGGTCTGCAGATTACCAAGTCCCACAAATATGTCAGCTGACAGACTTGTTAACTGGTTATTACCAAGCCGCAAGGTCTCCAGATTACCAAGTTTCACAAATATGTCAGCTGGCAGACTTGTTAACTGGTTATTACCAAGTAGCAAGGTCTTCAGATTACCAAGTCCCTCAAATATGTCAGCTGGTAGACTTGTTAACTGGTTGTTGTCAAGCCACAAGGTCTCCAGATTACCAAGTCCCTTAAATATGTCAGCTGGTAGACTTGTTAACTGGTTGTTGTCAAGCCACAAGTACTGCAGTTCACCAAGTCCCACAAATATGTCAGCTGGCAGACTAGTTAACTTGTTATTGTCAAGCCACAATGTCTTCAGATTACCAAGTCCCAGAAATATGCCAGCTGGTAGACTTGTTAAGTTGTTATTGTCAAGCCACAATGTCTCCAGATTACCAAGTCCCTCAAATATGTCAGCTGGCAGACTAGTTAACTTGTTATTGTCAAGCCGCAATGTCTCCAGATTACCAAGTCCCTCAAATATGTTAGCTGGCAGACTAGTTAACTTGTTATTGTCAAGCCACAATGACTCCAGATTACCAAGTCCCTCAAATATGTCAGCTGGCAGTCTAGTTAAATGATTATTTTCAAGGTACAGGAGAGTTAGGCTGGTTAAATAGTGGAATGTTTTGTTTTGAATAATGGAGATCTGATTGGATGGAAGATCTAATGTTTTCAAGCTCCTATACCTTGAGAAATCAGACTGACTTATGTCTGTGATGGCATTTCCCTCCAAGTCAAGCCAACTGATATACGTAGGCAGGTCCTGAGGAACACTGGTGAGGCCTCTGTTGCTGCAGTCACAGACTGATGAACAGCTGCTGCTGCAGGCTGCGGTCGGGCCAGCTTCCTTCAGGATGATCAGCAGAAGAACCAGCATCCTCCTCGCTTTGTTTGACATACTCTACTGAAGTGTCGTCTGTAGAACAGAGATGAGATTTTGTAGCATGCACGTTCAGTTGTGTTGACAGAATTGCACAAGAAATGATGGACTTGATGAGGCCTAATATAGTAAGGTTCAAACTAACCTTGGCAGAGATGATCCTAAGAATGATCCTTCTTCGATCCTTGAAGAAAGGACAGCCGCTTGGAGGCCCAGATTTTTCGGTGGATCAAGACAAGGAAATGGTGTCTGCAAAAATAAAAAAAATAAAACAGACTGTAAGGTCGTCTGTAGCTCAGAGAATAACATTGAAGTACAGCATTTCTATAAGATATCTGCGAACACCTCAGTAAGCAGAATGGAAAATGTTGGGCAAAGTTGAGAAATATTTCGGTAGTACATGTATTTGAATATTTCATCATTCTCCTGTAGCTGATAGTATGTATAATGTGGTTACTGTTTTCTGTTCGTAATGTTGACACAAGTATATCTAAAACCATGAAATCTGCTTTCTACCATCCTTGTATGAAGAAGCGTAAATTCTAGAAAGTCCGTTAAATTTCTGACTTCAAACAAATAGTCAGAATTCGTGCTGACTGTTTGATTTCTGTTTGATTTCCCTGTTTGACATTTCCTTGTCAGCATTTTGTTTTGACACATGAACCACGTTGCTCGAACAATCGTTCCAACAAATTTAGCTGTCATGGAAATACATCAAAAAATACATCAGATATCACGTACTCGAAAAAGAAGTTGATTGACTCACCTCAGTATGGAAGGAAGTTGTCTTCAGTCTTCAAACTCCTTAAAGTCTCAGAAAATCTATCTTAACCATGTCTTTCAGTGGTGTAACATATTTTATCTGTACTGCCATTCAGCTAATATGGAAGTGTAGTGCATGACCCGGGCGTATGTGAACTTGGCTGGCACTCGGGGTTTGCAGGAAATTCCTGACTGTGCAACACTGTTTGTGTCATCATCCGCTCCAGAAACCATACCGGAAGAAGAAAGAGGAACTCATTGGGGTCTAAACAATGCTAGATCAGTACATTAGCTGTCATGAACTTCCTTTGTGAGCTGCACTGCCTACGAGAGATAAGAAACAGAGACAGGATGTGTTAGACGAGGCTGAGACCCACGTAGCACTAGTGGCCAGAGGTCGTATGTTGGATTAATCAGTGTTATCATCGGCATGATATCACGTCTGCCTTCATTTCTGCCGATTAGCCTTTTTTCGCTTCCCTGCCTGCATGTACATTAGTCATCAACTGCAATCAAATTTGCATGTTATCAGTTTGGATAGTCCCTACAACTACAAAATAAATTAATTTTTACGTAGAAAACTTTTGTTTAGAATTTAAGAGGGTTGTCTCGGACAGAATTATTTTTATGCATTTAAAATCTTGAGGTTTATTTATATCAACTATTCACGGAGCATTTTCAAGCTCAACTGATTGGAGACCACTTTCACTTTTCATGTCTTTAAGACATAGACGAGTGTGCGGAAGACGCTGCGGCCTGTCCGGACGGGAACTCGGTCTGTGTGAACACGGCGGGAAGTTTCCGCTGTGACTGCCGGGAAGGCTACCAGGACTCGGGCGGGCAGTGCGCAGGTCAGGTTGTTTGTTGTTTATTTTACACTGGTAACTCCCGCGTGCTGTACATTTTCACATTTTTTGAGGAGCAAGAAGAAGCCGAATGCATTGGAGTCACTAAGCAGTGTATACCAGATCTCTCTCTCTCTCTCAAGCATTTATCTATTCATTCACTCACTCACTCACTCACTCACTCACTCACTCACTCACTCACTCACTCATTCATTCATTTATTCTTTCGTTCATTTACTTGAATGTTCATTAATTTATCCATTCATCCATTCAGTCATTCACTCACTTCGTTTATTCGTTCTTTAGTTCGTTTATTCATCTATCCATTCAACCATCCATTCGTTCATTCTCGAATGGAGAATTTGTTCGTTTATTCATCCATCCATCCATCCATACACTCATTCATTCGTTCCTTCTCTCCTCAGATGTGGACGAGTGCGCGGTGCAGTCTGGGGGCTGCGATCCAAACCGAGGCCGCTGCGTCAACACCCCCGGCAGTCGCACCTGCCAGTGTAACAACGGTTTCCAGGGTGACGGGACTGTAAACAACTGTTTCGGTAAACAACTTCATGGTCGTAAACACTGGTATTTGTGTGTGTGTGTGTGTGTGTATGTGTATGTGTGTGTGTGTGTGTGTGTGTGTGTGTGTGTGTGTGTGTGTGTGCGCGCGCGCGCGCGTGTGTATGTGTGTGTGTGTGTGTGTGTGTGTGTGTGTGTGTGAAGAAGGGGCGGGTTTGTTATCTTATTGATTTATTTATTGATCATTTATTATCAGTGATTGATTGATTGATTGATAGATTGATAACTTAAATGTTTACAGATATTGACGAATGCGCGGCGAACGCGAACGCCTGCCCTGACCCGAACTCCGACTGTGTGAACTCTGAAGGCAGTTTTCGATGTGAGTGTAAAGACGGTTATACAGATGGCGCCGCCGGGTTCTGCACAGGTAAGTATTGACAATTACAACACAGCCTCTTATCACTTAACTCCAGGGGAGTGAGGTGCTGTTTTTGGCGTGCCCGACAGTGATCGTGTCTTTATATTAATCTCCAAGCAGATCTTTTGGTGGCTGCAAACTGTATTAGATTGGCCAGGCCATTTGGCATACAATTGGGTGGCGGTATTGGATACGGTCGACTGGCAAATGGCCAAATTGATACTGCCTTTGCAGTCACCAAAAGATCTCCTGGGAGATTACCTTTATCTATCTATCTGTACGGAGACGTTGTAACTGTAGATTGACACGAAGGTTCTGAGGTCAACAACGGAGGTTTCTTGTTGTGTCTGTCTTTCGCTTTTTTTCTAGGTCAAAATCGGTGAGTGGCCTAGCTAAGTTAACTAATTTGTTCCCGTACAGAAATTGACGAGTGCGACAGCAGCCCCTGCGCTAACGGCGGCTCCTGTGTGAACCTGCTGTCCCGCTACCTGTGTCTGTGTGACGTGGGCTGGACGGGAGACACCTGTCAACTACCTACACTGGACAACCCCATATTTGGTTAACACGTGTCAGCTACCTACACTCGACAACCCCATATTTGGTTACCACGTGTCAGCTACCTACACTGGACAACCCCATATTTCGTTATCTATACTGTGCTACCTTAAACATTCAATTATTAACGTTGGACAACCACATACATGTACTTGGCTGAACATACTAACATCACGGTCACATTTGCCATGGGTCATGGCAAGTTTCGAGCAGGCTTTCCTAGAAGCAAGATATTCCTTTCCAAACAGACAAATGTTTTCAGAACACATTAACAAGTATCTCAAGAATGCCCTCAGTGTGCTAACCTGGATGCCAGACTGTTTCAGATGTCATTATCATGATAATACTCCAGTCAGTCAGTATGTCTAGAATGTGACAAAACTTTATTGAGTTCCATAATACCGATGTAACTTCAATGTGTATAATCTTAAATATGCATAATGATTGCAAACGAAGTCGTTTCAAATATTGTTGAATGATATGTAAATGCTATCTACTTAAAATGTCATATAGACTTAAGTTACTGACATAAATGTTGTCATCGCGAAAAATTACATGCAGACACCCAGAATATTTTCCTCTTGACCGGCAAACTCCAGTTTGAGACCACATGACGTTCTTTGTTTGGATTGCAAACTCTTGTACGAGTCCTACATACATATGAATAACAATGCTTCCTGCTACATACAGTCATATCTCACCACAATGGATTATAATATCTGCACCAAAAATCCCCAAACCTTGAGATAAACTTCCCATGTTTAACATGGTAGATAATCACTTAAACGAATTATCATATTGCATCGAAGTATGGTGACTACGGTATGATTGAATTTGTGCTTTATAGTTACAAGCTATAGAGAAACCCAACGAATCCTTGCTTTGCTCCATCATCGAATGCATGTTTGTACACTGTATTTCAAAAAAGCGAATTTCACCCAATAAGGACAAATTATATATATGCATGTAGAAATATGCAGTTAGAAATATCGTTAAGAAAAGAGTTCCGTTCTTATTTTTTTCTGATATCAATACCACCCACAATCCTTATTGAATTCTGTCTAATATACATATCTAATAATTCCCAATCAAAAACATACCCCATTGCATTGTTTTCAATAATAATTTCACCTCAATCCCAACTTCAATAACAGAATGATGCGTAATAACATAAATTCAGTGAGTGACAGGTCTTTCTTTTTTTTAAAAACTTTTCTTAAGAACACTTTCCTTCCTTTCTTCCTTCCATGATTCTTTCTTTTTTTCTTCTTTCTTTCTTCAAGAGCGCCATTTCTTCTATTGTTATCCCATTGCCTAGGTTACGACAATTTCTGGGGGTTTCCCTTCTTCTGGTTTCCCCTCCTCCTTCTTCTCCTCTTCAGCAGGCTTCTCCTCCTCCGGACTTGCCTCCTCCGGAGTCGCCTCCTCTGTACCGACGTGGTTTTCTGCAGGCTCCACCGTTTCCATGGCGACCTCCTCGCCAGCCGGGATGAGGATGATGGCGTCGTTGTCCTCCTCGGCAGGCAGCGCGGCGGTCTCCTCCGGCCGCGGCTTCAGCTTCCACTTCTTGATGTACTTCTTCAGGAACGCCTTCGTGCCCTTCACTCCTTGCTGCAATGTAGAACAGAAAAATTCAGTCAAAAATTGTGTGAAGTGAAGAGTGGAGGTGCTTTTCCCAAGGGCAGGAATCGAACTCTCTCGGTTCTGAGCTAAACACTCTGCTGTTACACCACACAATCCCACATGTGTTTTAACATTCAAGGCACATTGAGCGTAACCTCTAAGATTCCACCATTGCTGTACACTCCACAATGGCCAAATCCTGCCCATCCATCTACAATCCCATGCTAGCCCTTATAAGCAACAGCCTTCTTCTGTTTCAACAGTCATGTCTTCATGTGATTCAACACAATAAGGAAACTGAACATGGTGACCAGTTCCTTCAGCTCAGAGTGTCCTGCTACTTGCTACATAATCTAATCCAACACCACAAGGTGTCTGTCATAGTTACCATTGTGACATCTATCTGGTCCAGGTCATTGACCTTATGTGTTTGGAAAAGAAGAAGAAGCAGAGAAAAAAAGAATATGCTTGTCTTCATGTGATTCAAGGTGCTAAGAAAGTCTTCGTACCTGCAGAGCGAACTCCTTGTCTGCCAGCTCCAGGAACAGATCCGTGGCGTGCACGTAGTCTGTGTTGATGCCGATGGTCCGGTCAAACTCACGCGGCTGGGGGATGGGAAGGTACAGGTTTGGTTTGTTGTTGCTTGTTGTTTGTTTTACTAAAAGTATACACTCAAATCAACATTGGTGTGTTGCCCCTTATCAACAGTGACAAAAGAGTATTGTGGCATTTAATCACTCACTCACTGACTTGCTGACAACACACGTGGCCAGCTTCATGTGACAAAAAGTGTTTGTTGATTTTCTCAAGTGCAAGAGTTTGTTTTTCTATTTTTTACCCTACTGAATTACGGCAACAATTTCTGGATTCTCACATCCCTTTTACAATGCCCACAATTACAAAATGTCATCTATACAATTAAATCAGTATTGCTGAATAGGAGGTGTATCTCTCTTTTGTATTTGAATTTGAGATTGAATTTGATTTGTTAAGGATATACCATCCTGTTTTGTGCAGTCAAGTCATAGTCTTTTGAGACTGACAGAGAATAGGGAGTAAGATTAAGAAAATATGACAGCTGTGACGTAAGCCTACCTCCAGATGGACCCTCTTTGCCAGCAGGTTGAGCAGCTGCTGGTACGACACGTGATACTCGCTGAGAGAGTTGACAGACGTGCCCTGTTCATCCTTCAGGTCCTTCGTCATCAGGGAGTAGCCCTGGTTCTCAAAGAACTGCACAACCTCCTGGTACGTGATCTGTAGGTACAAGACATTGAGTAGTCAAATACTGTAAGTCACTTTATGTTCTTGGAAGCAAAAGTTTGCAGTCTGAGGAAGATTTACATTGTTCTGGGAACTATATGTGACCGTGAAAGTTTGAAAAGCGTGAAAGTACCAAGAAAAAAACAACACAAGCATAATAAGAATGCTATTCCCTTACCTCTCCATCTTTGTTGACGTCGAGTGCATCAAACAGTTGTCCCACAGACACTCCGGCCGGCAGGGATTCTCCGTCATTCACATTTTCTGACTCCTGGGGACCAATGGAGGGGAGAGGTCAGACATTTGTGCACATGGATAAGTGATGGTACTGGGTTTTTGAAAAGCAGTGCTAAGTCACTGAGTCGTGCTACCCTGATTAAAGAACACAGAAATATATCAATAAATAAATAGATAAACAAATAAAGCTAGTGATTACAGATCATTTTCTTCAATTTATTCCTTCATCTTTCCTTCCCTCACTCCAATTGCATTTCCTTCTTTGTAAAATCCGGCCATTCATATTCACTTGGTATTGTTGGTGTACTTAAAGTTTCTGGTTTCCAATAGAAGTAGCAGCACTAAACTACTTAAAGAGGTCAAAACGAACAAAGAAACAAACAGCCAGCTGCACCTTCATGAAGGCATCCTCCAGCTCCTTCCTGTTGATGGTTCCGCTGCCGTCCTCGTCGCTGGTCTTCACGGCGGTCAGGAAGTCTCCGATCAGGTCCTTCGTCCTCTTACGGAACTCCTGAGCACTGATCTTCTCACGCTCTGCCTTGTCCTTGGTGCTGAAAACATGGATAAAGATTTATTTCATTTGGTACAGTGTTTGGACTCACGATGCATTAACTCAATTCTTTTCTGTCATGCATACCACACGTTCAGCATATTCTGCTTGTCCCTGTGCTTGGTGCTGACATGTTGGTATCTTTGCATCATCACTAAATGGTGATGATGCTATCATTGTTTGTCATGTTGTATAGTTAAATCTGCAATAGATCTCAAATTGTGTCAGCTTGGCACTCAGAAAGCTGTATGTAGAAGTTACGTTATTGCATTCAAGGAGACAGTTTTTGCTCAAATTAAGTTTGTTACCAAAAACACAGAACTCACCCAGCCAGTATGGTGTCTGGTCTGATGGTCTTTTTCTTCCCTTCACGGGCCTTCAGTGTGGTTCTCATGTCCTCTGGGTCGTCATTAGAGTACTAAACAAACAAACAAACATAAATACATTAACAACATCAATAAAACTTTTGTTACAACACATACGGTAAATGTTCTCACCTAGAGCTTTTTACCAGTGCCAACATTGTTTACCAGATACCTTTGACCCAGTTTTGACGTGACAAGTCTCCCTGGGTCAGTCTAGTGAGGAAGATCAGAGTGACTGGTCGAAAGCTCTAGGTGTGGACATTTACCCTTTGTGTTGGATCAAAGTTTTAACTTTAATTTTAAACATGTACATGTAGCTACAAACACAGATACTCAACCAACTAATTGATAATACTTTACATACCACCATGACACCAATGGTGGAGTTGTTGTAGGTGTCGAAGCGGTCAGACATCTCATTAACATCCAGCAGTTCTCCCACCTCACCCATCCGGTTAAAGAAGGAGTTCTGACTGTCCATGGACAACCACCAACCTGCAACAGATAAAGACATATGGTTACACACAGACACATGGTCACAAACAGACAGACAGTCAGTCAGTCAGATTGACTGACACACACAGACTCTCCAAACTCTTCCATCCGGTGAAAGAACATGTTCTGACTGTCCATGGACAACCACCAACCTGGAACAGATGCAGACATACGGTTACCCTTAGACAGACAGACACAAACAGATAATCACACACAGGCTCATACAGTCAGACACAGTCACACATGCACACACACAGAGAATATGGTCACACACAGACACACACGGTACTACATTTATTTAGTAGTAGAGTTTCATCCCAGAATTTTGGTGCTCAACATGCATTTTCTTCCCAGAGCTGTGGAGTGAAACTCAGGGCCATAAATAGCACATAAGGGACAATATCAATAGATACAGCTTGTTGTTTTATCATATATCATCATCAGAAGTAAAAATCTTACCATCAAAGGAGTGTATGGGGTAGTTACAGCAGATGCCTCCGTCCACAAACAGACACTCCCGGCCGTTCTTAGTGTACTTCACAGGCTGGAAGAACCCTGGGGAAGAAGAACACAATGGATTAATAAAAACATAACAACAGAATCCTTATGCCTGCAACAAAGATCTATTGCAAAGCAGTATGTACATGTATCTTAATATGGGTAACCACCATTGTCAAAGATCTTATCAAAATATCCTAGAAAACTATATATGAGGAACAGTCCAGGGAGGAAGAAAGAGGGGAAGGCAATGGAAAATGACATCACGGAATGGACCAGCATGACACTAAGTCAAACATTCACACCTTCACTTCGTCAAGTCAAACGTTAACCAACTAGAAAACTGAGAAGGGAGGAGAAAACTGGTTTTCAGATGTTCTGCGGTGCCCAAATGTCCAAATACTGGTAAGTAGACTAAGGGATAAATAGGGGATGATATGAGGTACTGCATTGGACAAGACCAGATGTTAAGACAAGATGTGTTTTTCCTCCCTTCCATGTGTTTCTTGTGGTGACTTCAAATAAACGAATAGATGATAAAGCCATACCAGGAATAGACATGGACATGCGTATGGCGACCCTGATGGGCATGTCCGGAGTGGTCTTGACGTGGCAGTACTCCTCCATCTTAGCATTCAGGTTAGTCACCACGATACACAGCTCTGTCTCGTACAGCTTGTATAGCTGGAATGAAAGACAGAACATTTGTATACCTTCAGTTTACTCATTCATTTGCTATGCACATCAGTCTTTTTTATCAAGCCATTTAGTCATTATCAGCCATTAACTTGTGTATTCATTCTTTCACTCAATTTCCATGCATTCATTCATGGTTACTTATTCACTGACTACCGGGGTAGTATTCATTCTTTCATTCACTTTTCTTTAACACATTCATTCATTCACTCACTTTTTGGCTATCATCCTGGGGCCATGTCATACAGGGTTGTGCCAATGGCAATGATCTTCAAACTTAAGGCGATGGCAATGTTCAACAAGCCAAGTTCAAACAATGAGCCCTGATTGTGGGCTGACGTGAAGGCAGGTAAAGTTAGTGCAATCTTCCTCACCCTTCCATTCCAATTATTTGTCCAATAACCAGTGATTTGCCCACAAATTAGTCTTGTTTTCATTAAAAACTTGCTTTTTACAAGTTCTTATATTGGTAAGTTGGCAGCATATGCCTGCAAAGAGGATCACGAGTCGATTTCCGTGGCAAATGAACTGTATCAGCTCGTGCGTGGATGGCGTTCAGCACCAAGGACAGATGCCTGTACCCTTCGCCTCCCTTTTTTGTAATGGTACAGTCTGCTGTGCTCTTTGACCTTTGCTGCCTGGGAGTATCGTGTGACAGTTTCTCAACAACTCACACCGGCCGGACAACATGCTAAATACCGGGTAAATACGCTTCTGTCGCAAATACTGAGTACTTTTCTTGTTTGTGAAGTGTTCTGGCAACTTTTTAGCGAGTTTTGGGGCCCGAAAGTGTAGAAAGAAGGGTGTAGAGCACTGTTTTTTTATGGGGGAGGGGGGCGATCGCGAAGGGCATCGGGGCTCATGATCTACAGATCATAGGCGGGGTGGTGTAGAGTACGGCGTTATTTGCTTTGTAAAAACATGAATATATCTGTCGTCCGATTGCTCAGTACCGGTTGGATAAAATGTAATCTACGGACGAATGGGACTTTGAGCACGCTTGTAACGTTTAACGTTAGCATATTTTTTCTAGAACACTATCTAGAAGTAGAAACTCCCAACAAATCAAGAGGGGTTATGGATAGTAAAATTCGGTAAAAATAGGACTAAAAATTTTTCCATATCCAGGAGAGTGAAAACTAATTTAATGTAAAATAATGCAAACAATTAGCCAGCGTAGCATAGTCCGATAGAAATAAATTAGAAACACTACTCAGACTATATAGATAGATATAGACTCTGTGATGGGACCCTTTAGCCCCCAGTACAACTGTGTGTTAAGAACAGGTTGGGTCACATTCCTGTGTGTCCCTGATGCAGGAAGCTAGCGGGTCGTACCATATTCATTTCGGGGGCGAGCAGGGGGATTGGGAAAGCCATCGCCATCAAGTGTGCTCGAGACGGAGCCAACGTTGTCATCGCGGCCAAGACGGCAGAACCCCACCCCAAACTTCCAGGGACCATCTACACAGCAGCTGAAGAAAGTAGGTCTTTCTTGAACACCTTAAGAAAAGTAATGGGATCTTTGCTTATACTGTATGTTGACCTTTTGGGCTGAAATGTTTTGCTTTCTTCCAATCTCGCAAAAAAAAGGCAAATCAAAATTTATCATTTGATCATATTAGGTCATGCTAAGTCTCAACTTCCTGCCTCTTGACATATCAGAAAACAACAGAAAATGTTGTTGAGGGATGCCTTTGGGTAGCATTTTATAATGTTGGATTTTTTCTCCAGTTGAAGCAGCTGGAGGAAAATGTCTGCCATGTATCGTGGACATCCGATATGAGGATCAGGTATGAAATATTGTTCCTATATAGCGTATTATAGGTCTCAATATATTCTAACCACTAAACATTGGTGCAGTCACGTCAATGAAGGTTAGACAGCCAGGTAATAAGATACACCAAAAAAAGTTACTCAAGCAACTGGATATGATTTTGGAAACGGTCAGATGTTTCAGCTACATGTAGTATCCACTAGCTTTCTTCAGTTACTACTTTGATTGGTGCAGTCAGCTGTAGAGCATGGTTCAAGGTTATGGACTAATGTTCTGTATTAACCCCCCCCCCCCCCACAGGTCCAGTCAGCAGTAGAGCAGGCTGTGCAGAAGTTTGGAGGGATTGACATCCTGGTGAACAACGCCAGCGCCATCAGTCTGACTGGGACACTGGAGACACCCATGAAGAAATATGATCTCATGAACGGCATCAACGCAAGGGGAACGTATCTCGTGTAAGTTGCTTGTATGGCCCAGCAGTTAGCGATCTTGTGTGAGTCTTAAAGGAATACAAGAAGCTTATTATAGGAACTTATGTCTTAATGAAGAGATTTATGAAGTTTTGAGTGTAATACCAGATGCCTTTCAGCTCTGAATGTTCTAGTTTTTCATACCTTCAATGCATTTTGTCTAAAAACCATTTATTTATTGGTCTGGCTGTTCTCAACCCTCACAGACATGGCAGCCCAACTAGCTAGCGGTTATATATATATATATCTTTGTATAGAAAAAGCTTGCCCTGCTGATATATATATATAGGACATGACAAAAAACACTAATTACAGCAAAACGTACAAGGTGGCTTAACAATTCTATGTAAAAACGTTCATTTTCTTTCCCTGTAGTTCCCAGAAGTGCCTTCCCTACCTCAAGACTGGGAAGAACCCCCACATCTTAAACATCAGTCCTCCACTCAACATGCAGCCTCACTGGTTCAAGGGACACGTCGGTAAGAAATCTTATAAGACATCTTACCAGACAATACAGCATTGGTTCCAATATCTGCTATACTTCCAATTTTGACAAACAACAGGATGCCTTAGTTTAAGCATTGTGGTCTTCTTATGGCTAGAATTGTTTTAAATGTATCTGTATTTCAATGTTCAACTTTGTTGGAAGATTTGTGCCCCAAGAATGTTAGTCAAAATGCTGGAAATGCGAGTTTCTGATTCTGATAATATTGTTTATTTCATGTTTACATTCTAGATGAAACTCTTTTTACCTTCAGGTGGCAGCTGGCTATGTTATAAGGAAAGACATGTCCGAACAAGTAGTGTTATGTGATGTAGAATTCTGCTCTGTAATAATTCTGATGCCATGACCGTTATACCCCAAACACAGCCTACACAATGGCCAAATATGGCATGTCCATGTGTGTACTTGGCATGGCAGAAGAGTTGAAGCCTGACAGGATAGGGGTGAATGCCCTTTGGCCTCTGACTGGTAGGTTGGTGAGGGTCAAGTGTCAGGGAGAGGTTAAAGTTCAGAGGTGACCAGGCAACTATGGTTTTGGCTGTAACTCTGGACTAAATCTTGAATGGAGACTTTTTGTAATTTTTCAAAACTGAAGTAAAATGCCCAAATTTAATGAAATTTGGTTGTAAAGATATTTTGAATACACAAAACCAGTGACCTGTCACCTCTAGCTTAAGTCTCTCTCTGTATGTTGTTTGTTTGGTGTTTGTTTAAGGTATGTTTTCTTCACATTGCTACAGCCTACACCATGGCCAAATATGGCATGTCCATGTGTGCTCTGGGTATGGCCGAGGAATTTAAGGATCATGGGATAGCGGTCAATGCACTTTGGCCTCAAACTGGTACGTTTGGACAGGTAACCATGGTTACAATCAAACCAAAAAATTGAAGATTGATCCTCAAAATGAAATTCAGCGAGACAAGAGTGATCACTACAAGAAATGATTTGTTCCAAATGTGATTGTCTAAAGATTCAAAGACCTAAAATGTGTGAACTTGTCAGACCAATATACAATCAACACCAACTTATTTCTTTGTTTCTCTCACAAACCAGCTTCAAAATCAAGCTGAAGAAAACGCATGGTTGGAAATGAATATTGGAAAATACCTCCAAAAGAGATAAAACTGCAACCTCAGAACTTTAATTAAAGATTCCTGCATGACGAATGCATTAAATGTTTCCATTTTTAAGCTAACTGGGAGTTCAGTTAAGCTAAATGAAGACAAGAAAATGCATGAAGGACGTAAGATCTTTTTGACTGTCAAGAGACAAAGTAACACTCACTTTGACAACAAGCCATTTGTAGACAATTGTAATGTAGGACAACAATATCTGATATGTTTGATTGATTTTGTTTCTCCCAGCCATCTCCACAGCTGCTATGGACATGCTCGCTGGCGTTGATGCGCAGAAGCAGTGTCGTAAGCCTGAGATCATGGCGGACGCTGCTTATGTCATGGTGACGCGGGACAGTAAGTCCTACACGGGGAACTTCGCTATCGACCAGGATGTTCTGAAGGAGGAGGGGATACAGGACCTTGACCAGTACTCATGCGTTCCAGGTATGGGTCGGTCTTCTTCTCCACTCAAAATACAGATTTGACTCTACAAAAGCTAGGAAACCATACTTCCTAGAATAAAAGGCTATTGCAAAGTGATTTTTCTAACATAGCTACAGCATCTTTGATGCCATTGTCCATATTAGGACTGGTGATTTTGCCCATATTTGGTGGTGTTGTCCAAATTTGGTATTGTTGACTACCCTGGTTACCAAACCTATTATAGCTCCCGAGTCCTACATCGAGAGGATGTAGGACTTGGGAGCTATAATAGGTTTGGTAACCAGGCTAATTGTTGACCATATTTGGTGATGTTGTCCATATTTGGTGGTATTGTCCAAATTTGGTAATATTGTCCAAATTTGGTTTTGTTGACGATATTTGGTGATATTGTCCATATTTGGTGATGATTTCCATAACATCAAGTCTTTGTGTCCTAAAGAAGTTTGTTTTGTTTATTTATCGATCTATTTTTTTTTTTAAATTTCCAGGCCATCCCCTGATGCCAGACTTCTTCCTGGACATCACAGCAGAGGAGCTGAACAAGGATCTCCCCCAGGCGGCGGCAGGTGGCGCGTCACAGGCGGCGGCAGGAGGACCCGCCAAGACATTTGAGGTCATCAACAGCCTCGTGTCTGAGGACATCCTCAGCACTGTCAAGGGGGTCTTCCAGTTTAACCTCACAGGTAAGTTCAAGGACTTTCCTTCATAGCAAGCTGCTAGGTAGGACAAGTTCTTACAGGGGAGTTAGGACTGGCTGCTTCCTTCTAATAGTCTGACTGTATCAGGCTTCTTTGTAAATGACATTATGTCATGCTTGGCCTCTTCGGCTGTGATAACATTTGATACTGGTGTTCCAGCCCATTTGATAACTTAAGTTTAACTTATCACTTAAGCTTCTAACTGATATCACATGGGCTTCTAATACTCATCACACAGGCTCCCAAAAGTTCCATAAAATAATTTGAACACACTTTTGGCATATTTCGCATTGAATTGTGTGTTTTTTCAGAATGGTATGACCATTGTATGACATTCACCTATGTCAAGATCTTACTCTAGATTAAGTTCTGCCAACAGTACAATGGAAACACCTGTGAAGGTATCTGTATCTGTACAGCAGGTATAACATCCCTTTGGCGTAACACAAGGTATCAACTTAATGAACCATCTTCCCCCAGGTGCAGAGGAAGGCACCTGGCACCTGGACCTGAAGAACACGCCAGGTGGGGGCGGGGCGGGGGAGCCTCCCTCAGGTAAACCTGACGTGCTGATGACCCTGGACTCGGCAGACTTTGTGAAGATGTTTGCAGGAGAACTGCAGCCGACACAGGCCTTCATGTCGGGAAAACTGCGCATCAAGGGGGACCTGGCCATGGCTATCAAGCTGGAGAAACTCATGGGGCAGATGAAGTCTAAGTTGTAGTAGGAAGTATCCAACAGGCTGCTGTGAAAGTTGTAATGCTACAATGTAGTTACCTGATACTGTAAATTCATTTATTTCCATGTGGACAGAAGAAAGGAGGCTTTTGCGGTGTTCATAGATAGTTAAAACAACGTTGTAGAACAGTACTTCAATAACTACATTTGAAACATACTTCCAGTGTGAAAAAAAAACAGTGAACGTATCCATAACAAGATACTGCCATATTGCCACACTATATTCACTGGTAGGTTGAGTGTCAGTGTTATTATGAACTGAGGAATTTGTGGGGCAAGTAAAATCATCATGGGAAAATGTTCAATAAGCTTCAGTGAATGTTCTAGTACATATACTTTACAACGAAAGTCTATACTATAGTGCCTGGATTTTGTACCCAGCCATAATACATAGAGCAGAAAGACAGAAAATAGATGCCCTATGTGGAAAATATTGTATATTACAAATTTAAAGGCTTTGTTGTAATTTTTATGACTCTAAGTGCTCCTGTTCAAAGACATTATGTCACCTATACTTGTTGACCTATGCTGCAAACAATGCAAATTAAAACATGTCTTGACTATCTCTACATTCTGTATTCAGCTTACCTGTTATTATCGTCTATGAGTCTAATTTCGTTGTGTAGGTATGAAAAATAAACCAGGTGAGTCAATGCCTCAGAACTGTTAGTTTTGTTCTTGTTGACTTTGTAGAAATCCTTGCAATTTCATTGAATTATAATTATGTTTAATAGCCAGAAACGTAACATTTTATCATTCAGTAAAAATCTATTCCTGTGCAAGGCTTTCCTTCTCTGATATACTTTTATTAATGGTGTAATTAGACTTCACAGTATATACCCCCTTCTCTTTAAATGGTTTATTCCTTAGAATAACCCTTGACCTTTCACCTAGTACCTCTTGGGGTGAGTGACCTTAAGGGCAAGTGGAAAGCACAGTCACAGGTGATCACAACACAACCATGCAGAACACTGGGTAAGCTTAAGCTTAAGTAATTTCTCAAGAAATCTTCTAAGTAAGCAAGGAAGTTAATTTGTTTTTAGATCTCTCCGCTTAATTAAGTTTACACAGGGATTGTTGTATGTTCTTAAATTAGCCCAAAGATCATGTTTACAAAGGCTTTAAGTACAGTAGCCTCTTAGTACTATACCAGAATGGAGGCAGGAAATTATATGTTCAAGCCAGGAGCCCCTAGAATTACATGAGTCTGATGACCACTGTGTTTTCCAGAACTAACCACAGTGTTTGGAGAGGTTCTTGTCACCTAAATGTGTACCTGTGTTGGATCATGTTGTTTATGTATGGTTATAACCTTCTTAGATATTAAGTTAACCTCTTTCCCCAGTGTTTTTAGGCATCCAGTTTTTTTACTAAGTTAGACTACAGGACACTGAGTAGCATTAGGAAACAGCTGAACATGGAATTATGTCTACATTTTATTAGTAATTTGCAAGCAAGGTATGTGCAACAAATATTGATTTATTGTATTGGATGTCTGCCAATAGCAACATTTCATAAATGTTCGTCATCATGTTAGCTCAGAACACAGGATATTGCAAATAGAATTGATAGAGAACAACAATATGCACACCTTTGTACATAATATTATGTGCAGAGCCTTAATTGTTTAAACCTGCAATATTATGTGTCGAAAAATGTATTCCAGGGAGCTAGCGGGTCGTACCATTTTCATCACGGGGGCGAGCAGGGGTATTGGGAAAGCCATCGCCATCAAGTGTGCTCGAGACGGAGCCAACGTTGTCATCGCGGCCAAGACGACAGAACCCCACCCCAAACTCCCAGGGACCATCTATACAGCTGCTCAGGAGGGTGAGTCTGATATTCCTCATTTTTGTTCAAGTGAAACATTATAAAACATATTCAACTAAACTCTAGATCTTAGCCATGGTTGAAAATCAAGCTAATAAAAAAGGCCTCTGAATCAATTGCTTGTCTTAATTCAACAACTTAAGAAAATGTGAATTGCTGATTTGAAATTTTTACATGAGGCTCGTGATGCTTTTTTTAGGGGGAAGGGGAGGGCTGTTCCAGTGTTTCTTGCTAGCTCTACTGTCAGCTTCAACTAAAACTTATGACTTCACCTCAGAAATTTATAGGTCAGATTCTGAACGTTGACCTTCCCTAGTAAGTTGTAGCCTAACCAGTTTGAAGATGGTTCTGGATGATCTGTTACAAATTTCTTACAGTTGAGGCAGCAGGAGGAAAATGCCTTCCATGTATAGTAGACATCAGGTTTGAGGACCAGGTCCAGTCAGCAGTAGAGCAGGCTGTGCAGAAGTTTGGAGGGATTGACATCCTGGTGAACAACGCCAGCGCCATCAGCCCCACAGGAACCCTCCACACGCCGATGAAAACTTACGACCTCATGAACAACATCAACGCCAGGGGCACCTTCATGGTGTGAGTGGGGCATGGTGTTGATTAACTGATTGATTGATTGATTGATTGATTGATTGATTGATTGATTGATTGATTGATTGATTGATTGATTGATTGATTAATTGATTAATTGATTGATTGATTGAACTATAGGAGTTACTAGAAAAGGGTAGTCTCCACCAGACTCCTTTGCAGGCAAGCTGGACCCTCTATGGCCGGCCAACTCCTCTGGCCAATAATGTCCCCCTTAGCCGATTTCTACTATCTATACAGCCTGCAAAGGAGTCTGGTGGAGACTAAGAAAAGGGGTGCTAGTGTCACTAAAAAGAAAACAAAGTCACTAGAAGACAGGCAAAAAATTTCAAGTTATCAAAACACTTGTTTCCATTAGAATCTTACAAGACTTAGATTCTTAGAAGTCTAAACTGATGGACAATTCTTTCTTCGTGTCCAGGTCTCAGAAATGCCTCCCCTACTTGAAGAAAAGTAAGAAGAACCCCCACATCTTAAACAACTGTCCTCCTCTGGTCATGGAACCCAGGTGGTTCAAGGGTAATGTTGGTAAGGATCAAACTGTCAGAAATTTCTAGCTGAGCTGCATGCATAAAACTTGACTGTGTTCAAAAAGCACAAAGCTCTGCTATGTTGAAAAGAAAGCGGCCAAACTGACTGCTTCATCTGCAATTGTGAAATATCAGAAACAAACTGCTTCATGTGTTTGAAAATGGTTTGCTCCAGGACCTACATTACAGCTAGAATGTCAGTGAGTCTACCCCAGCAAACTGGATTGGCAATCTTTCTGAATAACTAACTGTCCAAATTAAATGCAACATCCCATTCTTTGTGATATTATTTTTTCTTCCAGCCTACACCATTGCCAAATATGGCATGTCCATGTGTGTGCTGGGGATGGCAGAGGAGTTCAGGGATGATGGGATAGGGGTCAACGCACTCTGGCCTAAGAAAGGTACCTGGAAACTGCTATCCTCATAATAGTACAAGTCACACAAAAACCATTTATAGCAAAGACAGGACTTAAAAAAGCAACAAACCAAATAGATACAAGCAAACCCAGCAATTGTAATACACACCACCAATTAATCTTATGTGGTTTAAGTCTGATGAATTATGATGTATGACAAACAACACTAAAAATATACAACGTCGTGTATATGACGTGTGTGACAAAATAGAAAAAAAATTGAAATAGAAAAATGTTCACATCAGCAATTGAAATCAAATCAATTTAGCTGACACAATACAGTTATAGGCTGATTTAATGATCTGTTGTTGTTGCCATAGCGATCTTCACAGCTGCCACAGACAACATTATTGGATTTCCTCGGCACATGTGTCGAAAACCAGACATCATGGCGGACGCTGCGTACTGGATCCTGACTCGGGACAGTCGAACCTTCACGGGGAACTTTGGTGTTGATGAGGACATCCTACGACAGGCTGGGGTGGTGGATTTCGAGCAGTATGCATATGTACCAGGTACAAAACATTTGTATCTAGTCTTTTACTGGACCACTGGCATGTTATCTATGTAACATCTGTGTCCATAATTCACCAGGGTCCATAATATCACCACCTTGACTTGAGAAACAGTGTGCTTAAAGATATTTTTATTGCAACATACTTTTGGTATGCACTCCTTCACACGTCAAATGTATATACCTAGGGTATGTATAAATATCTTTAATCACACTATTTCTCAAGGTGGCAATATTATGGACCCTGGTGATATTTTGGACACACATGTTATAATATTATGGAAAATTTCTACTTTTTCCACCTTACGAAGCCTGACAGAGGCTAATTCTCGCCATCATTTAAAAAAAAACTGTAAGTACGAAAACCCCATTTCACTAATCAGCCTTCTGCTTTTCTTGCAAAGGCAATCCCCTGATGCCCTGTGGCTTCTTGGAACATACACAAGACGAGATGGACCAGAGGCTCCACCTGATGGGCCATGACGGAATTGCAGGCACAACCAAGGCTAGCAAGTTGTAATGATGAAGAACAATGCATTCTGGTTTGGTTCTGGTTATTGCTCTACAGTTGGTCAGTAACCTGCAAGCAATTTTTTAAAAACTGATACAAGTACATTGTATGATAAATTAAATGTAATTGTAATACATTTATGCAAATAGGTTTGCCAACTTTTGTTGTACATTTGCATTTTCTATGATCATGAATAAAGCCTTTGGATGACAGTGATGAGTCATAGCTGGTTTTAAGTGTACTATCCTCTAATACTAGTACATTGCCAAGGTAATAAGAACTTCTAAAAGTGTTGAACTTCTTAAAGCAATAAACTGGAATACACATGTGTTGATTGACTGATATGTCAACAGTCATTGTGTTATAGAATGTTCTTTGCAAGAACAGTAAGAAAGGTACTAGACGTATACAACTCAACAAACTGACATACATGTAGTTTGACTCTGACATTATACAATCATCAGGCCTGTAGAACACTCTGTCCCCTTCTCCTGAATGGTACATCCCATGACCTTTCACCCTGTGGGGGCAATGACCCACAGGGCAGGTGTAAAGTCCAGTGGATTGTAAGCAAAGTAGGCAGTGATCAGGAAGGAGCCATGGAAAACACTGGGTGAGCTGGTTTCTTCTGTGTTATTCCTTGAATTTAAAACTATATCTAATCTTGCATATGTGGCTATAGTATATAGCCATATATATATAATCAGACCAAGGGATAGATTGTGGCGATGCACAGTTCATGCAGCACTGAACTGTTTGAATAGTGGCATCCATGATTTAATAGATTCTTCTTGGAAAGACAATGCTAGTGTCCTAGGCTTCTATACCGAACATTATGACTTAGCGCCAGGGCCAGTCTACTAAAGAGAATAATTTACTGAAGAATAATGCAGGTGCATTTTTTTCACCATTCAATACAGAGCATTATTAAAAAGAGTAGCATTTCAATTGACCACTGTCATTTTTCAGGAAGCTAGCGGGTCGTACCGTCTTCATCTCCGGGGCGAGCAGGGGTATAGGGAAAGCCATCGCCATCAAGTGTGCTCGAGACGGAGCCAATGTTGTCATCGCGGCCAAGACAGCAGAACCCCACCCAAAACTCCCAGGGACCATCTATACAGCAGCTCAGGAGGGTGAGTTCTCAAGTTACTATTTTATAGTAGGGTATTCAAGAAGGGAAAAATGCATATAAACTGTTGTGAAAGGATGAGATCCTCTCCTACTTAGTGTGCATAGTTCATTGGTTGGTGACCCTGTCTCTGAACCAATACCAGTTGTAAGTTTGAATCCTGGTTTTGTTGCTCACCCAACATGTGTGCTACTAGAAACGGTCACAATCCTTGGGACAGGACGTTGAGGATAATAATGAGTCACTGTTCATTTCACTTGTTGAAAATAAGCTAGAAGAATTTCCCCGGTACAATGAACCTGTAAATACTGTTATATATAGCATCTGTCTTCTCTGTCACATACAGTGGAAGATTAGCTAACGTACTTTTATTTGAGTTTTGGGTCTGATCTAAAGATTTCTTCTCCATACAGTTGAAGCAGCAGGAGGAAAATGCCTGCCCTGTGTAGTAGACATCCGGTTTGAGGACCAGGTCCAGTCAGCAGTAGAGCAGGCTGTGCAGACGTTTGGAGGGATTGACATCCTGGTGAACAACGCCAGCGCCATCAGTCTGACTGGGACGCTGGAGACGCCCATGAAGAGATACGATCTCATGAACAACATCAACACCAGGGGGACATTCATGGTGTGAGTGGGGGTAGTTTTTTCTCTTAGCTTTTCAGTGAAAGATGTTGGTAGGTAGGAAGATAGAGAGGGCTCCATGGTTAAAATGACAAGGAAATTACATCAGGAAGTTGTAAAAAAGATTGCATAAAATATACTGGAACTTTTAGGGGGCAATTTTTTGGTGGTATCAACTGTTATATCGAAATACATTCGCAACTCCAGCATGTTTTGTAACAGTGCACAATGTAATATTTGTTCTGTATGCTGCACAATACTGGCACATGCAGTATGTGCTCCATGTGTATTGTACAGTACTTGCATTGGGAATCTAAATCAAATCAAATCTCAAATGTGTCCCAGACTTGAAGCTTGTACAATTTTTTCTCAAGATGTTTTCCCCTCCCTGTCCAGGTCTCAGAAGTGTCTCCCACACTTGAAGAAGAGTCGTAAGAATCCCCACATCTTAAACATCAGCCCTCCTCTCAACATGCAGTCTCACTGGTTCAAGGGACATGTCGGTATGGCATTTTCGTTGTATATTTTTTTAAAGTTAAAACTCTTGTTCCAACACAAAAATTTCTCTCACCTATCTCTAGCTTTTAGTTTTGACCAGTTACTCTGGTCTTCCTCAGTAGACTGACCCAGTGAATCTTTGTATATTTGTTTGTTTTGTTTATAGATGTGACAAGGCAGTACCATATGGTGAATTTTGTGAGCTGAAGATTGAAATTCCAGGAATTTGTGTCCTTTTCCAGCCTACACCATGGCCAAATATGGTATGTCCATGTGTGTGCTGGGGATGGCAGAGGAGTTCAGGGATGATGGGATAGGGGTCAACGCACTCTGGCCGAGAACAAGTAAGTAGCAAAGTAAAATACTTTAAAAGTAAAGTGCCTTTAAGGCCAAGTAAAGTGCCTTTTGCAAGAAATGGGCACAATGTTGGCATCCCTACAGCAGGTGCAAAAATTGTGCCCTAAAGGACCTACTAAGTATTTCATCAGTTGACTTAGGTTAAGACAGAGGCAAATGGCGAGCTACCATCAATCCCCAGCATCAGCGTGCAAGCACACGTAACCCTCGGAACAAGGGGAACAACAGACATTGAACTGGATAGAGAGAGAGAGAGAGAGAGAGAGAGAGTTCCTATCCTCAGTGCTACTAGTACTGTTTTTGTCTGTGTGTCACAGCTAAGGTTGTGATGAATGCCGTCTCATAGCCGTGATATTTATACCCTAGCCATCGGCACAGCTGCTATAGACGTTACAGGGAGGGGGAGGGGAGGCAGCCGCACCACGGACATCATGGCGGACGCCGCGTACGTTATGCTGACACGGGATGGACGGTCCTACACCGGAAACATCGCCATTGACGAGGACGTGCTACGGGAAGCCGGGGTGCGAGACTTCGAGAAATACTCCTGTGTACCAGGTGGGGACTTCAGAATGTCTTTAAGATTCTTAAAACTCATTCTTTTCTAGAACTATCACAGAGTGGAACTCGCTGCCACCAAGTACAGTAGGGGCATTATCATTAGATAGCTTTACAGATGGTAGGCCAAGTCTGAGCCTCTACTGGGCCTTCCTAAGTAGATATAGAATGTAAGTACCTGTAGAATTGATGGCAAAAATACAATTTAGAGTGACTGAATACTTTTAAATTAAGTAATTGGCCAGAAGAATCCACCTGATAAGACAGAGTAATTGACCAGAAGAGTCACGCTGGTAAAGAGCTTCAATACTTGGAGTAGGTGTTACATTTTGGGCACATGAAACCCTTCGGTGGACAAACTTTCCAAGCAAATTTTTCTCCCTATTTGGCTGAATTTTACTACTTTTCAGCCAGCATTATTTAATACATTGTAGTTAATATTTGGACACCAGTGCATGTTGCAGATGTTGTGCCCTGCAGACATGTACATACCTGAAGCAGACTACTCAGGTGATCCATCACAGACTATTACAGAACAATCCAGGCATGATGTTGAGAGATACCACTCTGGTGGGGGTGCACAGTTACAGTTTAACTTTGTAAAAGGAGGGACCACCATATAACACTTTCGCATTTGTCGTATGATTTTGAAGTGGTGGAATTTTCAAGCATGCTGTGACAGAACTAACTGCTGACAGGGATCTGTCACTGCCTTTTCTGTAACAAGACAGCTAAACTTTGTACAACATATGCAGACTGAACTATATCCCAAGAATGTCCTTAATCTGAAAAAAATTATGAATCTACCGGGCCCTAAGCTAATATATAAGACAGAGCCTAGTTGCCAAATGGCCTACAAAAAGTTACACACAGTCTGTATGTGCTACCAAGGATAATGTCCTGTGTCTTGTGGTTCAATATGAAAAGATTGAATCATGTGTTTTTCGTGTCATTCTCTGAAATAACACTAGTGTTTTCTATTCCTGTTGACACCAGGCCATGATCTGTATCCAGACCTCTTCGTGGATGAAACCATGGAGGAATTAAACAAGCGCCCTCGAGTGACTAGCAGAGGAACTGCAGGGACAAGCAAGACCAGCAAACTGTAGCGGTGGCAAACTTGTTATGTCCAGGCACCATGTTTCAAAGTCACTACCACTGGTAAAAGATATGACAGCATAGAAGTTGGTAATCACATTAAATATGTTAATATAGCAATGCAATTGCTGTAAAGTTGTCTTTTAAACTACCATCCATGACAAAGTATGCACCAAATGTGTTCAACATCCATGATATCACGTACATGTATGGATTTTTCAATACATTCATCCTACTTTTGTGCCAAGGTAAGGCAAGCACTGCGCATGTTGTTTGTTTCATTTTATTTTGTTCATTCATTCTGCCGCTGCGCGCATGACTGCAATGCTGCCATGTTATGCTGAAGGGCAGTTATACAGACTTATCCATCCATCCATAAATCCATCCATCCATTCCTTTAATTTATCCATCCATTCATCCATGCGTTCATGCATCCATCCATGGATTACATTCATTCACTCATTCATGAATCCATTCATCGATCCATTCAATGATTTATCCATCCATCCATCCACCCTCCCTACCTGTGCGAATGTGATATCAGCGTTGCCTGTCTTCTCTGCCAGGATCTTGCCCAGCCAGTCCAGGAACTTCTGTCCCTTGTAGATGCCGTAGCCCTTAATCATGTTAGGCATCATGCTCAGGTAGGCCAGCTTGCTGTCTGTAAGGAACATGGAAAATTACCTTCATGTTAGCAGGTTTTGTTTTCAGTGTGTTTGTTAGTAGTTACTTCAATACAATAATTATCATCATCACGATGCCTCCGGATTTTAATCTGGTGAGGTATGATTGATAAAGTCACTCCAGTACCCCCTGTCCCTCATGGTGGACACTAGTCTAAGAGCAGTCCCTGTGAGACCAGTGTCTTTCTCTATCATTGACAATACAGTAGAGTCACAGGAAGTGAGGGGGAAATGGTGTAACCACAGACTGACAGGAAGGTCTGAAGGTCCAGCCAAAAAGCCGATGCTTGCTGGGCCCTGATCAAAAACAGCAGAGAGGTGTTTAAAAGGTATTGATGGCATAGGGACGGCCACGAGTGGCAAGCTTTTGGGCAACCATTGTGGTTTGACTACCCGAGGAAAGTTGACACCCGACAGTCAGGTTACTCAAGTAAAAGGCAGGAACGTCAAAGATAAGAACCTATTCTACTTTCAAAGATGACGTATAGAAGCTTTCGTCCGTGAGCCAGGCAACAGAGGTCTTGGTAGACCAAGAAAATTTTGGACGGAGTGTGCCAAGTGTGAAGCCCATTTCTTATTCAATAGAAAATGTGAAAGATCAGAATCAATTTTTACCTTCAAAGATGACGTAGAAGCTCTCGTCCGTGAGCCCGGCCACCTCCTCAGGTGTGCTGCCGAGCGCGAGCAGGGTGGCAGGGATGGCGCCCGTCCCCACGCCTCCAAACCGCTTAATTGTCTTCAGCACTCCGAGCGCCTGGAGAACCTGTGGGGACAGAATTGGAACCATTTAGTACAGTTAAATACAAACTGAACCTGTGGGCACAGGACTGGGGGCATTTAGTACAGTCCCAGCGTAGCAGGGATGGCACCCATGGGGACAGAGTTGGAACCATTTAGTTCAGTTCCAGTTCCAATGCTAAGCGTTGTGGCCCCCTCCTAAATTTAAAGCTAAGCGTTGCTGGGGTCCCCCCATGCAGACCCAAGCTTGTAGATGATAAAACAGAATGACCAGTCCTGCCACTTGCTACATAATGTAATCCAACACCAGAAGGTTTCTGCTACAGCACCAGTTACCATGGTGATGGCAGTCTGGTCCAGGCCATTGTTTGGAAGAAGAAACAGAGCAAAACAATATGTTTTCCTTTTGTGAACGTGGACATAATAAAAAGGTTGTCCGGTAACGAACCTTGGCTGCCCCGGCGTATGCCAGCCCCCTGTGTCCCCCGGCTCCCTCCAGAACCAGGTTCTCGAACGGGAAGTCATAGCGCGCGAACTTCCCCCTGACGTCATCGTCCAGCATCCCCTCCAGGTTAAACTCGATCCTCTGCTTCGGGCGGAACTTAGAGAACAGAGAGTCCATCATGTTCGGCTTCGCCAGCGCCTTCTCGTTGTTGTCCTTCGCAAATCAAACAAAAAATGAAGGTTAGACATCCAGGTAATGAGATACACTCACTGTAGTGGGTGCTACTTTCAAAACCTCTGCAGTTGCTTGTCAATGAGTAACTTTCCTCGTGAATTTCGAGATAAAGTAGCCTTAAGTAGGGGGGAAAAATGTACCGGGAAGCATGTTTAAGGAGAAAATTTTCTGCCTTCCGGATGTCGCAGGCGGGTGAAATATTCAGGAGATAAAAAAACTCTCCGCGTACTATAAGAAAGCCAGTATAAAAGGAGAAACAAAACTTCAAGCCTTCCAAAAATAACAGTTGTAACCAATATGTGTATTGGTCACATCTTACCTTCGGTGGCATCTTAGAAGCGTCTCTGATGATGGCCATCATGCCGGCGAACGGGTTGCTTCTCTTGCGCTTCGGCTCGTCGTTTTCTGACTTCTTGAAGCTGAACTTGCGGGACAGCGTCTCCAGGAAGGACGGTTTCCTCTCCAGCGGTTTCACCTCGTCTGGAACTTCCAGGGAATTTGAAGCCCTCTCGCTCGCCTCGTCATCAGACAGCTTCTTGTAGAACTCTGTGTTGTCTGTCGCTGGAGTGGTAGGGGAAGACAGTGTTAGATTTTTGTGAGAGCGATCTCAAAAAAATTTAGCCAAAAAACTCATGAACAGTTCAGTTCCACTGGTCATGACATAAGACAAACGTACTGTGCAGTATTTACAGGTCCATTGTACATATACATGTACTAGGAAAATTCCCCGAGACCTTTTCGACAAGCACAATGATGTACCTGTTCTGAGGACTGCAAGCCTTTCCAATAGTGTCTGCTGTCATTGAAAAAAAAGCAGCAGAACCTTCCCATCAAACGTAACAAATGTGTAAACCGTACCTCCTTCTGCCGGTAGCTCCCCCTCGTTGCTGAAGTCAATGGTTGCTTCCATCGCATCGCCGTCTTCCGTGACTGCTGCATCATCTAAAGAAAGATAAAAATTCACAATCGATACATCATCAATGTCCTGATTGTTTACCGGTACAATAGCTTAATCAGAAAGAGTGCTCGTTTTGCAACCGGGAGGTCGCGAGTTCAAACCCCGTGCAGGCCATTCCAAAGACTTCAAAAGTGGTAGTACTGCACATTGCTTTCTCTGCTTAGCACTCAGCATGGTCCATGAGAAAGAGTATGGGAAGGTCAAACACACACAACTACCAGCAGACTAGCCCTCTGCTGTAGTGCTTGTACAACTGTGTGGCCTACTGAGGGCTACAGAAATAGAGATGGGTACCATCCCTATGCTCCGCAAGGTACCTTCAGCAGGCTATGAGTCTTCATATCACCGGTGCACCGTGGATGATGTCAGTAGTTTTAGAGGGTGATGCACCTTTCCAACAATGTGAACCCTAAAACGACATTGTTACATGAAGGTAGTCCTGTTAGAGATGAGGGTTAGAACACACTGTGCCCCGCTACACAGACAGTCTACACGTAGTTCACCTTTTTCTGCCTCCGCCACTACTTCGTCTAAAGCGCGAGTAGGATCGTCGTCTGGGGCAGGCGCTGGAAGGGAATACCATTGAACATTATCATTTCCCCTACCCGAACTATAGAGATTCTTTGCTTTTAGGATCTTTGCCAATACAATTGACGATTCCCGATCGGAGTCTGTATTTTCTAAGACAGTTGCTAAAAGACGGAACTTTTCAACCCCGCGATTCATGTACCTTGGATGTACCTTCCTAATACATGTACATCCCCGCCATCCAGAGACTCAGATTGCGCTCCTGCAGGATAGCCTGCGCGCCAAACTGTTTCCAGGGCCCGTTCTGTGGCTCCAGGGCCAACATGCCCCCAAGGAATACCACAACCCTCTCAGATAGACCCTGGCTAACTCTGGACCTAGCGTGCTGTGGGTCTAGCAGACTATGGTTATGACTCTGGGCCCAGACTACCCAGTCACAGATATGTCTAACCTGCATTGGGAGGCGGTGGAGGAGGTGGGGGTGGTGGTGGTGGAGGGGCGCCATCCTCGGCCGGCGGTGTCTCTGCTGCCGGGGCCTCTGGTGTGTCGGCTGCGGGGGTCTCTGCCGGGGCGTCTTCCGCCTTGTTCACGGTCCCGTTCTTCTTATCCTTCTTCTTACCCATCTTTCTGTCAGGGGAGACAGATCATTGATAAGTTATTCAGTTACTTTATTTACCAGAAACCACTGGGGTTGTTTTCTCTGTTAAGACTAGTGGGAGATTAGCTGGATCGAGATCACCCTCTTTTCCTGTCAAAGATCCCTGCAGGCGGGTTGAATTAATGGAAAGATAACATGCAAAGTATTACCCAACGTACTAAATAACTGAGTACAGTAATGTTAAATGTAGTAAAAGTAGCTAAAAACTCAAACTTGTCTCCAGCACTGATTCTGCTGCAGTAACCTGAACTTAGTTCATCGTCTAAAAGTGGTTCTTGGCCTTGTATTGAATCAATCCATTACAAAATTGTACAGACAATGCATGGGTCAGAGTAGAGGGTCCCAAACCCTGTCACTTATTTCCAGTCACAAGATATCAAAACCGGAATTTCCGCTGCAGTACCATACCAAGCTGGTAGGAGGCCTAAAATCTAATCATTTCAATGCCTCATCAAGAGCTACACTCATATAAAATACCAAGACAATCCACTCAGACATTCTAAGTTTATCGTATTCACGCAGACACACACACCTCAAAGCATAACCTTTTAGGCGAAGGTAACTACATTTACTATGATGCTTTCTTGGAAAGTAAACTGAAGAGATCCACACCAGGACCTGGTGAACTGAACCGGGTCGACAACTTCTTTCCCTGGGACCAGAATAATGGCGAGGTCAGCAGAGTATGTTTAGAGTAGGAGGGGTCATCCTGTCAATCAAGATATCTATTTATTGTATAACTTGGTGTCAGCATATAATTATATATAAATACATTCTGCACTCATTGTTCTTGTCAATGTCTGTTTGCAATTAGCTCTCAGGCATGAACTTCTAATAAAGAACCGAACTCAAATATTTATTTCAATATGCATGAAGAAGTAAACAGATTAATTCTACCGTAAATTATGCAACATCACACAACAAGGGACGAATGAAAAAACTCACACTGGTTCAGATAGTTGAGCTCTGTATACTATTAAAACGGCCATTCATACATTTCTAAACTAAAGCCTGCCATAGTGTAAGCATTGAGCTTTGTTTTATTTCACTTTCATGCCCTTTTGTTGATCAAATGATGTACTAATTGTTATTATAATGAGAAAGGAAGCATGCATTGAGTTTCTTTCCATCAACCATCCTCCTTAAGCGTTAAGCATGTTGATGTAGATTTAAATGTTTGATTCCAAAACTTAAGATTCTGGACAGTGGACACTCAGTCGCAATCCACCCTGACTACCAAAACAGGTCTTGCGTTCGCAGGTTGATCGGTTAATTAAAACTTTTATACAGACTACACACTCAGACAAGTTCCCAGTCGTCTGTGCACTGATAAGACAGTAGCCGGGGTCCTTCACAATTAATACAGCCAATTTAGCAGGGTCTATGCATCAGCAGTTTGGTCGGTTTGGCTATAACGTTTCTAAAGATTACACAATTTTTTAGTTTGTGCACTACGTGGACTCTTGGCAACTAGCAATCTAAGCAGGCTCTACCAGTCATGCCTTTGGGGGGGGGGGGTATTTCTGATGGCATCAGTTCTTTGTACTACCAAGGTTTAAGTATTTTGGACCGCCTCCAAAGAGGACTGAACACACATTGTAAGCCACCGTGCCAAAGGCCCGACTCGTACAGCGCGCTCTGAGATAGCTGCTTCTGTCGACCATGCACAATGTGTAAAGCTATTTATTTGGTCTTCATTTGATTACTAGTAGTAACACAAAACCGTAAGATGTTTATCTTCTACTTTGTTTGTCTGCTCAATAATTACTGAAAATTGTTTACGTTGTGTAGATGGAATTCTCTTGAAAGCCTAGAGTTACAAATATATGTACCTTCAGACAAAGCTGTTCAAAATAACACATACTAGTAATGTAAATGGGCCAAGGACTAGTGTTTCCATAAATTAAGTCACTTTACGATCCTAGACGACATATATTAACACTGGTAATGTCGGTATTGTTCAAAATCCCAGTTTTTGTAATTTTCAAATTTTCTGCTTCGAAACAGTGTCCATACTTTGCTCGTAAATGTACATTTTGTAGTACAAATGTATCACAATCATGCAATCGCCAACATTGTCTGTACCTGTGGCACACATACTAGTACATGTAACACAGTGTTTCGGCCTATGGCGAAGGCGTTACGTGTTACAGACTACATCTGCGACTTTCTACCAGTTGTCGCACACGCTCCTCTAAAACATCGTAACACACGCTACAGCTAGGAACTCAGGATTCGTCAAAAATTCACCCAAAGAAAAAGTTCGCCGTGTTAAGTCTAAGAAGTAAGTCGAGGCCGACAGGTGTTGTGGTAGATTTGTTAGGACACAAACCGTCATGGTTGCTTGTCGCTTCACACAGTTGTGCAATGCTAGCTGTACTAAATGCAACAGTTACATGCATACGGGTACGTACCTTTGTAATACTCAAACTCGCACTTTCTTATCAATCCGTTGAGCAGAGGAGTTGAAGGAAAATGTTTCTTGTTGCAGGAAAAGTCGAGTTGTTGTTGCGTTCTCTCTGGACAGGTGTTGATGAACAGCTTACCACCAGCGCACACACAGGAATTTTAATAACTGAGAGAGAGAGGAGGTAGAACCTGTTGGGCCGGTGCGCTTTGCACGTTTGACTGCGCGCAGACAACTTGTTAGGGGCAGGACGACCTACTCATGCTACAAGCAGATGTGGGGTGATAGATAGGATGACTGTAAATCAGTGTACACACATGGTATAAAGACCATGGTGTGTATGTATGTATGTGTGTATGTATACGTATGTATGTAGATTAATGGCCTCTGAACTTTTATTGTTATCTATGGCTTCGACAATCAGTGATAGAAAGTGATAGAAAGATAACAGTTATATGTGTGTTGTAAGTGTGTTTTATACTAGAAGTATTTGCCAGTGCACGTGAGACTAGCATTTTACGTATGTAGGAATGTAGTAATTAATAGATCTAGAGATCAAATTAATAGTGTTTGCATGGAAAATTGCAACATCTCATGATCTTCCGTCACCGTTTTTTAATAAAAGGAACAATACAAACACATTCTCACCACACCCTAAAATGCGGTTGAATTTACCCCTAGGAACTAACGCATGGCATTCTTTTTTGCAAGCGGGAAGAATTGCGAACGATCTTCTATCATTCATTTTTTTCAACAATCTATGTTAACGTTCTTTAATATACGCTGTATTATAATAAAGCATGTGATTTTTCTACCTCCATGCTATAAGTTAGTCCACTACTAATAGACGCTGTGTGGGTAATCAGGTGAAAGGTTAGGGGTCATCTTACATCCGGGACATTGTGCGTCCTTACGAGAACATCCAAGATGGTGGTGGAAAACCTCGCAATCGCTGACGAGTTCGAAGACGTACGTATTTTACTCGATACTGAGGAATAATTACTACTAAATGATTTTTAGCTCTTAGCAGAGGATGTATTTAACGATTTGGGGCACGTAGAGGCGCATTGGGGCTTGATATTTTGGGTAAAATCGCGGTGTCTCTGACCGCTTTTCAAGGGCGCCTGGCGCGCACGTTGGTTTCCGTTGCGTAAATTTTATAGTTTTTACGCAGCCACCAAAAGTGATCAAAATAATGGAATAAACGCCTTTTTTTCTCGTCAAAGTGTAGGGAGATTGTCACGGGTAAATGCAGTAAGTAAACCAAGTTGAACAGAAACCTGATACATGTCAGGAAGGCGCTAGGTTGGAAGGGGGAGGGGGGCGCACTTGTCAAGACATCAGGTCAAGTTATGATGTTGAAGGTCACAAATTCTGGCTCCTGTCTTAATCAAAAGCTACTTTTATATTCATTCATGTATGTTCTTAGGAAAATACAGTTGCTACAACACCACTGTTGTTTTAAAGGTACAAATCTAAGTGTAAGATATTTACCAGGAGTTGAGTTGTACAGATGTAGATGAGAAATAAATTTATTTGTCATCATTAAGTTTTTAACATTTCTTCTGTTTCCCATCAATCCCAGGATCCTCCAGAGGAGGAGGAAGAGGAAGAAGAAGAAGAGGAGGACCTGGAGGTCAGAGTTCACAACAAATCATGACTCTACTCTATGAACTTCATGCTTTTTGTTGTCCAGTTTTTGTGAGGAGGGTTTTATCTTAAGTTACATTACTAGTATCTTGGTGGACTGGTGGAGGATGGCCAGAGGTAGAAGACTTCTGTTGAGTTGCTCCTGTGCAATTGGACCCATGATAATGAATGACTCAGGGTTGGACAAGTTTTCAAAAATCCACTTGCCTTATATTGGGCAAGTACATGGACATCTCCACTTGCCCGAACCAACTTTTCACTTGCCCAAAACAAACGACATTTTTATATGCATTTTCACTACCAGCAAGAAAACTATTTTCATTTTAGAGTTATCAAAATAAGGTGGTTTGAGACTTAATATAATATCATTATGGCCAAATCATGAGTAATTTTGCTCTAAACACCGTAGCGGGTATACTTCGCATCCCAAAAATTTACTTTCCCAATCGGGCAAGTACAGGGGGATATTTACTTGCCCAAACAGTGCTTTTACTTGCCCTGGGCAAGTGGGCAATGGGACTTGTCCAACCCTGAATGTATAATAAAACATCAAATATCAAACATGTTGATGTAAAATGCTTATGTCCTTAGTTAGGACAGTCAGGGAAGACAGATCTTAAACCATTATCTGTAAGGTGATGATAAGAAAAACACATAGAACAATGGTATGCCAACCACTAGGCCATGGACAGGGGGTCCAAGATATTCATAACCTTTACTTGTTGATGTAAAAAATGCTTCTATCCCAGGACCCTATGGACACAATCAAGGAAGACTTTGAAAACAGATCTTAAACCACTGTCTCAAAGGTAACGATACTAATCACTCCTAACTTTTACTTGTTGACGTAAAACTGTTTCTATCCCAGGACCCAATGGACACGATCCGTGAGGACTGCCAGAACAGCCACCACTGTGCCGCGGTGAAGTCCCGGTTCATGGAGTGTGAGGATCGGGTGAACAGCGGGAACGGGGAGCCCGAGGAACACTGCACCGAGGAACTGCTCGACTTTCTACACTGTGCTGACCACTGTGTAAGTGGTACATTCTTTTTTTATCTAGATATATAAGACTGTATGACACTGTACTATGAGACTGACTGACAGTACAGTTGAGTACTTCAGTGCACTGATCGTTGAAAGAAATTAAAACAGAATACTTTTATTTCAGTTTCACTTTGAAGTGTTAGGTATTTTTAAAACATTGACTCACTGTCATAAAGTGTTTTTATCAATATCAGTGTACTACCACTTTAAAATGTGGGGTTCTTTTTCTACATGTGAGAACCCAAGTCTGGATATAACATACCCCTTTTAAGTTGAAAAATTATTTTCCTAAGTTTAAGGATGGGGTTACATGTACTAGTACTCATAATACTTCTTTTATAGAGGTAGCTATTCCTCACACGTTGGTATCTATTGTTTCCAGGTAGTGTAAACTTGCTAGATTGAAATCCTTTCTATATAGAAATGGTTCTAAATTCTATAACTTTTTTAACAAATGCTCATCTTCTCCCCACAGCTTGCAGAGACCTTATGGAAGACTATTGTATAGAGAAGACAGCAGTGTAAAAATTAGAGCTACATCGACACTGGTTATAGCAGCGGCATTTTGGACATGAAATTGAAACATGTTAAACTTTGAGAAATTATAGAGGGTTCGACTCAGCGATGCTTAACCTGTTTGCTTCTTTGCAGCATTTTCTGTCAGCTTGCTTAAGCAGCAGCTTTTTGTTTTCCCAGCATTAAGTGCAGGGAGACATAACCTTTTTCAGTTGTTTTGGAATGAGCTTTCTCCAAAATTGCCATAATACATGTAGTGGACATGATTCCACAAACACCATGTACAGTCAAACCTGCCTAAGAAAGCTACCCAGGGGACTGAGGTAAAGTGGTCTTCTTGGGCAGTTTGACCTGGAAAAGGTGGTTGTTAATGTTATAACCAGGAGGCTGTCTTGAAGAGATGGTTGCTTGGGTACGGGTTTCTTGGGTACATTGACTGTATATTCATTTCTGCTTGTGCAGCCTGCTTTGCTTGTCTTGTAACCCCTGCTTTGCTTTCTTTTTTGCCTGCTCCCCTGCAGCTAGTGGGCAAGTTGTGGCCGACGATGAAATAGAAATGCTTTTTCTGCAGAGCTTCCACACTCAAGGCTTGCCACTTCCAGTGCTGGAGTTGGAGTTATTAGAGAGATAAAAATAAACGAGAAAAATATGAAATGTGTTGTCATAGAATAATTCTCAACAACGTTACTGTAGGAATCAGTACTAGTATGTGTCAATTTGCTGTTGTGTCTGAATTCTACTAGATTGAAATTACGAACTACTGTAACTACTGTGCTACTGTTGCTATGGAGACAGTTGTCATGGAGACAGTTGCTATGGAGACAGTTGCTATGGATACCCTTGATTCCAGTGACGTAAACAGCAGTGTGGGTTCTGAAAACTTGTATGCTCCATCAAAAACAATGCTTCAGTATGTAAACATGTTTCAACTCTGATGTAAAAGTAGATATGTTACTTTATTTTTTAGCGGCTAGTTAAATTCTGAACATCACACACTACTGCATGTATAAGTCTTACTCCAACCAGTGTCCACCTCTCTTGTTCATAATAAAGATTTTCCCATGTAAAGTGTTGAGAGTTGAGATGTCTCTTTGTCACTCCATTTTGTAGTATAAAACTTGTGAACTTCAAATTATAACAATGATGACACACTTCAAACTATTATAAAAAGGCCAGACAAGTACAAGTAAGCATTTTAAAGTGGAAAAAAAAAACTTATTGATACATAGGCTGAACATGTCAATAATGTAAAATTTTCGGTTATTGACAGGATCATCCTGCAATAGCATGGATTCCATGGCAATAGCCTCAGTCAAAGGCTGCTGTACATTTTGCGACAGTTTGACGCCTAACGTCAGGTGAATTTACGACAGTCACGGCGTGACGTCACGTCAGGCAAGCCCGTCACGTTTCGCGGTAACTCGCGCAACATAGGAACCCGCGAGAGAGCCGGCGGCGGACGCACCACCAGTACTGAGCGGCTCTGCAAAAGTTGTCCCCAACACCACAAGAAATCGCCGGGTGACTTCTAGACTTTCCACCGTTCTAAGACACAAGATAACGCGAAGTCAAGGTAAGAAGGAATGAGAAATCTTAGCGGGAACACCTGTTTTTGTTCTTTTTTACCTGCGTGTGGGGATCTTTAACTAGCCGGCGCGCCCGGCCACATGTAACGTGTTGCTCATATCCCTAACGTAATTATACCTTAGAATTTCTAAATTAAATATTTATATTGTCTCGTCAAATTTGATGCTGCATGCTGCAAAGTAGAAAATAATTGTACTGTATAGAGAAAACGGTAGCGGCACTGAAATTTCTTTTGGCCAATGTTTGCTGCTATATCATTACGAAAGGAAAGTAACGATCCTGGCCCTTAAAAGGCTTAAGAGAAAGGGTAGGTTGAAACGCGTTAAGCAAAAATGTCAGGATGACACTTGAAAAACGGCAAAATAAGAAGAAACGCATAGCGTAAAAGGTTGAGGAGAAATTGACATCTTCATAGGCTATTGAAGATCCACCTGCAGGTAGTTTTGAGCTCGTTGCGGTAAATTACAGTCATTAAGCGCGCCCCGGTTTGGCGCAGACAGCGGTCTCACCTTCCCGCGGATCCTTGACCCTTCTAGTTAGCTTCTCAGTAGGGAAGGAATAAGAGAAGATCTGTTCACGCAGTGTAGCTTAAAGCAGACTCTCCAAGCAGAGGCTAAATCCGTTTTAGCCTGGTTGCCAGATATCCTCCGTAGTTTTTAATACCGCGCGCCGGCTCCCTAGTCAATTGCAAACGCCAGGGACAAAGAGCCTTTATCATACGGTACTATGGAATATCGCATCCATGTTAGGCCCATTTCGGGACGTTTTAAAGAGTTTTTTTTAAACGTTTTGGCGGGCTGTTTTCGGCTCTTAATTAATACAGCTTTTCTAGACGTATTTTCTGCCAGAATAGTGAAAGAAAACTCGACAAAATAGAAAGTGCAACAAAATGTCTACAAAAGCTTCAAGAACCGTCCCCAAAGCAGGCCTAACCTTTGCTGGGAGAGTACCAGTTCCTTAAACCATCGATCCCGAGTCCTTGTGTCTGACTGGAGAGTCCTCCAACCAGGATCTTTCTCACGCGAAGTTCTCACAGAAACACAAACAAATGTTAAAGGTACGGGGATAGGGTTACTGGTAGGAACGTGGCATCTCCAGGTCTGGACATGATAAAATACTGCCGGACAGAATGGATGAAAAAATAACAATAGATGAAAAATAATAAAATTTAGCCAAGTAAGGAAATAATTTCAAAATTATTCTTCCTATTTGTTAAAAACTCTCCGAGTAGAGGTTAGGGCTTGTTTTGAAAGTTTTAGGCGTTTTGCCAGTGTTTCTATTTTGCCAGCTATTCTATGGCCAGGATACAAGAAGGAAAAAATCACTCTCCTGGCCAATCATTCACCCAGTTTCTGCGGAATCCTACTATCCATAGTTCAGAAATTTCAACATGTATAAATTTCATATAAAACTCAAAGAAAACTCTATTTGTGCCAGGGTTCCATGAAATAAAAATGTTATGGAGCTGAAATTACTTATTAAACATTCATGATCATCTCTGATTATGGATTCATTAAAAAGTAGCTTCTCAGGTTTTACTGCAAGACTTGGTTGAATGATTTAGTATTTTCTGTATGTTACATTAAAATAACTAAGTCTAAATCATTGAAATCATTCAAAAGGCTCATATTGTTAAACAATGAGCATTCTTTCATATAGAAAGTCATGAAAGCAGTGGTAGATTTCTTGTGGCCTATGATTGACATTTCCTGCTTCAGATCAGAATAAATTACAGTTCTTCATCACCAGACCTCATGCCTGGCCTATTGTACCCTCACAGTCCGATATTCCACAAATACCTCAGGCCTGGGGAAATAAATTTTGTGTTTTTTGTTTCCTGACTGACCCTAGAAAAAACTGCCAACCTTAGCCTTTTTTGGGTGGACCCCTGCAAGGGACATACATTTTTTGAGCTGATCAACATTTTCTAGCTCCATGATTTGATGATTGTAACGTTGTACAATATTAGTTCTTTGACATTGACATTGAAGATATAAGTGTCCTCATGCAAGTTTTACTTTGTTAAACTGTACTATAAAAAAAAAAGTAATCCCTAACTACCGACCCTAATTTTGTCTGGACTGAAACAGGAAACATTTTTTCCCCAGGCCTCAGGCTTTGTACCTAAACGATTTATAAATCAGCAGGGTTTCATCTTCAGGCCTCTCGCTTGGCTCCTGGTATGAGGGTAAACTACCAGCCTTTGTACTACATGTAAAAATAATTTTTCTAAAGATAATTACCCGCATGATGAGTGGGATGCGTGACGTTTATCATATTTCTTTTGCTGCGGAGAACAAGAAGAGAGAAGAACTCTCACCAGAAGCGTCAACCAACGACTTACTACATCAGGGCTAAACAAAATGGGTTTGGACAGCAATTTTTAAGCCTAAACTGACGACTTTTCCTCTTTTAAAAATCTTCCTTCTGAACACAGGCTTAAGAACTTCATGAATGAAAATTCTATTCCAGCATGTGGGTCAATGTATTACATCAATATTTAAAAATCAATTTGCATTCTTTATGTATGTGTAGATTGGTTTGGAAGTGTGTAATGAATATGCTGTCTCATCCATGCATGACTATCATTAATTGAATGTTATTATTATCAAGCATGGTTTAATTTCCTTCAAAGTGCTTTTAATCCTATTCAGCTATTTTGCCCATGCAAGAAATAAATCTAAATTTCATGTAAAATTTGTACAACAGATACTGTTGGTCAAGATAATGTTTTACAAAATCATTCAACTTGTTTATATGTTTTTCGTTTGCACCCAGCTGAACTGGAGACACATTCAGAGTACTGTTGACAAATCTTCCAAGTGATCCCAAATGGTGAACTATGTATGAGTTAATGAAATACAGATTGTGCACTAAAATGTCTGACACAGCACTGTTTTCTTTTTTGTGATGTCCAGCAGTGTTTATTATATAGAGTGTCAGCAAATCGCTAGTCTAAATGGGCCAAAATGCTGAAGTCTGAGTTACTGCAAGTAATGACTCAAAATTGCAACCCACTTGCCCCTCACTCACCATCCAAGTTTTGATTATACTGCTGTGGGTGTCCCTGACACAGGTAGCCAGGCCTCAAAAATGCTATGGGACCTTTCTATTTACCAAAGTGTCTAACCCTGTCTTTTGATTTTCCGTTGTGCCCAGCTGAGCTGGAGAACACGGCCGCCCTGCTGTCGTACGGGGAGATGTTCCAGAGTCGGGAGGAGCAGGACCTGCATGAGGCACAGGAGGAGCTCAGCCAGCTCCAGTATGAGGCTAAAAACACCAAACGGGAGAAGGTCCTGAGCTTTTTTTTGTTCCTTGTGATATAACTTGTGATTTTTTAGGTACACACAGTTTTAGGGGTGAATATAAGTTCAGGTTTTAGCTGCAGCACGAGTCTAAGAACATCAAACATTCAGCATAAATTCTTTTATGTGATACTTTAATATGATTTCCAGATAGGGTGAAGGCCGTAATGATTATTAATATAAAGATTTTGTATCAGCACTAATTTTCTCTTCATTACAGCCTGCCAATAGTGGGATACACTCTCTAAGTGGCAGTGGTGTGTTGAGCTGACAACTCTTTTCAGTTTCTACACAATGTGCACTGATTATACAACATGCCAGATATCTTAAGAAAGGTTTGAAAAGGTTTTGAAAAGCATTTATCCTTTGGGGAAAAACATCTCAATTGTACTGCCATCACTGGAATGTAGAATCAGATTCTATTGTTTGAGCATGTGAAGCTCAAACCAGCCTGCAGGCCACTTTTCATTGAGGTCACAGTTTACAGTTTAATGTGAAAGTCCTAATAAATCTATACACATCCTTATTATACAAGAGGAGATCTCACTGATTGACAGGTTTTCTGGTTTGATTGACAGGTGTTCTGGTTTGATTGACAGGTGTTCTGGTTTGATTGACAGGTGTTCTGGTTTGATTGACAGGTGTTCTGGGTTGATTGACAGGTGTTCTGGTTTGATTGACAAGTGTTTTGGTTTGATTGACAAGTGTTTTGGTTTGATTGACAGGTGTTCTGGTTTGATTGACAGGTGTTTTGGGTTGATTGACAGGTGTTCTGGTTTGATTGACAAGTGTTCTGGTTTGATTGACAGGTGTTCTGGGTTGATTGACAGGTGTTCTGGTTTGATTGACAAGTGTTTTGGTTTGATTGACAGGTGTTCTGGTTTGATTGACAGGTGTTCTGGGTTGATTGACAGGTGTTCTGGTTTGATTGACAGGTGTTCTGGTTTGATTGACAGGTGTTCTGGTTTGATTGACAGGTGCTCTGATTTGATTGACAGGTGTTCTGGTTTGATTGACAGGTGTTCTGGTTTGATTGACAGGTGTCAGTCTGTGCGGCTGACCTGCAGAAGTACGTGGAGCAGCGGCAGAACAACGACCCTCTGGTGGTCGGGATACCCAACTCCCAGAACCCCTACAGGGAGCAGAAGGGATGCTGCATACTCTAGTCGCCATGGAAACGGTTGCCACAGTGATGGTTGTCATGGTGATGGTTGCTATGACTACCATGCCATCAGCAGCTGACGCACATCAGGCCAGTACTACGCAATAATGTATTGTGTTGAAAGAAAGAGGTATTTTAGAAATTTTGAGGAGAGTTTTCTATGGGAGGTCTGATTGCTTTGTGTAAAGCCTGCACATATTTCTGTGTACCAAAGAGGCAAAACCAATTTGTTGAGGTACTTGGAATAAATGAATGTGCATCTGTCAGATTCAGTCAGTCTATCACTACTGTTAGTAGCATTATTATCACCCAGGCTAAAGCATCATTTAGTCAAGATACAATTGTACCAATTTATTCAGCATATGATTATAATGTAAGTTATGACAATTTGTCTATTGTTTTTGTCATGGTATCATATCTCTTACAAGTTACAGTATAGTCCTGCGAACTGTGTATCTATATTTGGCACAGAATCTTGTTAAGTCTTCGAAGAGAGTTCGAAGAGAATGTTTTGCTGCTTTGTGATCATGTTGTGAGGAGACTTTATAATGACCAACTAGCCATTACTTGTAAATCTGTACAAGTCCCATCTCTACATACATGTAAGGACTACCTGGCTATTGTTCAGATTTTACTGTTCCATGTATGTGGAATTTGCTGCCACAATCAATTTGTGGAAATTTGGCCTTTTTGGTCAAGAACTGTTGTTAGTAATACTTAGTAGTGTGTAATTGTCATGTCAATTTGCAGGACTGTGCATGTTTTATTAATCAGGATATCATGAATTGGAAAGTCCATAAGTCCATAAATATGAGCCATTCTGTATTGTACGTATGGCTGACAGTATGGTATGGTCTCAAAATAAAGTCAGTATATATTTCATACTTGGCTTTGTGTTGCTTTGTGATTTGTAAAATAAATAAAGACTAAAAGAGAAGTAAAACTGTTGCTCTAAGGAAAATGAAATGGCCTGAAATTAAAGTCTAAAAAAATAAATTATGCCTCCCACCAATTTGCTTTACCAGGGTATTTCATTTCCAGCATAGTCATATTTGTCGTAGGCTGTCCTACGTCTTTAATACTGTTGAATTTGAAGCAGGCTGTGACAGAACAAACCATGATATTTTAGATAGCTGAATTTTGTATGACACATGCACAACAATCCCAGGAATTCTCCCAGTTTAATCATACAGATATATGTTAGCCAGCCCTTAGCTATGCTGAATTCTGTAGCGAGTTTCACTCATAAATATTATGATTAAAAGAAGCCTTTTAAACATTCATTAGAATGCACCCAGAACATACTTAAATAACTCACAATGGCTACTGCTGAATGGTAACCAAGCACTGTCAGAAGAAGGTTAAAAGGAAAGTAGTAAATGACACCAAAAGTCTGATATTTTCCACTGATGACTTTACTAAATACTGCTGACATGATAAAATCTTAGGTACATGTAAGGAACATGTCTGAGAGTCTGGAATGCCAAGATGTTTTTTTCTTCTTCCAGCTTCCTCCTCAAATATTTTCTTATGGTTTAACCCATAGCTAACAAATAAAGACATGGCATGACTTGAGTGAAACTTTCAAACACTTCCACAAAGTAACCTTAGGCCACACCAATAAGATTTGTTGGCTCTGGAATTCTGTAAAAATACTGGGGAAAGTCTGTACCTTGGTCGACACATCAATGAAGATTATACCAAGTCACATCCAGGTAATGAGATACATAAGAAATCTGTTACTCAAGTAACTGTTTGGTCAGACATTTCAGGTAGAATCAACTACTTTTCGTCAGTGACTAACTTTGGTTGACACAGTTCTGGGGACTGAATACAGTCTGAGATGCAGTTTTCTTCCAGCCATTTTACTAAAATTTAATCTTTGCTTGAAAATGTTCCAGATCCAAGGACATCAAAATTGGTGTGGCCTAACAATCTTGGCCAATACTGCATACAGCTATATATGTCAAATTCCTGCAACTGTCATGTTGTTTACAATGATTCAGACATTGTTACTGTGTTTCATTGTACATATGGCCCTTGTGTCCACACTTCGACAATCGTCAAGTACTTTCATTACAGCCACACACACATCAATTTTGGCAAGTCTCTCCCCTCCCCCCAAGTACGATAATCTCACTTTTTCTCAGGGACTGGGGAATGATTTGCAATAATGTTAGCAATAAGGACACAAACAAGCTAATCTTTACTCAACTCTCCCAACTCCTATCCCTTGTTAGAAAGCTGACATTGTCAAAGGAATGCAAACTCAAATTTTACACTTATGTCACAGTGTCAGAAGGATAAATGTAGTTCATCATAGGAATGTAGGATCAGAGTCTATTGCAGCAATGGCTTCACTTAAGTTCTTACAAGCAGCTCTCAACAATACACTGTACATGTAGAGGGTCTGAATCAAAATTATGATACATGTATTACCAGTAATTGTATCTTCAAGTCAAATGATACACAAATACTGACTAGTATGCTTCTGGAGCCTGGTAGAGGTTATCCAGTGATACAAATTTACTGAATTTCCTACTTTCCACCAGAGTTTTCATGTCTGTCTGTACTTAGGTTTTCAACTGCAAAAAAAACAAACTAATATGCTCTTTGCAACAACAAAACATGTAACTTTGTACTAAAAGCCTGTAGACGCAGCTGTTTAGTATGATGTGCAGTAAACTAATAAATAATAAAGTGAACTCTTCATGTTACCTGTGTTTAACACAGTTACTTCTTTATTAACTTTGTGTCATCATCTGCCCTCCTTTTTAAAATGAAACTAAAATAATTGAATGTTAAGTAGTTCTTCATTTTTCATTTCGATTTCAGAATATACTAGTCTAGTATAACATGATAACGCTATTGGAAATTGTCATGACATTGTGTAAACTATTCTGAAGACTGCATTTATACATAAAGGAATTATAACACTTTAATTAAGTCTGTACAATGAAAAGGAATGGCAGCATTTTATGATAATTATACAATTACACATTGGGCACTTTTCACATTAAAAGATATTGACATAACATAACTTTCTTGAACCACATGATCTAATTTTTGAGATGGTATGTCTGACCAAAATGACAATTTAGAGAGGATGAGCTTTATGTGTTAGTATCAGGACTTTGGTCCATTTCTTAAACACATTGCTGACATTGACACAAACGTTCTGTGTCTCCACTCCACTTAATTTTCTTGCAGACAGGAAAAACATGCAAAATTTGTTGGGGGATGGTGGTGCATTTTTCTTCCATTTACACATCAAATTCAGTGAGTGGTTTCTCTCTTATAGGACCACAAAAGAACAATACTGGACATGTTGTTGTCTTAAGCTTCCCCCTAAAACACTTTACCACAAAGTAATCTTCAAAAATTAGACAATGTGGCTCAACCCACAGAGGTTTTTTGGACAAAAACCTTATCTGAGATCTAAAATAAAAGCTTTAACAACTGCATTAAGCTGACCCCAAAACTAGGCTATTTCACTTGTTCGTATGAGGATGATGAAATAGAAACCTGTCCTCCCCCACTCCACAATGGTCCGTTCCTCATCACATTTCCGCCCTGTCGATTTGCACGTAGAGTTGTCTCACACCAACCTGAGGGCACGACACAAAACGACACAATTGTTAACAAACACTACAGGTTTGTAACGGATCATCTCATTGGTTAAGACAAGAAATAATTGTCAGTACTTACATTTGGTCATGACATAAAACAGAAGCCATGTCATAATTGTGTACAGGTTTTTGTACCAGTACAGGATTCAAATGACTTATTGGTCCGGAGCGAGGGTTGTTATTCACTTATCCACTGGACTACACACATTGCAAACTCTCATTGCCAAGTGGGTAGAGTATCCATCCTGCATTCGGTAGGTTGTGAGTTCAATCCCTGGCCAAGTCATATCAAAGACTTTAAAAATGGTACATACTGCTTTCTTTGCTTTGTAATCAGCATTTGAGAGATAGCATGGGAGTTAAACACATACCACTACCAGTGGACTAGCCCCCTGCTGTAGTGGCTGCACAACTGTGTTTCCCAAGGGCTACTGAACCAGATTTTCAGAGACCATATACACCATCTAGTGCAGAAAGAACTTTAACTTGTAACTTGAACTGTAGTACCTGTGTGAAGATGTTATGTGTGGCACTCAGGATGTATTTGGCGTCAGCTTCAGGAGAAACCTCGACCTTAACTGTGCCGATGTAGACGTCACTGCAGAGGGTCCAGAAGTGGGGTTCGTGTACACTGTAAACTCCCTCAAGTCCCATTACCTGTGTAAAAATATGGGTACTGTTAGATGTGGGTACTGATGAACCCCCACAAACCCCCTCTTATTACCTGAAGTAGGAACACTGTTAGAGCATTTACAGGAAAACACAAGAGGGGGAAGATTGCTGCAAAAACCTATTAGACTCCAATTGCAAAACATGCAGCACTGCACAGTATAGTATGAAGCAAAGACAGCCTTTTTGGTCACAAAAGAAACTGATGAGAGTCTCTAGTAGGTTACTTTTGGAAGAATTTTGCCTTTATTTTCTTTCATGAAAGGCTATCTTTTTGTAGTGTTACAGGGATCAAGTACTGTAACATTTTTTAGTCTCAAACTTGCCAATTTCATAGCCTATCCACCCAAGACTTTCCATAAAAAGATTAAGAGTTTTAAAGCTTCTACGTTCCATTAAACTCACTCTTTGATAGCAGGCTGGCAGTTGATGGTCCAGGTCATACGGTGTCCTCTGCATCAGGATACTGACGGAGTCACGTATCAACGGGATCACACTGCGGGAGGGGGGCACAAACAATTTGAAGACAACAGTTATTTTTACTTCTATGTACAGCAGGTTTCTTTGTGGCATGTCTGTAGGTTTGCTTGCAATTCTGTAGTTACGTTAAACTACTTGTAGTTAGTGCTTAGCAACATTATCATATCTAGAACTGTGCCTATCAAGCTCTATGCCTGAATGGGTTAGGATTGGACACAGTTCTGGATATATTCCCTATGTAGTCAAGAACATAAATTTGCCCAAGGCATGGTTCTGGATACGCGTGGACTATCCCAAATGGCGCTTGAGCATGGTTTTGCATAAAGCACAATTCTGGATACACATGCATGGACTATCCAGAACCGAGCCAGAGCATGGTTCTGGATATAGCATGGTTCTAGATACATGGTAACTACCTAGAACTGAAGCACAGCTGGAGCACAGTTCTGGAAAAAGCATGGTTCTGGGCATGTGTGGACTATCCAGAACTATGCCTGAGCATAGTTCTGGATAAAGCAGCGTTCTGGAAACACCAAACCCACCTCATGCCTATAAGTGTGGCTATGATCATGGAACAGATGGGATCAGCGATCATCCAGCCAAACTGCTGCATCAGGAACGCAGAGATGATCACTCCAACACTGCCCAGTGTGTCCGCAAGGATGTGCAGGAATACACCTGGGAAAAGAAAAAAGGAAGTCAACTTTGGAAATATCATCTGCAGTGTGTTATTTCATGGGTCTGACTAAACAGTGTACCAGAGTGACTAGTCGAATGCTTAGTGTGTCCGCAAGGATGTGCAGGAAAACTCCTGTGGAAAAAAAGTATGTCGTTATTTTAGTAATTTATAGTAGTATGTTGTATTTTCTGTGGTTTTGTTTGTCAAACTGTTTGGCTGACAATATGAGCCATAGCAAAGCCACACAGGTCTAGAGGATGATTTCAAACAAAAGCAACACCCCTCTTTGACTAATCAAGAAATTAGAATAGAAGCTTGAAAATGAAAACATAGACTGTACCTTTAAGAATCTGGTTCTGTGAAGAATTTACCGGTTGTGACGGTTCTGTGCAGTCATCTCCACCTAAACCTGGGGAAACACATCAAAAACAAATTTATTAAACAAAAAACTTGTTTTTTTTTTCTCTTTTTGACAAATTTTCGTAGTGTCAGGCAAAGAGACTACTTTTAGGCACTGACCCAAGTTTGGGCTACTGTAACACCATCTCTTCCCTGGAAGTCAGAACCATCAATGATTAAGACACGGGTTCAACTCACTAAGAGAGGACTAACTGCCCCAGTCAATATACTTTTGTACATTATTGTCTTTGCATGCTACAAACTATAGGTAATTCAGTAGGGACACATCTGTGACTCCCCCTGCCCCCATATGTTTGGATAAATAAATATTTAAAAAATCATCAAGTCCATACCTAGTCCATGGGAGTGCCCGTGCCCATGACTGTGGGAATGTCCGTGACCTCCGTGGCTGTGACCATGACCATGACCATGACTGACCCCACCGTTAGCATGGGAGTGACCATGGCCTCCACCTGCAGGGAGAATGTGTGGTTAAAAACCTGCTGCCTAACCCTATATACATTTACAAATTTGGTGCCTAACAGCTACCTTAGCAAGGTTAGTATTATTTTCATGGTTTAGTACACTTCAAACCACAGCTTTGACAAAGTCCACTTCAAAACAACTTGAAAGATTAACTTCATACCGTACAAACACTGCACGGCCTATCCTTTCACAATAACAGTACGCAATATACTTCTGTTGGCACTTAACATATAACAAGATGAAAATTTGCTACAACACAATTGAGAGCATAGAATTTTCTGTAGCTACCAATAACCACACTTACTTCATCCAGGCCACCTTTTCTATAATCTCCCTCAGTTAGCATTTTTTTGCAAAAGCTTTTGTTGTTTAAAGCAATTGCAATCTGTAATCTACTACCCATGTACACACATAATACCCATATGCAGTATTCTAATTGACACAGTTGAGTATCTTGACTAACCTCCATGTGAGTGTCCATGCCCCGCCCCTCCGTGCTGGAACACGAAGATGCCCACCAGGTTGACGATGAAGCCCATAATGGACACCACCATCAGACGCTCATGATGCACCTCGGGAACTTCCACTATCCTCTGGGGGGGGGGAGAAAAGAACAGTTTCCTTCATTTATTTAGTTCAACAAAAATGTTCATTCAGCGTTTGCAAAGAAATAAGAAAAGAACATACAATTTTCCTTTTTTTGCTCAAAACCAAACCAAACTCCCTGAACACACACATACACTCACTCACTGTCTGGTGAGTGTTTGCAAAATGACTTCCAACAGAGTCCATTCATTTTATCTCATGCTAACTACTAGTAATAGAGTCACCAAAAGTGAATTATAATATGAAATACAGCTTTTATGTTGTCAGAGGAGAGGACACTTTAGCTGTCACTTTGAAACAACAGACCAAATCAATTAAACTGTCATTACCAGTAACTGTCTCAGAGGCTAACTGATAGCAAGGAATAACTTCTTTCACATCTGGGATATCACACCAGTGTTTTTGTAACATGTGAATCTCACCTCTACAGCTTCAGAGAAGATGAAGAATGCGATGAACAGCAGGAAGAGACCGTTGATAAAGCCTGCCAGGACTTCTGCTCGTACAAACCTACAGAAAGTGCAAAACTGTACATTAGGAGCTTTTCTGAGACATTAAATTGAAGAATACACTAACATTTCATAACACTAACAGGCAACGTCTTACACATAAGAAAAGTTAACATTGCATCACCACCTTAAGACTTACCCATAAGAAAAGTTGCTGTTGCATTGCTACCTTGACATCCAAAAAGAAGTTCTCTGTGAAATGCCACTTTGAGTTTAAGACTTACACATAAGAAAAGTGCTCAATGGATCTCCATCTTGTGGAAAGTTCCTATTCGAACTCAACCTTCAGACTTAAGCCATAACTTAAGAAAGGTTCTCATTGAGCAACCATCTTGAGACTTACCCATAAGAAAAGTGCTCGTTGGATCTCCACCTTGAGACGACGGAAGCGGCCAGACCGGCCAGGAGAGCCGTGCAGTCAAAGAACATGTGGAATGAATCTGAGATGAGACCGAGACTGGGGAATAGAAGGAGGGCAGGTATGAGTGAATGTCTTTTAGCAGGTGCTTTCCTACATTTTATCTTTAAGTATTTCTTTGTTCGTGGTTTTGCATAATTCATGAACCGTAACAGTACTACCACACTCCAAGTTTTGTACAGTAACTATAAGATCTCTGATCTATCAATCTATATTACTAATCTATTTGCTTCTTCATTGTATTTCAAAAGTAACTTCAGATTTAAAATAGATTATGCTGATGAAAAAAAAAATATTGTGCTCTGCATTGATTTTCTAGTAGGTTACTGTACTTACAGATGCTTTTAGTACTTGACTACCAAATACTGCAATAGCTAACTAGTGTATTGATCTGTTTATTTACTTTTCAAGAGATGTTTACAGAGCATTATGTTTGATGTATATCCTGGATGCTAGGCTGTATACAAAAACTATCGTTGTTAACAAAAAAAAACCAGTTCTCTCTCAATATTGAACATCAAGTTAGAGAAAAGTTATGAAAGTTGCCCAGCTGTCACTTAGGGTTTAAAGCCAAATTTATTGATTATTTTGGGTCAGTTCAATTTCATAACACTAATTATTTACGCAACGTTTCACACTCGGTTGTTGACAATCCCTGAAATTAAAATCTCTGATTTGCATAACATAAGATGTACGACAAATCCAGTATCGCGTCTTGCAAGTTGACGAAAATCTAGGAGTGTTTTGGGTCTATAAAAAGAAGGCAACGTGGCAGAAATCGGCCGGCTGAGCACACAACTTTCGTTCCGAATCAGGTGGCCCAAACTTTCTCCACTAACACAGTGCACGGGGAGGTCGGGTTTGTGCTATTTACATATCAGAAAAGTATTCTCAACTGCGTCTGTAGAAGTGACGTGTTATGAGCGGCGTTCTCTCACGACGTCGCGTTGAACGGGTTATTATCGGCAAAGTGTCTTCAAATGTACATTTCCTGACCGTTCAACGACTCTTTTCCGATGGGTTCTGAATTTCGGATACAATGCCGATCGTTTTCCGACGATATGTATCGGATTTCCAACGGGTACTTTCTCCCACAGGATCCCGTCGCCGGTCGCCTAGGCAACAAGTAACAAACCGCTGGCAGAGGGGGTTTCCCGGCTTGGATATTGCCATGGCGACACTCAAGATTGACACATCGACTCACGTGTCACCATGTCACCATGGGAAGGTCACATGGCCGTCTTGACGAATACATTACGCAGTTCTGAATGAATGGGTTGGGGACATTCTACCCTTTGCAACTACACTTACTAGTTGTACTACTAATTTTCCCCACAGGATCATCATATATTCGGAGAGTGTTTTTTCCCTATTTTCCTTCCAATTTTACTGAAATCCCCTTGTAATTGGCATATATTCTTCTTGTAACGTCACAATCGTACGTTTTATATATGTAATTACACGTCTTCATTTTCAAAAGTGCAATCTGCAGGATTAAAGGTTTAGTTGAGTTTGTTAAATGATTCTTACATTTATATGTGAGAATTATTCAATTCAATGGTCGTGTGCAAAATAAAAAGTCCATACAATGAAGCTGGGCACGAACGCACGGACTACGAGCCACCGCCGTACGGCATGTGCCAATGATGACTTATGAACACTATGGTAGCTCCGTCTTTAGGACTCCTGAAACATGTACAAGAAACTGGAACATGAGGGAATCACACAATATCAATCATGACAATAATAGCATAGCATGGGATTCGAACTGGCGCCGTTCTGGCAGCCACGTATCGCAAAGCAAGGCAAGGAGGCAGCGACTCTACCGACTGAGCCACTCGCGCGCGCGCTACAAATGACGGTCGCCGTGTTCAACTTGAAGAACAAAGCGCAATACAGAATGACATGATAAACGTCGCATATGGCATACAAGATAAACCTCAGGAATAAATACTAACTATTATACGACATCGATGAATTTGAAACATTTGTTACTTTCCATTTCCTTTGAAGAAACTCGAACCGCCACGTCAATAGTGTAATATTTGCACAAGCAAAGTACGGAGTTTGCAGTGGCTCAGCGGGATGATTGCAAGAACATTGGTGAATATTGCGAGATCCAGAGGTCGTAGGATCGTATCCCGACACAGATCTTTTCTTTATATCTTTTGTTTTTCCTCCTCCTTATCTCTTTTTTATGCCTTTCCTCTGAATGAATTTTTTTATACTTATCAATTATAAATTACGAGAAATTTCTATCACACCGACAAAGGGATTATCTCTCCCAAGTGTTGTTTGTACTTTTACAGGGTAACCTTACAGTTTGATTTGATTTGATTAACAATGCACTACACGTGGTACACAGGCAGCTGTTGCAAATGTATGTGAAAACAACAACAACAACAACAACGTATTAAAGCTTGTAGGGCTAGTCCTTGCATCAGCCGCCCTGCAGCTCTTTTTGTGCTATCTCCGATCAGGTAGTGTCTATTGTTTTGCTTGGGTCGGCTCTCGATACAGCATGCTGTTTTCTGAAAAAGAAATATAATAGTATTATTTGTCTATCGAGTATCATTATGTAGCATAAAAAAAGTGCCAAAGAACGCACAGTAGCCTAGTTACATCCTCCCATGGCAGGATCAGCGGCTCCGAGTTCCTTCTCCACCACTAAGGAACCCGGAGCCGCTGACCCTGCCATGGGAGGATGCCTAGTTATAGTTAGCAAAGGCGACAACTGTGTGGGAAGACTTGTGCAGGGTCCGTGAGGCAGTGGAAGAATGATGTTTAACAGACCAGACCAGGCAAGGTAGGTTCGTTTTTGTGTCGATCTGCCGTTCACAGCTGCCGCAGTGCCGGTTTGCTCTGCGTCACCGCCCTTCAGTGTAATCTGAGTATTTCTTGAAAGCCACCGCCACTAAAGCAGTTCAATGACGCTTTGAGGTAAAAAGTGACGCTTAATACGAATTTCTCAAATAATATCATGAAATCAGTGCTGCTTCTTGGCTTTCTTTGCAGACCAGTGCGGCGGCGGCATTATTTTTTCGGGGGTAGCTGATCGATGCGGGTTTTGGCCGCGGAGGGAGTTTGCCCGCGGAGGGAGTTTGTTGGGCGGCGATACTCGTGTTGATCAGCGGCCCACCCCAAAAACAATGGCGCCGCCACACCAATCTGCGAAGAAGGCGGTAAACTTGGTCAACCTAAAGTTTTCTAGTCTGTGTAACGCAAACACTGCCGTCCGCAGCTTTAGTGGCCCCTTCCCACAGGGCGGCTGGATGGGCGACCGGCAACCGTAATTTTAATCAGGCTAAAAGTTTTCAAGTGTTTCAAAATTGTCCATTTCAATGGTCTTCATTATCATCGATATCAGTTGACTGTAATAGTCTGTATTTTGTATGTAGGCAAAGCTTATATTAATAGTAATCAACAAGCAAAAAAAAAAAAAATTGAATCGAATGCCTAATTCATATGACTAACCTATGCTACATTCATTTGGGCAATCAGGATGTAACGCATACTATGACCTCTGGTGACCTATGGGGGAAACCGATACGTGGCCGACGTTCGTCGTGTATGTGTCGGAGAACGGCCGGGAAACTAATGGGCGGACTCCATTGATTCGGCCCGATTTTTGGCCTTTTGTCGGTTCTAATGTAGGGATTATCAGTACTAAAAACCCGACACATGTATGATATCTTTCTGTTAACAACCAGTTGACAACCCGATCTCCCCGTGCACTGTGTAACGCATCGTACCTGTTCGTCCATATTCCGTATAGAAGCTCCACGATCGCAAAGGAAAGGTTCAGCGTCAGGAAAGCGAAGAGATTCCTTGATGTGGGATCCGAGAAAATTGCACTGAAACGACAAGAAATCTTCCAGTTAACACACTGTATTCTTGCAAGAGATTTGGGAAGTAAAAATTGTTGTGGAAATCGACAACATATGGTAGACAACCCGGCACGCCGGTCTTACCGAATCCAGCTTGAAATCTTTCTTTTCAGGCTTTTCCCGATGCCTTGCTTGAACTCATTGTCTTTTCCGTGTAGCGGCAACATCTCAGCAGTATCGTGAGCGTTTGGGATGAGAAATCAGGGCTGGGAAACTGGCATGGCACTTGGACGATCAAGGCGAGCTTTCTTCTCCGTTTCTGGGAAAATACAGCTGTATTTCCGGTTTGGGAGTTAGCCTAGAAATTTGTTTAATTCAAAGCGCCTGCTTTACATAACCTACGTTAGCATTTAGTCAGTGAATCTAGCAATCAGTAACATGAAATCTAGCTGAATATTCTGACAATTTCGTCTAAATTAACGCCGATCGCGCTGTAATGATTTCAGAGCCATGCACTACCTCTTTTCTTTCAGTGGTTCCAGTCTAACTACAGAACCGGAAGTACATGTGGCATAGTTTGGACGGATGTTGAAGTGGAAGAGTTCAATAGAATGATAGGGATGTTTTGTAGTCACTAATAGAATAATAAAAATGTCAATTAGACACATGAATATTACTATATAAGTACATGAAATGTTTACTTTTCATACTATAGTACGAAATATTGTACTTTATATGTGATAATGAAAAATATTTGAAGTGTTTTAGACTTACCTCCAAATAAAATGGTATGATCCCACGTGAGCATCATGGCGGCTTTCGGTGATGCGGACGAGCTTTTTGGCGTGTTCGAGGAAAAGGAGGCTTCCCCGCCGAAACCTGGACCTTCTAAGGAGGAGGGCAAGACACAGAAGAAGGGGAAATATCCGGACAAAGCCAGGTACAGTTTGAAGCCTGTAGGGAGGACGGTGTTTGTATGAGAGCGAATGTTGTGTGTTGTGATCGAACATAATTTTTTGTTTGTGAAACCAACATGCGTGCACATGTCATCAGTAGGGCAGTAACGTTTTACAAGTATGATCGGATAAGATGTGTTGTCGAATCAAGTTAACGATAAAGAAGACGCTATCAGCTTAAGTCAATCAAAGGCAAGAAGCCTCTAGGTTGTAGATCTCAAATATAAAAGCACCCCCCACACACACACACAACAAGGCAATCATAATTTTTAGTGATGGTGGACTTCACCCCAAAAAGTAACGTTAGAGGCTATATCTATCATCGATACGGACAGAAACATAAACAGACATATATGCCAAGTAGCTTGAAATAGTGATTCAGACGTTATGATCTGCTATTTCCTAATGCTTTATTATTATACAATCTTTTTATATGACATCTTTTATGGATTAGTTACAGTGTATGGCTGATAAAGATTAAACATGCCAACATGCCGCTGTGTTATCTACTTATTTACCAACACCTTGTCACTGCATACTGGGTATTCACATTATATTTCCACGTATGACGTCAATGAAAAGCCTCTTTACCTAACTCCATCTGTTCATGTGTTCCCGAACAGTAAGAGTAAGAGGAGCATAACCCAGGAGGAAGAGGAGGATGCTGGGAGTAAGAAACCCAAGACGGTTTCCATCTCTGTCCTGTCGGAACCCTTGAACACAGAGGCTCTCTCACAGGTCAGGCTTACCCGCTTATGATACTATTGATAGTTACCTATAAAACATCCCTCTAACTTTGTCTAAGATGTCTTATAACCTGATATGGACTAGGCAAATATTTTGCAAGACACTATAAATACATGTAATAATATTTATGAATAATACACTTACCTTCATTCATTTGTTCATTCATTGGGCCTAGGAAAAAAAATGTTGTGTTTCCGGTTACCCGACCGACCCTATAAAAAACCCCCCGACCCTAGCCTTTTTTGGGCCGACCAAAAATTTCGAGCGGCTAGTGGTCGGTTTTCAAAATTGGGGATTTTATCCCTGATAAATGTGCTCGTCATTCCAATTTTCTTCGGTCGGGCGGCGTGGATCGAGCGCTAATTGCACGGATCGGGCCGCTATTCAATTCCATTGTCGGCACAATCCTGTGAATTGACGATGAATTGTCGATCTCGCCATGACGCCACAAAGAAAACGTTGTCATTGGTAGAAAATCTGACACCCCGCTGGCGTTTCACAACAAAATTTTCATGTAAACAACTCCGACTGTCTTTGTTTACATCGCGAAAGCTCACCGATACAAAGTAAAACTCCCGCCGGCCGGCCGCGCCCGATCGCATGGTTGCGGCATGGTTTTCGGCAGCTCGACGGAAAAATAATCCATCCCCAGAAGAAATGTTACGCATGAAAATAACAACTACAACTTGTTTTCCTCGTTATATGAGTTTTTGAGGCCGTAAAATGTTTAAAACGGTTGAAATTTGCTCGAAAAAACGGCTCGAAAATTCACGGCGAGAAAGACAACATGGCCGACCTGTTTTCACAATAACAATGGTCAAAGGTCAAGATAGCATCCAAATGTATAGATACATGTAATAAGTACATATTACAGTGCTAAAACGATACTTTAAACGCATGAAAAATATTTTTTCGGCTACAACTGAAATAAAAATTCAGTTATATTTTAGTAAGGTTAATTTTCAAACATTACTGAGAAATTTTCCGAATTAATTGGTTTCTTGTGTAATATAATTGTTGTTTCTATGTATGTGCGGTTGGATGTTGTCATTGATATTATTATTAGAGATTATCACGCTTAGTACCGTGACCCGAGTGTCTCTCAAAAATTGTTTTTGAGTGGAGTTTATAAACATGATCACGTTTTTATTTGTTCAGCTGTGTCAATATGTGATTTGTTTGAGAAATAGGATTTGGTTTAGTTTTTGATATATTAATGTCAGTTAACATCTTTGGAATAAATTGCTCCAAGTTCCAGGTAGTAAATACATGTACATTTTGTATCATGTATTTTTCACTTGTTGAACTTGTGGAAGCACCGTTGGCCCCCGGTTAGGGGTCATCCGGGGAACCTATGCCCAATTTTTTCAAAATTAAGGGTAGAATTTTTTTTTAACATGAGGATAATTAAGTACAGATCTTGAACCTTTCTACTGCCTTATACATCTGCAGTTGTACAGAAAATGTAGAACTGAAGTTGCAGGAAATGACCTCCATTTGTGTTTGGAAAAGACAAAATGCAATAGCTTCCCCCCCCCCAGACCTCCCCCCGCCGCATTGGGTGCTTCGCACCCTCCTCCACCCTGCTCTGAATTTCTGGGGAGATCCCTGTCTGTGTAGTACAAACAGATCATACGTTCATTGTCCCGGCTTTGACTAAAAAAAAAAAAAAAAAAAAAAAAAAAAAAAAGTGAATCCCTACCTACCGACCCTAATTTTTTCTGGACTGTAATAGGAAACACAACATTTATTTTGTTAGGCCTTGTATATATGGGTCATTTAGTGTGAGCTATTCCATGCTTAAAAACCTTCTAGTTGTTATTTTTGTGTAACACTTCCATATAGAACTGTGATGAAACTTTTGGTGTTGTGTTTCCTACTGATAAAAGTTGTTTACATTTTGAGGGTTGGTCCTCTGGCTTCTTTTTAGGCCTTAGTAGCTGCCCAAACTAGCCTTGTTAGACCACTGACATTTAGCAATGGAGTGGGCATTGACCATTGACTTGAGGTTTAATCTGTGAGTGTCTTAAATGTCTTGTCTGAAGTGTTTGATGTTGTCCCCCAGGCTGAACTTGACCTCCTGCCTAAGATCCGTACAGAGACAGTGGACACAGAACAGGCCTGTACACACGAGGTGGCCTATCCTGAGGACTGTAAATATGAACCTGTCAAGGAACTCTCCACTACACCAGCAAAGGTACGAGTATGGCACTGAGGACATAATATCCTCACCTGCTTAATTAACATAGTTTTGAGTTGTTGAAGGAAACATTGTATACATGTAATCGATTTTGTAGAGCAAACATGTATATGTAAAGGCACAAGACAGTTGTCATTGAGTACATGTAGTATATGCAGAAATTCTACTGTTATGTACAAGTGTAGCAATGTGTTTTAAAGGAACAGAAAGTGTCCACAGATTGCCAATGCCACCAGTCTTTGTTGAGGGATGGTTGCAATGTTGTGACGCAGATGGTCTTAGTCTTAGTCTTATGAGTTCTGGATAAAACCCTCTCTGGGGCATAATGTCCAGGAGGTCTCTTTAATACCTTGTGCAAAGATAAAGAAGTCTGTTTTTTATTGACTGTTGTGATGTTTTTCCCCAGGTGTACCCGTTTGTCCTGGACCCGTTCCAGAAGGAGGCTCTGCGATGTCTGGAGAGTAACCAGTCAGTTCTGGTGTCAGCTCACACGTCTGCTGGCAAGACTGTCGTGGCAGAGTGAGTTTGGTTGTCGTCAATGTGTCTCTCTGTTTTTCTTTTTTTAACAGGGAACCATATAAAGTTATGACTGGCTTCCGTTATACAATGTACATGATAATTATTGTTTGTTTGACGGTCTCCCTGCTACTAACCCTGAAACCACATTGTGACCAAAAGGCTATTTTAGCATGGAGAAGGTTAATTCTAGTACTAGGTACATCTTTACCTTATCATTGTGTGAGAGACCCCATCAGCTTAATTCCCACTGAAGCTAGGTACTAATTTTCACCATTGAGTCAAGTCAGGAAATACTTGTAAGTTATGGCACAGCGGTGGGATCTGCTAGTGATTCGAACCCAGAACCTTTAGATTCTAAGCCAACAACCCTACCCTAACCACAATTCCATATTGCCACCTATTTCCTACAGATATGCCATTGCCATGTCCTTGCGAGTCATCTACCTAGCAGCTACCTTTAAAACTGCAGACCTCAACCATTTTTTAATCTTAATGCTCATTCTCCATACTTCTTTAGGTATGCCATTGCCATGTCTTTGCGAGACAAACAGAGAGTGATCTACACCACACCCATCAAGGCCCTGAGTAACCAGAAGTACCGGGAGCTGTATGAGGAGTTTCAGGATGTCGGGCTGATGACAGGAGATGTCACCATCAACCCCACAGCCTCCTGTCTCGTCATGACAACAGAGGTTTGTTTGTTTGTTTGTTTGTCTAACATTATTACCAACAAACACTTAGTAACCAGAAGTACCGGGAGCTGTATGAAGAGTTTCAGGACGTTGGACTGATGACGGGTGATGTCACCATCAACCCTACTGCCTCCTGTCTCGTCATGACAACAGAGGTTTGTTTGTTTAACATCACCATGGTAACAGGTGCTGCAGCAGACACCCTGTGATGTTGGGTTACTAAGTACATATATAGCAGATGGCAGGACAGAGGTGGAGGGGCTGGTCACCATATACATGTGTTTGTCAGGCTTATTCATGTAAAGGTGAATATTATGCATTTGCTTTGCAGTTGTTACATCTCTAGTTGTTGTTTTCTTCACAAGATCCTGCGGAGCATGTTATACCGAGGGTCAGAGCTGATGTGTGGTTACATGCTTGTAT